TATTGCTGTGTATGTGCTCCTGTGAGTGATATAAATGCTTATATAGGTAGATTTTGACTTAAGGTGAAAATAGCGCCGAAACAGGTTTGGCTCAGTGGATAGGGCATCAGCCTGCGGACTGAAAGGTCCCAGGTTCGATTCCGATCAAGGTCATATACCTTGGTTGCAGGCACATCCCCAGTGGGGAGTGTGCAGGAGGCAGCGGATCAATGATTCTCTCATCATTGATGTTTCTATCTCTCTCTTCCTTTCCCTTTCTCTCTGTAATCAATAAATATATATTTTAAAAAATAAAAAGAAAATAGCATTACGTTGCGCTGTAGAAACAAATCTCCAATATAAACCTAGGACCTACTGTATTTTCCACCTTATACTTTCTAAGCATGTATGGATTTCCTTCTTTGCCAGCTTACTGCCACAACCTTAGTTGAAGCTCTGAAGATCACTTCCTGGGTGACCATAGGTGTCTTTTTACCTTTTCATTCTTTCACCACTTCAGATCCATTCTTTAAAATGTTTCATAACTGTTGGCTTTGAATCTAAAAAATAATATTTAGTGTCTGAGTATGCAATGAACTCTTGAATTTCCTTATTTAGACCTTTATTTGTATTGCATTTTACTTATGCCTATATCATTTAGGCTCTTTTTTCAAACACTCACTTTTACATTAGATTCTGAAAATAACAAAGCTCTGTTTTTTGTTGTATATTCCACTGTCCTTTCACACCTTAGATTAATTCATTTTCTTTTGTTTCTGCTTGTATAGACTTGAAAGTAATTATCTGTTAGAATCATTTCCTCACTTTACCTTTATTGTTTTTAGCTATTTGTGACCAAACAGCTTAAAGTCATTTAATGTAAAATTTGAAACTTATATGATCTGTTTAGTTAAGATATGAAAGCAGTTTTTAAATTATCTTTTAGATTTAATTATTGTTCTTCTTTCTCAATTAAATATGGCAGAAATTTAATGGTTATGACAGTCCTGAATAACAACCTGGATAACATCAGCTTTCAAAATATACTTCACTCCTAACTAGTTTGGCTGGTGGATAGAGCCTGTGGACTGAAGGGACCCAGGTTCGATTCTGGTCAAGGACACATGCCTGGATTGTAGGCTTGATCCCCAGTGTGGGGAGTGCAGAAGGCAATCAATCAATGATTCTCTCTCATCATTGATATTTCTCTCTCTCTTTCTCTCCCTCTTCCTTCCACTCTGAAATCAATAAAAATATATTTTAAAATATATATACTTAAAATTTATATGATACTTATTTTGGTGTTATTTTTCAACTATTCTTTTAGATACTTTTTCTGATAAAAAGCCAAATGTTCAAATTTGTTTAGCATATAAGATCTACTAAATTTGAAAATGATATTACAAATAGAAAATTTCTTTTTTCTGGATTAGTCACAGGAAATGATTGAGTTTTTGAACAATAAAACTGATTAGTTATTGCATTAGTTTAAATGCTCTGTTCTTGAAGTCTGTGGTGGAGACTAGCAGTCTCTAGTTCCTTGGTCATTTATATATCAACCTATTTTAACTATATTGTATTCATAGCCACTACATGAATTTGATAACAAGTAGGATTAAGGGTGGATCAGGACAGATTTATTACTGTAACTAAAAAGAAATTACTAAGGCAAATTTTCTGCCGACTATTGCATTTCAAATGTTACCTTTGTATGCAAGATTATAACATCTTATATTTGATTTAATTGTGTGTATGCGTATGTGTACACATTGTGTTCATTTCAGCTCTTTGTGATGGACAGCTTGTTCTTGGGTTGGTTATTAATATGCCTTGTTTTTTTGTCAGTGACATCACTTGAAACCAATAATGAAGATGAAACTTACGAAAATCCAAATTTTCTCTTAGTACCCTAAACTCATCTCTTTTTAACTCTTTTTCTTATAATGAGACTAGATAATGTCACTAAGCAAAAAGATGCAAAATATAGATTAGAGTTCTTTTTATTAAAATATATTTTATTGATTTTAGAGAGGAAGGGAGGGAGAGAGATAGAAACATCAATGATGAGAGTGAATAATTGATTGGCTGCTTCCTGCACGCCCCCTACTGGGATCAAGCCTGCAACCCAGGCATGTGCCCTTGGCCGGAATCAAACCTGGGACTCTTCAAGTCGTAGGCCAATACTCTATCCATTGAGCCAAACCAGCTAGGACTAGAGTTATTCTTTACTTTGTCACCTTTTTGTCACATATAGTCAGACTTTTACATTTGCATGTCCATCAGTCTGTCTAAACTTATTTTATTTTTATGAAGGTTAAATATATATGTATATATGTATATATATACACACACATATATACGTATATATGTGTGTGTGTGTGTGTGTGTGTGTGTGTGTGTGTATATATATATATATATATATATAATATTTCAGAGAGGAAGGAAGAGGGAGAGAGAGATAGAAACACTAATGATGAGAGAGAATCATTGATCACATGATTCTCTCTCATCATATTCCCCCACTGGGGATAGAGCCTGCAACCTATGCATACTAGGTGTACTGTTAATAATGCAGATTTTTTTAATAGATAGAGTTACACATATGTTGATATATATGCAATTTGATATGTATTTGTTGTATTGACAACAAATATATATTTTGTTGTATTGACAGCAAGCTTCAGAATATCCTATGTCATATTTCCTGAAGGTGTTAACATCATGGATATTTTTACGCTTAAAAATATTGAATTTCGTGCCCCCCAAAAAGAGCATTTATGGGAAGTTTTAATTCATTACTTTATTTTGAAGAAAAGTGCTGCTGAATACTTCGGGAAGCCTCTGGTGAACATGCTCCATCTCAAGATACTTGTGAACTCTGGTTTAAACGCTTTAAAAGTGATGATTTCGATGTGAAAGACAAAGATGTCCAGGTCAAGCGAAAAAGTTTGAAGACCAACAATTACAAGCATCATTGGATAATGCATGTCAAACTCAAAAACAACTTGCAGAAGGATTAAACATTGCTCAGCAATTTCCGATTGTTTACAAGCAATGGGAAATATTTTAAAGGAAGGAAAATGGGTGCCACATCAACTGAACATAAGACAAATGGAAAACTGAAAAATCATCAGTAAAATGTTGCTTTAGCAGCAGAAAAGAAAGTCTTTTTTGCATCGAATTGTAACTGATGATGAAAAGTGGATTTATTTTGAGAATCCCAAATGCACAAAATCATAGGTTCATCCAGGTCAACCATCAACATCGACTGTAAGGCCAAATTGCTTTGGAAAGAAGACAATACTCTACATTTAGTGGATCAGGAAGATGTGGTGTATTATGAGCTTCTAAAACCAGGTGAAACCATTAATACTGATCACTACTGACAAATAATCAATTTGAACCATGTTTTGATCGTTAAACGGCCAGAATGTTTCAGAAGACAAGACAAAGTAATTTTGCTTCATGATGATGCACCATCACACACTTCAAAACCAGCTAAAGAGAGGTTAAAAGATCTTGCTTGGGAAGTATTAAACCAGATTATCACTTGTTCTGATCGATGGCACTCACACTTGCTGAGCAGCACTTCAAAACGTACGAAGAAGTGGAAAATTGAGTCTCTGAATGGTTTGCCTCAAAACAAGTAAAGTTCTATTTGGACGTTATCCACAAATTACCTGAAAGATGGGGAAATGTGTAGCTAGCAATGGACATTACTTTGAATAAAGCACTTTCGATGTTTCTCTTGAAATTATCGTGTTTTCTTTGATTACAAAATCCGCTATTATTAAAGGGTATGCCTAGTATGCCATGACCAGGAATTGAACCTTGATCTATTGATTCACAGGTCAGTGCTCAGCCAGAGCCACACTGGCCAGGCTATGCTTATTTTTATCACCTGCTGGTAGTAAGAACGTGGAGATGTCCTAAAAACAAACACACACACACACACAAAAACAAGGATACTATTAAGGAGGAGCTAGAAGTAAATATAAATCTTTTTTTTTTTTTTTTTTTTGCCACATATAGGATAAATTTATAGTAAATAAACAAAATTGAAATCATATATAGACTGAAATTTTTTAATCTTTGCACTTTTTAGATAATGCCCAAGCTAGGGACTCTCAGTGGTCTTTCTAACCCATTTTATATTTTTCATAGTCTATTTATCCTCTTTCTAAAATCTAGCTTATTCTGTAAGGCTCTATGCTAATTTTTTTTGTCACTCCGGTAAATGCCTCATATTGCTCTAGGTTTGAACTTGTGGATAGCTTTTAGAGGCAAGCACTTGTTTTCATTTGCCTCAAATACTTTTTGTGTTAATTTCTTTATAATTATTGTCACTAATTCACCTCATACAAGCCATGGATACAAATTTTTGTTTTTTTCCAGTTGGTGTGTTTGAAAATCAGGTGTTTAAAAATATAGTTAGTAAAACAAATAAAAATAAAAATATAGCTAGTAGTTGGCCGTGAATTGCTTTAACAAACATATGTAAAGAAATTGCACTGATAGTTTGAAAACAAAAGAAATCTCTAAATTATAGTTCTAATGTTTAAAGGGAAAACTGGGAACTGGAGACATTTTCCCTTCCTATTTTCCTGCTGCCATTCTTGCTATTCTCAAATCTGTTACTTCTTTAGCATGAAAGAATGAGAGGTAACTTCTTATAGTCAAGGTCAAGGTTACAGATACTAAAAAGCAAAAGCCCTTGTTATTTTCAAACTCTGAAGCCTCAATCTAAATAAGATACTTTATTCTCTAAAATAGTCTAATGTTTCAACATACACTATTCTTGAATCATATTATTGTCAATATTGCATTACAAGTTTAATTGGTGTTATTTATTTTAAATTAAATGGCTGAACCTGATGGAAAAAATTAAGACCGTAAGTAAAAACAGGGTGTTTTTGGTGAGCAGTTGATAAATGTTACCATTTGCGATATTTAAATAGACAAGCTTGCCATGATCAAAATATCACATAGACCTACTTTTGTGTTCTTATTTTCTATTGTAGGTCACAGTGTGAGAAATGTCCAAGCCTTTGCAGTTCTTCAGAATGCATTTTTAAAAGCAAAAACCAACTTTCTTGCCCAGATCATCCTTGATGCCATCACAAATATTTACATGGCTGACAATGCCAATTATTTCATCCTCGAGTCACAACACACATTGTCGCAGTTTGCAGAGAAGATTTCTAAACTCCCAGAAGTGCAAAGCAAATACTTTGAGATGTTAGAGTTTGTTGTTTTTAGCTTAAATTATATCCCTTGTAAAGAACTTATTAGTGTTAGCATTCTCTTAAAATCTAGCTCTTCTTACCACTGTAGCATTATTGCAATGAAAACGCTCCTGAAGTTTACACGACACGACTACATATTTAAAGATGTGTTCAGGGAGGTGGGCCTTCTGGAGGTCATGGTGACCCTTTTGCACAAGTATGCTGCCCTCTTGAAGGATCCAACTCAGGCACTAAATGAACAAGGTAAAGCATTTTCCATTATTTTATTTTATTGAACAGAGGAGTTGGGACAAGGTGGTCTGCTCATGGTTTGCCTTTCATTTGGTTATTGACTTGAATGACTTTCTGATGTACATTATTGGGACATCTTTGGGAGTATTTCCCAGAGTTAACTTGTTCATTCTGCCTCTGCTCGGGAGTTGGGGAAAGAGTGGGTCGGACCCAGAAATATGTCATTGTGGAGGAAGAAAATTTAAGGTAAAAACTGAGGAAAATATTTATGGTTCACATGATTTGTGTCTACTATTAATACTATCTTTCTAGAGGGATTTTTAAAAGCTGCTAGAAGCAGTTGGGATGTTTAGGTGCCTTCAAATGTCTTTTTTACTATAGAGAACAAATAGTTACATCTCTTCAGTAATGTTATGTATACACACATCTAGAATCATTTTGTATCTTAAATCTTATATTTTCACCTTTTCTGATCAATCAGATGAAAATGTGGAAGTATATGGCACTTTAAGTATTAAGTGTGTTGAATTAAATAATACAAGTTAAATAGCACAGTTCATAAATGTTTCTCTTTGGTGCATTATAATCTAGCATTCTCCTATCGACCTCCTTCACAAGAAAACACTTGTGAGAAGAATATATTTAACTTTGGCATTTTTCCTTTTCAATATTTGTTAGATAACTAACTTTCGAGCCTCACCAAAAGAAAATCTGTAAACATAGATTTTTGGTAGCTGGTAGACATGTATATCATTTTTAAAGGTTGTATTATAATAGTTGTATTAGTAGTGAGTGTGATTATTAAAGAAATACTTTTTAAATTATTAAAAGAAAATTGAATTAAAAAATAAGCTTATTACTTTTGTGATTTGGACTTCTGATCCTTTTTCCTAGGGGACTCAAGAAATAATAGTTCAATTGAAGACCAAAAACACCTAGCTTTATTGGTTATGGAGACCTTGACATTGCTTCTTCAAGGATCAAACACAAATGCAGGTAATTAGAAAAGCTTCTAGCAAATGCTTTGGGAGAAAATTACTTCTGGTTATGTCTTCTCTAATGATTCTTGCTTTCGAAATACTCATCACTTAAGAGAAAAAACTATTGATTCAGTGATGGTACTATCATATCACTAGAAATGTAATACTTACGATCTTTACCAATATATTAATGACAAAATATTTAACAGTGTTATTTCAGAATATGTTCTTATATTTCATTGTGTGCCTTATGTTTAAAGTATTCTTTTTTCTGAGTCTAATAAATTTATTTATTTAAATATTTTCCAAAATATCTGCTTCATATGACAGTTTTCTTGTTTAGCAATTCAAGTTTGAGTATTATAATGTTACAGTCTTAGGGAAATATTGAAAAATGATTCCCTAATAAAGCTTGCCTCTCTCAGATAAATTGGATTCATTAAATCTCAACTTCTCTTCAGTCCTTTTCTACCTGTCATTAACCAGTCCAACTGTATTTATAAAATATCACTCTTGCTTTTAAAAAAGATACTTGAAATTTTAGCCAATATCAGAAACCTCTCAGGAACAATGTGAATACAACTTGAGAGAGTAATAGGGAGGTGAGTTCAGATGAGTGGATTGTGCACAGGTCATATAGAGTTTTTTAGGCCATGCTGAGGAATTTGAATTGCATTTTCAGTGCTATGATTATCAAATCTTAGAGGGAATGCTGGGTGAGGAGAGGAGAGATCAACCAAAGAGCTTTTATGTATATATGCATAATCCATGGACACAGACAGTAGAGTGGTGAAGACTTAGGGTAGAGGAGGCTAGAAGGTGTCAATGGGGTAAAAAGGGGAACATATGTAATATTTTCAACAATAAAGATTTAAAACATAAAATAAAAATTTTGTTATGGGATGCCATGAACAAACAAATGACTGAATGAACTAGCAAAGGCACAAATGCATGTCTATTCATCTCAATGAAGAAGAACTCAAAATTCAACATACAAGGTTGGAGGTAGGGGGTGTAAGAGCTCAACCAAAGGATTTGTATGCATGCATATAAACAAAACCAATGGACACAAGACATTGGGAGGGGGGTGGTGAGGGTATGTGTCAGGGGGTAGGTGAGGCGCGGGGGGGAGGGGGGAGGGGGGAGATCAATGGGGAATAAAGGAGACATGTGTACTACTATTTGTAATACTTTTAACAAAATAAAAAAATTGAAACAAAAAATTTGTATTTAAAAAAATAAACTATATTGTGTGTCTTGTGCACAATGCCAGGTGTTAGAGATGCAAACATATCATCATTCTTTTCCCAAAGGAATTACAACCTAATGGAAAATGTAACTGTATAAGTAATTATTTAAATGCATTTTGGGCAAATGCCAAGACAGAATTGAATGAATTTAGTAGGTAATTCAAATAATACGGCGAAGTTTAATGGGTATGGTATTAATAAGTTGTTCATGATATAATGCATAATCTCCTTATTTCTACAAACTAGGTTTAGTTGACTGAGATATTCTGAAACATTATAGGGTAGTGTTCTTACAAGAATTCTTTGACAAATTTTTTGGTGGCGTGACCCATAGGGAGGAAAGGAACAGTTCTAATCTATGAGCTTACTCTCTATTACTGGAAATCATTTTCAGACTGCCACACATTCTTACAAAACTCTTCTCATCAACTGGCTTCTTTTTGTTAAGAAAGATATTACTAACCCTGTGATTTCAGGCACTTAAAATAGTGCTTTGCTCATAGAACTATTCAAGAAATATTAGTAATAATGATTACCTCATGGGAACTAATGCAGCCACAAAGTAAACATGGTCTTCCATGTGCTAAATTGCAACCACATGACTTACACTCATTTCAAGGTCATATAATTCTTTAAAAGTTAATAATTAGAAAATTACTAGAGAAGGCAATGGCTACTACAGCAAAATACTCTTAACACTTATTCTCTCAGGTAATACTTATTGAAACACCAGAAGGAAATTAAAGTTTAATGGGGGGGCGGGGCAAACATATAAACAATACTACGATATAAAGTACTATAATAGTGGCATACACAAGGTATTATAAAAATGCAAAGGAGAGAATATTTAGTTTGGAGGAAATACTAATTTGTGATTTAGGTCACTTGGTCCATTTTTTAATATTGATTATGGTATTTGATGTGAGAACAGTATCAATTGTGGGCTGGAGCACAATCTATAGAGCTGGGCTATCTAGGCATAAATCCTACTCTACCCTTTGTCAGCTGTGTGGCCTTGGCCACATCACTCAACTCTTTATGCCTCATCTCCTGATCCTTACAAGAGGGGGTACGGATTAAATAAATCAACTAAATAATGCATTTGGAACAGTTCTTTTTGAATGGGTCCTTGTAATTTTTTTCATTGGAGAATAATTTTATTTTATCTTTTTCTTAACTATTTTGGAAGCCTTGTTTAGTTTAAATCTCATTGTCTAAAAGCTTTTTGCATACATGGATTTTGATAGAGAGAGAAAAGAAAGGGGTGGCGAGAGAGAATGGAGCATTGATTTGATGTTCCACTTATTTATATATTCTTCGTTTGATTCTCATATGTGTCCTGATCAAGGATCAAACCTGTATGTAACCTTGGCGTATTGAAACCATAATCTAACCAACGAGACACCTGGATAGGGTTACATAAATTGATTTCAAGTATTATTCAGCTTAAAGACTTGACTTAAAAATATTGGGTCTCTTTGGTTTCTACCTAAGAAATTTTTGAATGTTTAGATTTGGATAATTCAGATTTGGTGAACATATCTGGACATTAATCTTGCTTTGAAGGAAATTTAGAAAAAATTTGCATATCTTTGCTGGCACCCTACAGTGCAATTTTGTATTGTAATTTAAAAGGTGAAATAGGTGTATAGGTCTTATTTGCATTATATTGAGCTACTCTTCATACAAAAAGATCAAATTTTTCTCCCTTTAAGGAATTTTCCGAGAATTTGGAGGTGCAAGATGTGCACATAATATAGTGAGGTACCCCCAATGCCGGCAGCATGCCCTGATGATTATCCAGCAGCTGGTGCTCTCTCCAAATGGGGATGATGACATGGGCACGCTTCTGGGGTTAATGCATTCAGCCCCACCCACAGAACTGCAGTTGAAGACTGACATTTTAAGGGTAAGAGCCTGCGATACTACTCTTTTACGACTAAAATCTGAAGTTATTTTTAACTGACTTATAACAATTTGAACTATTCTTGCCATTTTTTAAAATTACATCAAAATAGTAATAGAAGAAAAGGCAGTGTCTTTAACCTGGCCTCCAAGGCCCTAGGGCTGTGGTAGGCAGACTGCGGCTCATAAGCCGCATGTAGCTCTTTGGCCCCTTGAGTGTGGCTCTTCCACAAAATACCATGGCCTGGGCGAATCTGTTTTGAAGAAGTGGCATTAGAAGTTTAAGTTTAAAAAATTGGACTCTCAAAAGAAATTTCACTCGTTGTACTACTGATTTTGGGCTCTGTTGACTAATGAGTTCGCTGACCACTGCTCTAGGGATATGTCTTCTTCCCCCCTGATTTCCTCTCCTAGTATCTTTGCTCCATTCTTGCCACAGACATCACAGAAATAATAGCTAATTTATAGAATCATATTTCTTTTAACATTTGCTTTATTCAGTTTCTTTCTTGTCAATATTGAGATGTTTGCCTTTTTTATACTATTGTATATTAGGTCTAGTAATAATTAATGTCGTTTTCTAATACTTTTTTTAAATCGAATTTATTTAAACAATACAACAAAATTTAATCAACAATATAGTTGCTGTTGTTTTCTACTACTTGTGCCCAACGCTCAGGAAGCATTTTAATCCTCTGTTGTAAAATTCTTGAGATTTTGATGCAAAAAATTCGGTCAATGCATTTTTGAGGCATTCTTCATTATTAAATTTTTTTCCAAGAAGAAAGTTTTGCAAAGAACGAAACAAATGGTAATCGGAAGGGGCAATATCAGGAGAATATGCAGGTTGAGGGAGAACTTCCCATTCCAACTGGCGCAGTTTTTCAGCAGTGATTCTTGCAGTATGCAGTCGTGCGTTATCGTGGTGAAGAATTATGCCCTTCCGATTAATCAGCGTGGGTTCTTTTTCTCTTAAAGCTTGGGCTACCCTTTCCAATTGGGCACTATACACTGCACTTGTAATGGTTTGGTTAGATGGTAAAAGTTCATAATGAAGAATTCCTTTAACATCCCACCAAACACACAACATCACTTTTTTCGCATGCAAGTCAGGTTTTGGCGTGGGCTGCGGAGCCTCATTTTTGTCCAACCATTGAGGCCGCCTTTTCAAATTAACATACAGCACCCATTTTTCATCTCCGGTAACAATTTGCTCTAAAAACGGCAAATGGTTTTGACGAGAGAGGAGCGAACTGCAAATTGTGACTCTTTGATTACGGTTGTTGTTGGTCAACTCATGAGGAACCCATTTTCCAAACTTTTGGACTTTGCCAAGTGCACGCAATTGATTGGAAATTGTTTTTTGTGAACAATTTAAAGTTGTCGCAAGCTCTTGTTGGGTAATTTGAGGATTTTGCACCAAAAGAGCTTGAAGAGCTTCTTGATCAAAATTGGACACACGGCCTCGACCACTCTTGTCATCTAACGAAAAATTTCCCTCGCGAAATTTCTCAAACCAACGCTGGCATTTTCTGGCGCTAACTGCATCTTGACCAAGAGTACTACAGATGTTTTTTGCAGCCTCACTTGCTTTTCTTCCTAATTGGAACTCGTAAAGCATGCAGTGCCGAATATGCTCTTCATCCGCCATCTTCTTAGCCCTAGTTTTGCAACAAAAACAAACCAAACACAAACTTTTTCAAGCAACACTTGTTAATTACACTTCACACGTTCTGTAGATACCACGTGTTTGAAGGTTATGTCAATACAAGTCAACGCCAAGCAAGATTTTAAACGAATGTTTAAAAGCGCCATTAATTATTACTAGACCCGATATTTCATTCTATTTTGATTGAGTATAATGACACTTTTGAGTATGCATTTTGTTTTAAAAGCAATATTGACTTGACCATAATTTATCTCTTAGACAAGAAGGAAGTCTACATACCTGTCAGCATTGGGGAAAATTTGTATATTTGAAGGGATCATTGGAAAAAAACAAGTACCTTCAAAAGGTGTTTTGGTTGCCAATATTTTTAACATACATTTTCCTCTTTTCTTGGTTCCTTTTTTAATTGGATTTGTAACATATATGTAGGTAAAGCCTCTTCCCAAAGCATCTATATATGGTGACTTTATAGCAATTGAAATAGTTCATGTCTTGGCTACCCTGACCAACTAAACCAATTTATATACAGGGTGTCCCAAAAAAATGTATACTTTTTTTCTGATAGCTCAATTGATATTTCTTTCTTTTCAGATTTAAACCATTGAAATTAGTAATTATTCAAAGTATGTATACATTTTTTGAAGATAACCCTATATACATACAGTCATAAATTCTTGTGATTATGTAAATTTATACTAGATTATGTGTTTTACTTATTTAATAAAAACATTACTTTGTAAAAATTACTGAATTTATTGATATCATTATTTATCAAAGACATAGGAAAATCTTTTCAGCCTGGATGTGAATATAGCCTTATTCTATCAAAAGGATATGTGATAGCATTTCCTAAAATTATCTTCTGCCTCTTTGGCATTTTTTAATTAGCAAAATATTTGATATGCTTTACAGGACTGTTTTTTGGGGTAAATGACAAAAACACTAATTTCAGATGTTCACAGATTGGTGGTATAGACTTTGGACATCTCCTGTATATTTTCACTTTATTTTATTTGAAATAAAAGTTTATTTTCTTGTCCCCCATAGGCCCTCCTGTCAGTTCTTCGAGAAAGCCATCGGTCAAGAACAGTTTTTAGGAAAGTTGGAGGGTTTGTGTATATAACATCTTTGCTTGTTGCTATGGAAAGATCTTTGAGCTTGCCACCGAAGAATGGCTGGGAGAAAGTGAACCAGAACCAAGTATTTGAACTTCTCCACACTATGTTCTGCACGTTGACTGCAGCAATGCGCTATGAGCCAGCCAACTCTCATTTCTTTAAAACAGAGATTCAGTATGAGAAATTGGCAGATGCTGTTCGATTTCTTGGCTGCTTCTCAGACCTAAGGAAAATAAGCCCCATGAATGTCTTTCCCTCAAATACACAGCCATTTCAGAGACTTTTAGAGGAAGACATAACTTCGATGGACTCTGTGTCACCCACTTTACAGCACTGCAGTAAACTCTTTATTTATCTCTACAAAGTAGCCACAGATTCTTTTGACAGGTATGGTTCTGCTCTGTCAAAAGCTCTGAATTAAAAGGGTATACTACGTATGACTTCAACATTAAGTCCTAAATTATAAGTTAACCTGAAGGAAAATGGAAACAAATGAATCTTCTCTCTCAATTACTTTATCTATGAATATTACTATTGCTTTGATGTTAAGTTTTTCAACATAGACATCTGTGTATTATTTGTAAATCGAGGATCAGTTAACTTTTTTTTAAATATATTTTTATTGATTTCAGAGAGGAAGGGAGAGATAGAAACATCAGTGATGAGAGAGAATCATTGATTGGCTGCCTTCTGCTCGCCCCCTACTGGGGATCAAGTCTGCAATCTGGGCCTGTGTCCTTGACCAGAATTGAACCCGGGATCCTTCAGTCCACAGGCCAACACTCTATCCACTGAGCCAAACTGGCTAGGGCTACTCTAGAAGCAATTTCTAAGAAGTTTATGTTAATGGAATGATGTTTACTATTCTCTTTTATCTTTATTCTCTACAATGTTAGATACATCTGGACTTAATGATATTAGTTATCATAGGAGAACATGGTTATGATCGTATTTATTTCCAGACACATGATATATCCTCAACATAATCCTCAAAAAATGATAGAACTCTCTAACAAGAGATAATTCAGACTTGTTTACTCATTCTCCATTAAATGAGTGCCAAGTCACTATGCTACGCATTATGGGTTCAGTTCAGCACGTCAGCTCAGCACCAGATAATCTGGGTCATGGCCATTCTTTAGCTCAGTGGTTCTCAACCTTTCGAATGCCGCGACCCTTTAAAACAGTTCCTCACGTTGTGGTGACCCCCAACCATAAGATTATTTTTGTTGCTACTTCATAACTAATTTTGCTACTGTTAATGAATTGTAATGTAAATATTGGTGTTTTCCAATGGTGTTAGGTTCTACAGCAGCGCTTCTCAACCTGTGGGTCACAAACCCCTAGCAGGGTTGCCTAAGACCATCGGAAAACAAACACAGATACTTACATTAAGATTCATAACAGTAGCAAAATTACAGTTATGAAGTGGCAACGAAAATAATTTTATGGTTGGGGGTCACCACAACGTGAGGAACTGTATTAAAGGGTCGTGGCATTAGAAAGGTTGAGAACTACTGCTTTAGCTTAAATACTGATATGTAAATAAACAGTTACACTATATCATGATAAAATCTCTGATGAGGGAAATCAAGAGAGCTAAGGGACATCATAGGAGAGTGTGTCACTTACCTGCATAACTTACTTTCAATTTTTAAATGGTGCTTTCACTTAAGTTGTAACTAAAAATAGTGTCAGAGTGATCATGTTGCAAGTTTGTCCCAATCATTATCACTTGACTGTTACCATTATTTTATTTCATAAAATAAAAGAATTATTTTTATATTGTCCCCACAAATTAAACAACTGTGTTGGGTAGAACTTCTATTAGATTTTATACCCTTCATTATTGAATATCTACTTTGAAATATCTATTGAAATGTTTCTTGCTTCTTAATATTTTTTTTACCTTAGTATTTAGATAAGAAAATACAAGTTACATCTTGAAAATAAAAATGCATATTATATTATTAGCTCATAGGAAACATGGGGTAGTTTTGTATTCGTGGAATAAGCAGTTTAAAATAGGAATTTTTTAATTTTGGATTCACTTTTTTCCCCTTGGTTTCTACTTTTCCTGTTAGTAGGACTCATTTTTAGTTGGCTTTGTCAAAAACAGGGCTTACAGCACTCTGTTTAACAAATATGTTAAATGTTAACCTTCACAAATAAGCATCAGCTGTAAGCATGCTTTCCTGTTTCCCTCAGTGCACGTCTTATAGTCTTGTTCCTTGTTCCTAATGAGTATGAAGGACATGTCTTATTAAACTTTTACTGGTATTTCTTGTAAAACTAACCAACTCTCTGCTAACCTCCCTAAACCACCCTGTCTGTTTTGTTGTCTGTAGTCGTGCAGAACAGATCCCTCCTTGCCTGACAAGTGAGTCTTCTCTCCCCTCTCCCTGGGGCACACCAGCTCTGTCCAGGAAAAGGTACTGATTTTATAACAGTCGATCTTTGTTTGTGTGGGGGGTTTTTCTTTTGTGCTTTATTATGTGTTAATGTGGTCGTTGTGCTTTGTATCTTCAATTTTTTTTTGGCTTTGTGTGTATATATATTTTATATGTTTTAAAATAGTCAACTTCTGAGTATATTTATAAGAGTATAATGTGTTGATGCTATGAAGATAGAAAGGACATGTGTCATTCAACTCTATTATTTAAACTAAAATACGCATTTTGCTTTAGAGCAGCATATGTTTTATTAAAATTAATGTAGAAATGAGGACTTAGTGCCTCTCTAAATGGAGTACTTTCCTGATTTTTCTTTTTACTTTAAATGTGCCTGGGGATCAATATTTTGGTTTCTCCTACTGCTTTCAAATGAGCATCACAGCACCGGCAAGGAAGTATGTGCTTTCTCAGTAGGGTTCAACCAGTTTAAATGTGATGCTGTGAGGTGTCACAGCTAACCTTAGAAATGATGAATGGCAAAGCCACAGTTGCGGGGGCTGAGGCAGAGGCAGTTAAGGGCCATCAGACCGGCAGGGGAGAGCAGTTAGGAGTGATCAGGCAGGCAGGCAGAGGTGGTTAGGGGCAATTGGGCTGGCAGGGAAGAACGGTTAGGGGCAATCAAGCCAGCAGGGGAGAGCAGTTAGGAGCATCAGGCAGGCAGGCAGAGAACTTAGGGGCGATCAGGCAGGCAGGCAGAGGCAGTTAGGAGCCAGCAGTCTCGGATTGCAATAGGGTCCCAGATTAGAGAGGGTGCTGATCGGATTAAGGGTCCCCTTCTTCTCCTCCCCTTTCCCCCATATGAATTTCGTGCACTGGGCCTCAAGTGGACTATAAAGAACCAGCAGTTAGTTGGCAAGAGTACAGTTAAGATCCATTCGTATTCCATAATTATGATCCATGACCATATTCTGTGCACTTGGAACCAAATATTCTTACTTCCCTGGTTTTCCTTATGACCAAGTACAAGTCCTTAAGCCTGTGTTGATCTTCCACTGTGGCTTTTTTAAAATGAATCTCTCTTTGTTGTTTAATTTTATTTATATTTTGATTTTGAAACTTCAGTGTAATTGGAGTTTCTATATCAAAAGTATTTGTCACAGACTGTATTTTAATGTATTTCAATAATAATATTCATTAGGTATATGGACTTATGTTTCCCTTTTTTCTTAATTTACACTGGGGCTTATAGCTCATTTTCTTCCAGTACATCATGGCATAGTTCAGAATATTTTTAAATGAATGTAGTGTTTTAATATGTTTGTATTTGAAAACCACTACTTTTTTTAAGAGCATTTTTTGTTGTTAATCCTCATCTGATGATATTTCCCATTGATTTTTAGTGTGAGTGGAAGGGAGGGGGAGAGACAGAAAAAAATACCGATGTGAGAGAAGCACATAGATTGGTTACTTCCTGCATGGCCCCGGGACCTTTCAGTTGTGGGCTGAGGCTCTAACCACTGAGCCAAACCACTGAGCCAAACTTCTTAATTCAAGAGCTTGTAACTTTAATTTGAGAATCTAGTGCTTTTTTGTAAGCTTCTATTTTAAAATGAGTAAGACAAAAAGTATTCTTTTAGTTTGAAGATTTATGTGTTCTCACTATTATACAGAACTGCTATGGGATATTAGAAAATTAGTTTCAAGGACTAACTAGTTATAATTATTTTTTAAAATCACCTTTATAATTCTGTCATAAATATAAAGGCTTAAAAAGTACTATATTTAAAAATATGTAACCCTTTTTAACTATTAACTAGAACTGTAAAATACTTTTACTAGAAATTTACTGATTAAAGGATCACATTAAAAAGAGAAATCCATTAGAACTTACTACTTATTTAAACAGAATTTTATTTTATATCATGAAGAGTTATTTAAAGCCTTAGATCAGAAATAGTTTGTCTTAATTTACAACATAGCTACCTGTAAGGATGCCATGTCTTTGATATAAGGGGAAACTATCCCTGAATCTACATCCTGGTTGAGTGAATCTTACTTATTCATTGGAATTCTAATCCAGTTTACAGGCTGATGTCACCTTAAGGAATCTCATGATAATACTAAGACCAGTGCTGGCATTTTAAGGTTTTCATTCTGACTAGTTATATACATTTTACTTAGTGATAATAATCATAAGCTAATAAGAAATACAATGTTTTTATTTTACACATGCAATATAGTAACTTTCAAAATTAGAAGAGCTTGAGAACATAAATTACATCAGCTCATGGGCATCTTTTTCTTGCTGCAAAACATGTTTTTGTTGGCAAAAGGAGAAACCAAGATTTTATTTGTTTTTGTGGCTTGTATTCAGGTGTTAAGGAAATTTTGTACTTGTGAATCTTCTCAGGTATATAAAATCTTAGAGATCCTTCTCCAGTTTAAGCATTGGAGGGAAAAGAACTAAGAAACTTCATATTTTGAAAATTAAAACTAACTTTTTTATTATTAATTACCTAGAGCAGTGTTTCCCAAACTTTTGACATATGTGTACCCCTTCTATAATTTTCGTAACGCTGAGTACCCCTCGTACTCATGAGAATGTAGAATTAGGCGCAGCTAAGCACGGGGCAGTGCATATCCCCACCAAACTGCGGTGCAGCATGTACCCCCACCAAACTCTTCCCATACTCCTGGAGTACGCGTACCACATTTTGGGAACACTGATCTAGAGGAATAATGGAATATTATTATAGCTGAGTGATGTTTAATCAGAGTTAGAGGGAGTGAAAACAAAATACAAAATAATAACCAAGACACTCCAGAATATATCTGCAATTGAGAAAAGGGTGGCAATTACTAGTTATCATTCAAACATGGCATCCATTACTTAGTGCCTCTGCACACTTGATGATAACTAAGGTAGAACAAATTCTGAATTTAAATATTTGAGCATATATATCCAAAGATGTTGGTAAGTTTCATATATATGTTTTCTGACAGCTTAATTGAAATATGAAAATAGCAATTTCTGTAAGTTTTAAAAGAAAGTACAAATAAAAATTAACTAACTTTTGAAATGTATTTTATCCTCTCTTTGCAAATGGTTAGGTTTTGCTAAGGAATTATGCATTGAGTATGTTTAGTGTAATCTCTACATTTAAAAAGTGGTATTGCCTGTGGTGATACCTAAGTGACTTAGTAAGAATTAGTGTTGTATAATGCTTATAAAAATAGACCTAATTTTAATTAAGAAATACCATAGTTTAGTGTTCTACATTGTTTGAAATATATTCCTCGTTTGAGAAGAATGAATGTGATTTTTATATCAGAATATTGTTTTCTCATGTAAGGTTAAAAAAGTTTACTACTATAATAGTTATATACTTAGGTATATCCACAGTTCACGTTCAAAACTATATGCAATCTGGAAATTCAGAAATAATTTTGGAAGACCTATGACTAAAATATATAATTAGAATATATGTTTATCCTAAAATTTGGGTTATTTTCGTGTGTGTAATGAAAACAGTTTTTATGAAATTTCTTAGTGGTTGAGGATTCATATTATACTATTGAGGAATTAGGAATCTTTTCTGCATGGGTCTAAATATTTTAAAGACTAAAGAGAAAACTAATGGTTACAGCATTTACAATTATCTTAGGTTTAGAAATTAAATCTTTCTGAACAAAATCAGCAGATAAACAGGGAGTTGAAAAAAATGAGTGGGTGTAGGATAAGCTGACTTGAAATAAACTAAGGAGACCCTGTTCTTTTTTTTATAAGTGAAGCTGAATATTTTTGTTGCCTGTTAAAAAGAGAATGGAGCTTAAGAAAACAAACCTGGCAGTGCCAATTCCTTGCTTCTAAGTGACTGACTTTAAGCATCTGTTTCCCAAGCTGCTCTTGTGCCAGAGAGCTGAAACTGTACTGCTCTCGGTGACAGAGTCAGCATTAGACCAATTACGCTGAGGCACTGGAACAAAGAGCTCCCATAGGCTAAAGCCACAAGCACCTATTTTCTAGAGCCAAGATGCAAAATGTGCAAAACTCATGAATTATAGAAGAGTATGAAGTAGAAAGTGGAGATCGTTGATGAGAAGAAATGTATATTCAGGACATGACTAGACTTCCTAACTCATAGAAGCTTTTTATGTAAAACATGCCTTCTAACTTTGTAACAATTGTGTGGAATATTTTCAGTGGTGGGGAAAAATGTAAAAGAAAGTGAGTGTAGTTCCAAATACGCTAAAAGAAAACTCCCTTGACGATTCTGAGCCAACCCAGATTCCATTGAACCAGTTATATAGAGTAAGCCACTTTGGTCTTGCTAGTTCTTGATTCTGGTATCATGGGTCAAAGCAAAGCTAAAATCACACATGTAATTTTAAAAGAAAAGTTTTATTGAGGGATTTAATTTAGCTTGCACTCTGCATCACATATTATCAGAACTGTCACCTTTCCTAGCACTATGGTTTCACCTACTTATATCTTTTGGTACAGGTGTCATTCTTCCCCTCTCTGCTTTCAGTTTTCTCTATAGTAATAAAGGCATAGTATGCTAATTAGACTGGGACGTCCTTCCGGACGACCTTCCAGATGAAGTGGCAGCAGCGGAGCCAAAGAGAGGCAGAGGCAGAGGCAGCTGCCCTAGTGACAGGGGTCAAGACAGAGGCAGCCATTATGATGGCTGGGGCCAATCCCTTCCACAAATTTCATGTATCAGGCCTCTAGTCTTATCTAATAAAAGGGTTATATGCAAATTAACTGTCACTCCATCACAAACATGGCAGCACCCAGTTCTCTCAGTCCCACTGGAGACCCCCAGTCCCAGGTGGGCGGTCGCTGAGAGTGGGCAGCGTGAGAAGCCTGGCAGAATGCTTGCTTCATTGCCATGGCAACAAAGCAAGCGTTCCACCGCGGCTGGGAAGGGGCTCTGAGCAGCGGGCATGGAGTGGCGAGGGCAGGGAGGGGGAGGGAATGCTTGCATCGTCACCCTGCTGACAAGGCAAGTGTTCTGCGTTGAGCCACAGGTGGTCCTCTGGCCAGGCCAGGGTGCGAAACACTTGCACCATCACCCCAACAACAAGGCAAGTGTTCCACGCCCAGTCATGGCTGGGCCTCTGGGCCGTGGAGAGTGGGCAGTGGGCGTGGAGCAGCCAAGCCCCGCAGAGAGCTACTGGCACATGGATTTGTGTGCATGGCTACTAGTTGAAATATAATAGATACAGAGCACAATATAATGATCTCAGTTACATATAGTGAAATGATGATTGCAATAAGATTAGTCACATCTATCTCATATTTATACAATAAAAAAATAAAAAAGTGTTTTTTTCTTGTAATGAGAACTTTTAGGGTCTACACTCTTAGCCACTTTTAAATATTATCATTGAATAGTGTTAACTGTATTCATAGTGTGCCATCCTTTAATGAAACAATTCAAATTGTAAATGGTAAGGGCACACAAGAGTCTGTAGGAATTGATAGTTAAATTGTCTATATGTGACACATTAAGAATTGATAATCACCTTTTATATCCCAAAGTTAAGGTGTTTTTGTAGCCTAACTTTGAATTATAAGGATTTTTTGCTTATGAATGGATAAAAGAAATGAAAAGACTCTGACTGGAATAAAATACCAAGTTACCCTTCTTTCTTTTTCATAGGCATGCATACCATTCTGTTTCAACTACCCCCGTGTACCCTCCTAAAAATGACCTGAAACTACATGTGGCAACTTCCTCTCTCCAGAGTTCTGATGCTGTCATCATCCATCCGGGAGCCATGCTGGCCATGCTGGACCTCCTGGCCTCTGTGGGGTCAGCGGCACAGCCAGAAGTAAGCTTGGTGCTGTCAGCTCCTTCTGTCTTTAATGAGTTTTAGAAAGGATGTGGGTGTGCCCACATGAGCAAGGGAGTGGGGTCAGAAAGGTGGGAAGGGATGTGAAACCATTCCATATCACACACCCAAGTTAATAAAGGAACAAATACAGGGTTTTCTATTAATTTTCAGTAATTTATAAGTTATCTTTGATTAGTTTTCTTCATGAATGATAACTACGAATGTTTTCGAATATAATTCATTTGACAAATGTAGTCAAGGTGTGAAAATTACTGTTTTTCATTATAAATCCTGCTCAGCAATGGATATTGTTAGTAAGTAGTACAGAAAGAAAAGTAACCAAAGATACCACTTTGCAACCATTTATCCATTTTGACTTGTAGCAGTCAAGAGTTTGGATGAGCTGGGGTTTGGTTGACAAATCTTGTTAAATGTATGGCCTCTAAGACCTAAAGTGTCACCAATGTAAATAAAAGGACTTCCTTTAAGCTATTAACCCACCATGAAAAGACTTCTCATCCACTATTTCTATAAAAATAAAAATACTATTAGCTATACAGTCATCTACATATATTAAAGGCTAATATGCAAAGTGTCCCCCTGGGAGTTCAACCAGAAGACCAGGAGTTCTATTGCTTGCTATGGCATGAACTGACCACCAGGGAGCAGTGCAGAACAAAGGAAGGTCCCACTGGGCAGCCAGCAGCCGGGAAAGGGGGTCACCAGCCGGCAGCCAGAGGGCCCCAATTGGCCCTGATCGCTGGCCAGGCCCAGGGACTCTATCCGTGCATGAATTTTGTGCACCGGGCCTCTAGTGTAATATAAAAGACTTGGAAGAGAATGGAGTCTAGCTGGCAATGCCAAAAAGTGAGGATGGCAAGCATTTGCCCAGCCTCTGGAGCTGTTGTCACTAAGTCAGTCACTTACATTCGCAGCATGTTGAGACCTCGAATGAAAAGGTGTACTTCATGTGGAGAGAACTATCACCTGTCTTACTAAGAATGCCCTGGTGGTGTGGATTTCTTTGTTAACTTTAGCATGCTTTGGACCTCCAACTTGCCGTGGCGAATATTTTACAAATCCTGGTGCACACAGAGAGAAACCAGCAGGTGATGTGTGAGGCCGGCCTTCACGCACGACTGCTGCAGCGGTGCAGCGCTGCCCTGGCTGACGAGGACCACGCGCTGCACCCACCCCTCCAGCGGATGTTTGAGCGATTGGCCTCCCAGGCTCTGGAGCCCATGGTGCTGAGGTCAGTAGTTCTCTCTTTCACATTTAATAATTCACACTTAGTAATGACAGTTCCTAGAGTCTATATGCAAGAGCTCTTGCTTTAATTGAGATAGTATCTCAAGTATCTGTGGGAAGATCCAAAGCACAATAAAAAATGGGCAAAATGCTTAAAGTGTAGCGCATACACACATACAAATCTAGCTTTTAATAAAGACAGAGATGTTTCTGTTTGTTGGTTATTTCTTCCACTTGAATTCAGCAAACACTCACTTTCCTTTAATGTCATACTATATTTATGACTTGCCCATACTTTTAAGAACTTTTTATATGTAAGACTCTTAAGAAATACTTGTTTAACTTTTTTATTTATTTTCAAATAATTACCAATTCAAAAGGAAGTTGTAGAGTTAGATAAAAGAGGTTCTGTGTCCTCTTTAACCAGTTTCTCCCAGTGGTAACATCTTATGTAACTATAGCACAACATCAAAAGCAAGAAATTGACCATATACGAGGCCTTGTTGATACCAAAATGAACAAGACTCTCCCACTCTCTCCTTCCATCATCTTATGATGTGATTAGAATTGAAAATAGCATGGGGATTTTCCCCTGACCCTTCTTGGTGATCTGCTACTTTAAAAGGAGAGAAAGGGAGAATATGAGAGACTATCTCATTATCTCATACCCAATATTATTATAATACTAAATAATTTATATTGCCTAGATGGATAAACAGATAAGCAATGGAGATCAATCATTTGGACATGATCAGTTTCCAAGTAATGAATTCTCAGAGGTACAAGCATCCAGGTGCTAATAAGCTACAGGTTATAATTGCATGTCCTCTCACTCTACTGAAAAACTGACAGAGGGTACATCCCATTCCAGGAAAACATACTCCTCAGATGTCATTTCCTAACACTTCACAGTTTTCTCTGCACTTTAAAGTGCTTGCTATTTGAATGTAAAATTAACATTGCTTTTATATTTTTTTCAAATGTATTCTTTATTGATTTCAGAGAGGAAGAGAGAGAGAAACATCAATGATGAGAGAATCATTGATCAGCTGCCTCCTGCATACCCCCTACTGTGGATGGAGCCATCACCCAGCCATGTGCCCTTGACCAGAATCGAACCTGGGACCCTTCAATCTGCAGGCTATGCTCTTATCCACTGAGCCAAACGGGCTAGGGCTGCTTTTGTATTTTAACTGATGTGTTATAATTCAGTAACTCCTTTTGTATGTGTTTGGTTTATAATTTATGTAATATTCTCAGTCAAGAAATAACTTTGTTTTTTTCTTTAGGGAGTTTTTGCGTTTGGCAAGTCCATTAAATTGTGGTGCCTGGGACAAAAAACTGCTTAAACAATATAGAGTCCACAAACCAAGTTCACTGAGTTATGAACCAGAGATGAGAAGTAAGTTGACTTGGAAGTTTCTTTTTTTCTTTTTTCTTTTTTCTTTTATAAATGAAAACTATGTGGGGGATGAATATTATTTCAAAAAGTTTGACTATGATAGGAAGGAAAGAGAAAAGTTTGTTGTTGTTTTTGTTGTTACTTAAATGTAGAAACAAAATCTGGTTGAGTGACTGAAGAGGGTTAGGGAGGAATCATTGATATAATAAGTGAGATCTAGAGGAGATTTTTGAATTACTTGCAGAATAATCCTTGGCTTGGCAGAGGTAATATGTATTTATCAAAGGATTCATAATTACTTTGCCTTTCTTCATTAGCCTTTCTTGCCTGGACTAAAGAATGTTGATTGGAATATTAACAGGACAGCTGCTACAAGAGGACATAAAGGACAGGAAATTAAAAATACTGATAATGGTAGTTGAGATACACCAAAGAGTGTAGGCTAGATAGGGAATGACATGAAGCCAAGCAGTGAGTGATAGGCTGGGGGAAAAGAATGACCACTGGTCTGGAGAATAATGGCTTAACCAATAAGCAAATGTAGTGAAAGAAATGGAATGAGAAAACTGGAAGATTGGGGTGGAACAGTGGCAGCCAAAATTGGAGCAGTGGAACAAACAGAAGACAGTGCCCAAATTGCTCTGAGGGAAGTAGAGGTAAAGCTCATTGGACGAAAAGGAGTCTCATAAAACTGAATGTGAGATGCTAGATGGTTTATTCACATGGACTTTGATATCCCCCAGTGCATTGCAAGAATCAGTATGAAGAGGATGGCTGAGAATGAAATGCCACCATTAGAAGAAGGCAGTTTCTTGGGGAGGGGAAGAGGAAGGGCAGAATATTGGTGATGAACCTCCAATCAGGAGGAGTTGCATCAGGCAGATGGAATGGTGATGGAGGGGGCTAGCAGAATGTAGGCCTGCCTACCCACCTGACATAGGGAAGCAACAGATTTCCATCCACTCAAAAGCTATGATGGTCTTCTCAGTAGGCACTTCAGCTGCACCGGATTTCCTTCCAATGTTAATGCTGTAGTTTTGTTGGTTTTTTACTTTATAATTTATTTGGTATCATTGTTAGCCACAGTGATAAGGTGTTTGTTTTGATTGATTGGAGTGACCATTACTAGCGAAGCAGGGAAGAATAAAACCTAGCAAAGTAGACTGGCTGCTGTGAAAAAACACAGTGCTCATTTAATCCAGCCCTTCTTATTTAGGTGTGAAGCCAAGACTCAACCTTCAGTCATTATTTTAGTCTGAAATTTTTTTAAAAATACATCTTATTGATTTTTTACAGAGAGGAAGGGAGAGGGATAGAGAGTTAGAAACATCGATGAAAGAGAAACATCAGCCGCCTCCTGCACACCCCCTCCTGGGAATGTGCCTGCAACCAAGGTACATGCCCTTGACCGGAATCGAACCTGGGACTCTTGAGTCTGCAGGCCAATGCTCTATCCATTGAGCCAAATCAGTCCCAGCTCAGTTTGAAATTTTTTCCCCCTGCAAATTATTATCCATTTTTAGTGAATACTGTATTTTGAAAACTTTAAGATTTTTTTTTTTAGTTCCAACAGTTTTATTGAAAAACAAAAAGTATTGCATTTTTTTTTGTCAATTAATAGACATTTTTTGATGTATGTATATTTCTTATTACTGTTGTTTTTATACTTTACATAGTTCCTTTGAATTGAGTTGGGATTTCCTTTGTAAAGAATAGGAACAAAAATAGTTTATCTTAGAGAAGATTGAACTGTGTTTATGGTTGAGCCTAAATGCTTAGCACATTTATGAGGGAAACAGTTACATTCATGTGGTTTATCCCAAGAGGAAGTATCTTCTTTGTTACATTTGTAATCCATTTCTGAAAAACAGAACAGTTTGTTTAAAGTTTGTCTTTTCATTCTTGAAATTATCATTTACATGCCTATAGAAATTTCTTAATTTAAGAAATTAAGATCACATTAATTTTAACAGAAGAATTAAAAATAAAGAGAAAATGGGAGAAATTTCTGCTATTTATTTCTGATTTTTTTCCATAAGAAAGATGACTTGTTGTGTGTTTTTTTAATATATAATGCTTCTAGAATATTTTGTGTATTTTTTTCTCAAAAAGAAATCCAATATAATAAAAACAATATGCAAATTGACCAAACAGCAGAACAACCAATTGGTGGGGGACAGGGCCAGCGAGCAGGCTGTGCCAGGCCAGCCAAGGCACTGCCCAGCAGGCAGAGGGAGAGAACAGCAATGGAACAGGGGAAGGGGTGGCGACCAGCCATGGTGAAGGGGCATTTGGGGAGCCTGCCCCATCGCCTTCCACAGAGGGAGGCCACCATTGTGGCCGCAGTGGGATGCTAGCGGTAACAGGGTGATGTGGGTAGTGCTGGCCAGTCTCACAGAGAAAGGCTGGTGACAGCTGCCGTGGGGTGATGGGGGCAGCACTGTCCCCTGCTCGGCCAGGTGGCATCCTGCAGAGGGAGGCCATACTGCATCTTAGGCCCGCTCAGTAGGACATTCCCTAAGGACTCCTGGACTGTGAGAAGTTGCAGGCTGGGCTGAGGGACCCCTCCCCCCATCCCCGCCCCAGTGCATGAATTTTTGTGCTCTGGGCCTCAGTAATAAATAATTTTTTGACATAAAAGTATATCAGATTTTTATAAATACCATTAACCATAATTTATTATTAAATTACTAGAGGCCCAGTGAATGAAAATTCATACACTGGAGGAGGCATCCAACAGCTCAGCCTGCCCCCTCTCACAGTCCATAAGCCCTCAGGGGAGGATATGACCCAGCGATCAGGGGAAGACTACGCCCCATCACACCTCTGCTGCTGCCGCTGCCAGAAGTGCAAGCATCAGCCACCCCTGGTTATCTGAGCCTCGGACAGCCCTAGGAGCTGGGCAGCTGCCATCTGAGGCTTGCCTGTGCCTTGGCCCGCCCTGGGTGGCTGGGCAGCTGCCATCTGAGCCTTCCCTGTGCCTCGGGCTGGCCCTGGGCGGCTGGGGGACTGAGGGGTCTGGGGGACTCTGGAGGCAGGCACCCCAGCGGGGCTGAGGGAACTTGGCACTGCCATCTTGTGACTGTGAGTGCCACCATCTTTGTGGGCAGGACAGACAGTTAGCATATTCCCTCCTCATTGGCTATGGGTACCACCATTGTTGTGATGGTCAATTAGCATATCCCTTCTTTATTAGATAGGATGTATTTTTTAAAATATATTTTATTGATTTTTTTTTTTACAGAGAGGAAGAGAGAGGGATAGAGTTAGAAACATAGATGAGAGAGTATCATTGATCAGCTGCCTCTTGCACACCCCCTCCTGGGGATGTGCCCACAACCAAGGTACATGCCCTTGACCTGAATCAAACCTGGGACCCTTTAGTCCACAGGCCGATGCTCTATCCACTGAGCCAAATCAGTTTTGGCCCAACATTTATACAATGTGTTTATTACTTAAGTAATATGTAAAAAAAAGGAAACATGGGCTATTTAAGTTTTAAAATGAACATAAAGTAGTACATTAAAACTGGTGTTTATAATAAAATTTTTAATTAACCATAAAAACTGAAGGTATTTAAAAATAAATCAGCCTTATAAAGTCATTATTTTAGAAAACTACATGATATTTTTGCAAAGAAATTTTCTTTGACTTACAGGTAGTCTAATCATGTCTATGGAAGGTCTGGGTTCTGATAATGTTTTCAGCTTACATGAAGATAACCACTATCGGATTAGCAAGAGCCTGGTAAAATCTGCAGAAGGAAGCACTGTACCCCTGACCAGGGTAAAGTGTCTGGTCTCCATGACAACTCCACATGACATCAGACTTCATGGGTCATCAGTTACTCCAGCTTTTGTTGAATTTGACACATCCCTTGAAGGGTTTGGGTAAGGAATTTACAAGGTAGCCAAGCCTTGTTAGGTTTTTATGATTCATACTTGCCTTTGACAAATAGACCTTTGGTTTTAAATCTAGTTAAAATATACTATATACTGTTCAGTTTCAAATTATTGAGTTCTTGATCATGTTAAGTAGTTTTGTTGGTTTTTTACTTTATAATTTATTTGGTATTGTTAGCCACAGTGATAAGGTATTTGTTTTGATGGATTGGAGTGACCATTATTAGAGAATCAGGGAAGAATAAAACCCTGTGAAAAGAATATAGTGCTCATTTATCAATAGTTCAACCCTTCTTGATTATTTATTTGTTATTTCAAATTACTTATTATAAATTAATTATTTTAAATTACTTATTTTTTTAAAATAAATCTTTATTGTCCAGATTATTATAGTTGTTCCTCTTTTATCCCCCCATAGTTCCCCTCCACCAGGTTCCCCCCACCCCCGCCACTGTCCTCGTCTATAGGTGTATGATTTTTGTCCAGTCTCTTCCCCCTGCACCCTTTTCCCCCTGAGAATTATCCACTCCCTTTCTATGCCCGATTCTATTATATTCACCAGTTTATTCTGTTCATCAGATTTTTTATTCACTTGATTTTTTGATTCACGTGTTGATTGATATGTATTTGTTGTTCATAGTTTTTATCTTTACCTTTTTCTTCTTTTTCCTCTTCTTAAAGAATATCTTTCAACATTTCATATAATATTGGTTGGTAGTGATGAACTCCTTTAGCTTTTTCTTATCTGTGAAGCTCTTTATCTGCCCTTCAATTCTGAATGATAGCTTTGTTGGCTAAAGTAATCTTGGTTGTAGGTTCTTGTTATTCATCACATTGAATATTTTTTGCCACTCCCTTCTGGTCTGCATAGTTTCTGTTGAGAAATCAGCTGATAGTCGAATGGGTACTCCCTTGTAGGTTACTAATTTTTCCTCTTGCTGCTTTTAATATTCTCTCTCTGTCTTTTGCTCTTGGCATTTTAATTATGATGTGTCTTGGTATGGGCCTCTTTGAGTTCCGCTTGCTTGGGGTTCTCTTCGCTTCCTGGACTTGTAAGTCTATTTCTTTCACCAGGTGGGGAAGTTTTCTGACATTATTTCTTCAAATAGCTTTTCAATATCTTGCTCTCTCTTCTTCTGGCACCCCCATAATTTTGATGTTGGTACCCTAGAAGTTGTCCCCGAGACTCTACACTATTTTCATATTTTTGGATTCTTTCTTCCTTTTGTTTTTGCAGTTGGGGTGTTTTTTGCTTCTTCATATTTCAAATCTTTGACTTGATTTTTCAGATCCTCTAGTTTCCTGTTGATCTCTGTATATTATTTTTTATTTGAGTTAGTGTATACTGAATTTCTAGTTGGTCCTTTTTAATATTCTCAAGGGTCTCACTAAATTTATGAGCCTTTTCTAGAAAATTCTTGAAAAATCTTATAATCATTTGAACTCTATATCCAGTAGTTTGCTTTCCTCCATTTCTTTTATTTGTGACCTGTTTCTTTGTCTCTGCATTTTAGCTGCTTCCCTTTGTTGATAGGTATCCTATAGGGCCCAGTGGCTCAGTTTCCCCAGTTACTGAGGTGGACACTCTTGGCGCACCCGTTTGTGGGCTGTGTATACAGTCTTGTAGTTAAGCCTTGATTGTTGCTGTTGGTACCACTGAGAGGAATTGGCCTCCAGGCTAATTAGCTGTGAGAATCAACTGTGTCTACGATAGGAGAACTTCTGTGCTGGAGACACCCTTATGGGATATGACTTGCTTCAGTGAGGCTTTGGTGCTCTCTGAGTCTGCCCCCTGAGTGTGTACCTTATGGATCTGAGGAGTTGTAACCTGGATGGTCCCACTTTGACCACTGGGTACACTGGTTGTTGGATCTCTAAGGAGGTGCAAATTTAGCAGGAGCTATGGAGAGATCTTCAGATTCCTCTTCTTTGTTAGAGGTTTGGAGGTACCCAGATGAGACCCAGCTGTGATGCAGTGCAAGCTACTGAAAGGCCTTTGCCCTTCTTTTGCATGTTTTGAGTCTGTCTGACCCAGCTGCAGTTTGTTAGGTAATTTTACATTGCAAAGGACCAGGCCATTCATATGCAAAAGTCTTTGGGCACAGCTTGGGTGGGATAAGGTCTCAGGGAATTAACAGGATGGAGCAAACAGCTATGGCTGATCCTCAGCTCAGCCTTAAGAGGCCCTCGGGTCTCAGTGTCCAGAGGTTATCGCTGCAAGCACCTCTGAGAGAAAGCTGCCCTCGAGTTCCGTCTGCTGCCAGACAGTCCAGTTTCTCCCCGTATGAGCCTGGGTCCCCAGAGTCTCACCCGAAACTGGAGTTCAGAGCAGTCAGGAGCATCTGTCTTCCTCCTGATTGAAAAAGACAATTGCGTCCTCAATTGCCAGCCCTTTCTTCGCGTGCAACTTCGTACCTTTGCATTTTATTTCCACACCTCCTCAGAGTCTCAGTGTGCTTTTCTCTTTCCTTTGAATTGTAGAATTTCCACTCAGCCAGCCTTCCTGTGGTTCTGGATGATGTCCACTTTGTCTTTTAGTTTCAGTTTTAAAGTGGTTGTGCAAGGCAGCAATTTTAGATGTTTACCTATGCCACCATCTTGGTTTCTCCTTAAATTACTTATTATATTGGATAACTTTATATGGTATTAGAGTCATCAAACTACAGTTCAAAGTTTAAATATGTTTTGTTGTAAATAAAGTTTTATTGTAACACAGCCACATTCATTTATCTTTATGTTGTCTGTAGCTGTTCTCATGCTGTAGTGGTAAAGTTGAATAGTTGTGAAAGAGACTATCTGGTCTGCAGAGAGTAAAATATTTATGGTCTGGTCCTTTCCAGAAAATGTTTACCAGCCTCTAATTTAACATAATAAATTTATGGATAATATGCAAATTAAAATAAGATTAAAAGGTCTTTGGATTTTATCCTTTCCCTCAAAATACCTATCTTAGTATCTCATACATTATAAATATTCAGTGACTCAGTCATATACTTAAATTTTTTCAATTGGCAGGAAAGGTTGTAGTAGCAGAAGCAATAGTAAAGAATCTATAGAGTTTATAAAGTCCATCAGCCTCGAAATGGATACAGGTGCTAATAGAACAGATCTACGTCTACACAAGTTATTTGTGGGATTGTTATACGTTGATCTAAAACTATAAGTTGTATTTTAAGAAAATTGTCATAGATTATTATTGAATAGTGGATTCAAACACATTTGGGAATAGACAAAACTAATCAGAATGGTTGTTATAGGAAAGTGACTCAGTGGACAAGGCATAGAGAGTTTTTTGATGGTAATAAAATTGTTCCAAGGTCTTGAACAGGGTTATATGTTGGTACATTTACCATATGCATATTATACTTTTTTTAAATTTAAATGTCAAAAGATGCTATTGAAGATTTTATGTTTATTTTTAATCCTCACCCAAGAATATGTTTTTGTTGCTTTTTGAGAGAGAAAGAGAGAGAGAGAGAGAGAGAGAGAGAGAGAGAGAGAGAGAGACATTGATTGATTGTCTCCCATGCACACCCCAACCGCGGATCGAACCTACAACCTATGTATGTGCCCTGAAGGGGAATCAAACCTGCCACCTTTTGGTGTACGAGTTGATGCTCCAACCAACTGAGCCACCTGACCGGGGCACTGTATGAGATTTATAAAGTGTATCCTTCCATACACATAGAATTAAAAGAAAGGAAAAACTTTGTTAAGCACCCAGATTTATTCCATGATCTTTTATCCCTCGATACCACTTAAGAAATGGCAGTTTATTTCACAGTGGTAAGTGCATAATGATAACAGGAAAAAGTTGATCTCTAATATGTATGTCATTTTTTCTTTAATAGCTGCCTGTTCCTGCCCAGTTTGGCCCCTCATAATGCCCCTACAAACAGTGCTGTTACAACAGGTCTTACTGATGGGGCTGTGGTCAGCGGCATTGGTTCTGGTAAATATTACTTCCTTTGTTTACGAGTCCTTTTTTTAGTAGATTATATTGTATTTAGAGTTCATAGCTTTTTTTTTTTTATGTATACATGACTCAACATAAACTTTTATTGTTATTTTCCTATTTTTATTTTAGGTGAAAGATTCTTTCCTCCTCCCTCTGGCTTAAGCTACTCTAGCTGGTTTTGTGTTGAACATTTTAGTTCTCCTCCAAATAACCATCCTGTCAGATTTCTGACTGTTGTGCGCCGAGCAAATTCTTCTGAGCAGCATTACGTGTGCCTTGCAATAGTTCTGTCAGCAAAAGACCGATCTCTGATTGTTTCCACCAAAGAGGAGCTACTCCAGAACTATGGTCAGTATCTGTCTTTTCCTTTATGCTTCCGGTGATCATTAAAAGTATTAAAGTTCATTATTTTTTCCCATTTAAATTATTATAGAATAGAACAGGTTATATGAAGTCTTGCATGTATTGTTTACCAGTAAATTTTAAGGCACTTTTAAAAGAGACTTAGAAAGCATTGGAGAGTGTCCCTAAAATAAGGGTTCATCTCTACTTGCCAAGAAAAGCATAGCCTTTTTCCTTGTCTGGTATATTTTAGTGAGGATCTTCATCGGCTGTGAATTCTGCTTAACTAATGACTACTCATTGAGCACTTGCCTACCATATGTGCCACTGTGTTTGACATAACACTGAAATTACTTTATCCATCACTTACCTTCAATACTTAATACAGACCACTTAGTCCTAATTCCATAATTCCCTTCCACATGCCATAGCATTACAATGCTATACAGAGGAACTTCAAACTCAATACATGCCTGAAGAGCTTTTTAATTTATGTAAATAACATAAAATATGCATCTCAGTTTAATGAATTTTCTTTGCTGTGATTATAAGCATTTGTATAAAAATATACCTCTTTTTATCATCTAATTGGTCTTAAAATAAATAAAATACCCCATATTGCTTCACATGTGGTTGGTGTTCAAATATTAATTGATTATGAATGATAGCTTCTCAGATAGATTGTAAGGCTTCTTGTTTTACTTAGTATTCTTCATTATGACTAGTACAGAGTTAGGCATCAATGCAGTAACTGCTTTAAAGTTCTTATTAGGACTCTTTATTTGCCTCTTCTGTGGCATTTGACCTTGTTGATAGTTTTATCTTAAATAAAACTGTCTCCAGTCTTGTAATTTGGGACACTTGTTCTTTCACTATTTCTCTGACCCTTTTGCCGTGTTCTTCAACAGCTGTCTCTTTCATCTTTCCCTTAAGATTAGTATTGCCCAAGGTTTCCTCATTAGTCTTCATATTCTACCTGCTCTTCATGAGAGGAAAAAAAAAAAAATGTCAATTTCAGTTAGTGTTAAGTCTTTAGGTCTTTTTATCCCAGGGACTCAGAGAGTAAAATTTTTATATGTCTGTGTCCTAGGATTTGTATATTTCAACTGCATATTAGATAGCTTCATACGAAGAGCCTTCCTGTAAACAACTCACACTGTAATGCTTCTATTTTATAAAACATGCATCTCCTTCTATTCTCCTGTCTTGTGAAATGATACCTCCATTACCAGACAGAACCCTCATGTCTACCTCTTTGACTAAATGTTCCTGTATTTTATATCCTTAATATTTCTTGAAAATTTTTTTCCTTCTTATGCCCACTGCCATAGCCCTTATTTAATATTCTATATTTACCTGGCTGTAATAAATTTTAATTTTTTACTTTTTCTTTCTCTCTACCTTACAACAATTCTAAGTTTCTATATACAACATTACAATTTTGGTAATCTAGGTGGCTTGCTACCTAAAGCAGTACCTAGCACATAGGAAGCCAACAGGTATTATTTAAAAATACAAAAGAATGAGTGAGAAGAAAAATAAAAGGAATATGAATGGATTGAAGGGGAAACAATGAGGAAAGAGAATGAGGAATTTGGAAAGAGGGTAGAATTTAATTGGAAAATTAAGGAGTAGATCTAGGGATGTTTCAGTAAACCAGAAAAGTGTTTTCTAAGTCTATAGATTTTCACTAAATGTAATTTGCAAGACTACTATAGTTCATATATCACTAGAAATTATATCAACATATACATATGATGTTGCTACTACAAGGGTTCATCTTCTGAACAGCTGAAACCCCAACAAGATGCCTAGGAAATTAAGAGTTGTCAGAAACCAGTTGGCTCACCAAGATATCCTGATACTGTTGAATACTGGGTATGTCTTAGTTTAAGCCTGAGTCAGAATGTGAAACTCAAAAAATTTTAAAAGTATTCCTATATGATAAAAGGGTAATATGCAAATAGACCAAACAGCAGAATAACCAAACAACCAATCAAAGTATAATATGCTAATGATATGCTATGGCTGCTCAACTGCTCACTAGGACATGCACTGACCTTCAGGGGGCAGACAGTTAACCAGTCAATCAGTCGCTATGATGTGCACTGATTACCAGGGGCCAGATGCTCCAACCGGTAGGTTAGCTTGCTGCTGGGGTCCAGCTCATTGGGACTGAGCTAGATGGGCTGGACATGCCCTGGAGTCCTCCTGCAGTCCCTCCCTGGCCCAATCGTACTCTGGTGTGGTCCCTCAGCCTGGACTGCACTCTCTCACAACCTGGGACCCCTCAGGGGATGTCAGAGAGCGGGTTTCAACTGATCCCATAGGCCACTCCCCTTGGGAAGATGCCAGATGCAGGGCTTATGGCTGGCAAGTACTGCTGCAGCAGCGCAAGCCTCTCCCGATCGATTGGGACTGATTGGGCGCAAGCCCATGGCAGACACAGTGGAACTGGGATGAGCAGGAGCAGCAGGTAGGAGCTGCAGGTGGCGTTGGATGCAGGTTTTGGCCCAATCCCTGGCAGGTCACTCAGAAGGACCCCACCTGTGCATGAATTCGTGTACCAGGCCTCTAGTCTATATATATAAAAGCCTAAGCGACCGTTATGACCAAATGATGGGAATGACCCATCGACCAGTCTCTATGGCATGCACTGACTACCAGGGAGCAGACACTCAATTCAGGAGCAGCCCCCTGTTTGTTAGTGAGCTCCCACAGCCAACTTCCATGGCCAGCCAATTTACCCTGGTCCCTCCTGTCCTTCCCCCCACTCCGCAGGCCCCATTCAGCAGCTGGCAGGCCCCAGTCAGCCCAGCCCCAATCAATACTAGGCAAGATGGCCCCAATAGGCCCTGATCTCTGGCCAGGCTTAAGGACCCCACTCATGCACAAGTTTCGTGCATGGGCCTCTAGTATTTACTATAATCCCCAAGAAGATGTAGTCTATTAAATGAGGGTAGGGAGAGGGAAAAGCTCCTGGTTTTACCTATATTTTGGGTTTTCTTTTTTCACATCCTTTCAAAACTAGACCCTGCTTTTCGCCTAGTTTATTTAATTCTGTTCCTAAATTAGGTCACCTATGGAGAAGATTCTGTCTTTGTAGTAGTCTTAACTCATTAATAGATGTATATTCTGAATTGGCATTTCAGCATATGCAGATATTTTAAGATTCAAAAATAGAAATTAACATTTTATTTATAGTTCTTTCTGCATGTTAAAGTTTTAACTTTCAGTATATTTACTGGTCTCTTCTGCTTGTACTGAAAAATGGTGGGTCTGCTTTAAGTTACATAGTGATAGATTAGCTCTTTTATAAAAAAAAAAAATTGAGGGGGGAATAAGGTTTTAACATCTGGATTTCTGTTGTTTCCCTCCCCTTCTTGAATAGTTAGGAACGGTATATTAATATCAATTAACATTACAGTTAAATTAATAATATGTTATTTTCTAGTACAATCTGGCATTATTTTGGGTATCAGAGAGAAGCCAGGTTAGAGTCAGGAAGTGATTGCAGAATGTTAGCAAATCATCAGAATTATCCAGTGAAGTAGAGTACTTGGATCAACAAATACTTCTCCATTCCATAAATTATCTTACTACCAGCTATTGTCAGGTCAGGGTCAGGACTGTACACACACAAATGAAGAACAGATAGTTGCCCCCTTGCATCACTGAGCAGAGCATATAGTAAGAATATAATTTTAAATCTTCTTGGTCTTTTTTCGAACCAATGCTATAATCAAATGTATGTCAAGGTAGAATTTATAAAGAGCCTTTAGATAGCTAGTCTCTTTTTGTTGTCTATCATAAATGTATTTTATTGTCATTTTCATCTTATTTATTTTTATTTCCTTAGCTATTATAACTTTGGTTTTAACTACATGTATTTTGAGAAGAAAGCAAAGTATATCTCAGGTTTTGTTTTTTTACTACAGATAAAGTTACTGAACAAATAGGATATTTTCATTTACATTGTCATCATGTTATTTTAACAGAAAGTCAAGATCTAGATATGAATAATTGTTAGAATGAGGATAATGTTGAGTGGTGTTTTTTTTTATTTCTTAGTTGATGATTTTAGTGAAGAATCCTCTTTTTATGAGATTCTCCCATGCTGTGCTCGATTTCGATGTGGAGAACTAATAGTCGAGGGTCAGTGGCATCATCTGGTTCTGGTGATGAGCAAAGGCATGCTCAAGAATAGCACCGTGGCCCTCTACATCGATGGACAGCTTGTCAGCACTGTGAAGGTGAGTGTCCCTGCACTTGGAAAGCTCAACCTGCTTTACAAGATAGTTTAGGGAGTCTGTGTATATGTATGTTTGCAGGGGTATTTTTTTTAAATTGTCTTAATTTTACATTGGACTTGTATTTGAACAATATGTTAGAGTCATGTGGCTGGCTAGTTCCTATCACTTCATTCAAGAAGAATGGAAAGGAGAGGTTACAAAATAAGGAATTAATGAATATGTCAGTGATTGAGCCAGATTGCAGGGTGCTTTTTCACAACAGAGAAACCAGTTGAAGGATGCCTAAATAAATTATGAGCACACTTTTTTTGGTCACTTTTTTGTTATTATTGTATGCAGCCAGTAGATTCTATATTCTTTAGAGCTGGAATTGTTTTTATTCATCTTTATTTTCAGGTCACCCAGATTAGTCCCAGGAGAGAGGCAAGAGAGGTCTGTTAACCAGTAAAGAATCAGAAGTTTCTTTTTTTGAATCAGAATAAAGACTGCTAGATACTCGTTATAGAACTCAAATAGCAAACACTTAAAATTCTTTAATTTCTAAAAGTTAATGCCCATTTTTGCAGAGATATCAACTGAAAGAAGTAGTAAAGGCAAAGTTTGTCCTTTAATGTGAATTAATGTTTAAAAGGTAGTGAAATCAGTAGCTTCCTTGAATATATTTCCTTCCTACATGGTACTTTATTTTGGCATCATGTGTCAGGAGGATAAATGCTAAAATGCTCTCTGTGAGAATAGTCTTTTTTATTTTTGTATACACTAATGCATCTGAAATGGGTTTGTAGATTCTCTAGTAGGTTGTTCCTCATTATTTTTAATATCATAAGAATGTCCTCAGCTTCTAAAACTGAGAAAGAGGAGATTCATTATTGATATACCTACATTATCATCATCATTGTGCCTATGAGAAGCCAGAGTCCTGGAAGCCAACTATAGTTCATGTGTTGGTCTTCACATTCATACTACTATTTACAACACCAGGAACTGTTCTTTAGCGTGTGGAGTAATAGATGTTATCTGAAACTGGGACAAATATACTTCATTCTGTAAAATGATGAAAGCTGCTCACACAATAAGATACAACTTTATTTCATTATCTCTTACATTCTATGTATTATAAACAAATTGAATGGTAATTTGAACAACATGTCAGTAAACAGTAGTAGAACTTTGAATCTGAGAATGTACTTCCCATTGAGATTAAAGTGTGTGTTTGTATAAATTATAACATATAATAGACTATTCATTTTTCTAATATTTAATAGCACTTTACCCATTATTAAACTTTTCATGAATAATTTTAACACACTCACATTGAAGGTAACAGCTAATTTAAGTCTATTTGAATTCAATAGTTGGAAAACTTTTTATATCAACCCAAAAATGTCATAGACACGTAATTAATTTGATATGTAAACCAACCAGATTATTGCCTTTTTAGTAATAGATTGTGTATCTGTATTGGGTGTTGGATAACTCATTTTCAACTTTCACTTTAAGGTCCAAAATCTTGGCTTTCCCTTATGCTTCTGAACCCAATAGTTTTGGTATGTTTATAAGGTTGTATGAACTTTGGATAATGAAAATGTACAGCAAAAATGCTGATTTTCCTGGGAAAAGTTGTTTTTGTGTATGTGTGTGTCATAGCTCACACACTTACTTTTGTTTCTTTACAGCTTCATTATGTTCACAGTACTCCTGGGGGTTCAGGTTCCGTAAATCCTCCTGTGGTCAGCACAGTCTATGCATACATTGGTACTCCACCTGCCCAACGCCAAGTTGCTTCGCTGGTTTGGCGACTAGGACCCACACATTTTTTGGAAGAAGTTTTACCTCCTTCAAGTGTCACTACCATTTATGAACTAGGACCAGATTATGTTGGAAGTTTTCAGGCTGTATGTATGCCATGTGAGTAACTGATTCTTTCTTCTTAAAGTTGCATAAAACTTAACTATTAAAGTGTAGATGCATGAATAAAGTGCATGTGTGTATATAGGTTACACATTGTTTATCAAAAAAGGGGGGGATCTTCTCTGTTTTTCTTCAGCATGATACTGTTGACAACTCACTCCTCTTCACCGTGTTCTCCTCCACTGATCATAATGTACTTTCCTGATTTTTTTCTTCATGTCTAATCATTAATTTTCCTGTTTCTCTTACTGGCTCTAGGATATAGATGTATATCCTCATTAAAAGTCTAACCTCAGAGTTCTCCTCTTTCTGTTATTTTTCCTATTACATGAAGTAATTTAAAGTGTGTCTACTCTTATTAAAGGAAGGAATGATGGGTCCAGAAAACACACATATATATTCCTTAAGTTAGAGCAGCTAACATCAGTTTTTCTCATCACTTTACTGCTGCTGTGTACTTTCTGTTATCTTTTCTCTCAAAATGAATTTAGAGTCAAAGAAACTGATGTGGTATTCTTTCCAAATGACTTCCATCCCCTGTTCTCATCTACCAAGGTACTCAGAAGTTAGGACATGTATACAGTACATGGTGATAATCCTGTGGCTAAGTCATTTGTCTTTCGCTCATGTTTTGATTTAGATAGTATCCACAATAGCTAACACTTTTTGAGCACTTAAGTGCTAAATAAGTTAATACGCCTGAAAGATATAGCTGTTTTGAGTCATATTTTTCTTATCTCCTCAGAATATTGGGAGTTAGGTACAGTTGTTACATCCCCATTTTACTGATGAGGAAACTGGGGCACAGGGATATATATTATAGCTCACACAGCTTTTAAGAGATTCAAACTTAACCCATCTTACATACTCTGCTGTGCTGTCTAGAAGGGTACAGAGAGGCAGCGATGAGGGCACTCCTTGGGGAGGAGGCTAGGGCCCAGAGCTCATGGACATTTCACTCATTTTCATTTTCTTTTCCTTTGACCCTGGGGGATGGGTTTTGTGATTTATTTAATAATAATTAAAACTCTTTGCATTATGTTATATGTTAAGTATATTTTTAGAGTGAAACTTGGAATGAAAAGCTCTGTTTCTAGATGATTTCCCTGTTTCCTAATTAAAGAAATGAAGAGCTGAAAATTAAATAAAAGTTTTTCAATTTAGTTCTCTTGTTCCACTTTAAAAGATTTTTAAGTTTGCTGATTTAAAAATGATAAGAAGACTTAAATTCTTGTTAGAGTAATGATTTGGAAAGGATTGTTTTTCTTTTGAAGGTAAAGATGCAAAATCTGAAGGCATAGTGCCATCTCCTGTGTTATTAGTGCCAGAGGAAAAGGTGTCATTTGGCCTCTATGCACTCTCCGTGTCTTCCCTGACAGTGGCAAGAATCCGGAAGGTGTACAACAAGTTGGACAGCAAAGCCATCGCTAAGCAGGTGAGCACAATGACTTCCTGGTGAGCTGGGATGCATTCTCCCTGGAAAGAAGTTTCAGAGCTTAGTCATGAGCACTGCCTATGTCTGAGCAGGTGCTGAAATGGTTCCTTTTGTGTATTTATATTTGGTTTCTTTGGCTTTGGATTTAATCCAAAACCTATTTAGATATTAGCTTAATTTGGAAAAGTAAGAAATGCCTTCTAAGTGGATGCTTTATAATCTTAGGGTTTTTTTTATTACCAATTTGAGAAATTGAGCTTAGAAAACTAAAGACAATTGCTTTTTCTAAGACTACAACTTAAGGCTTTTCTCTATGTGCATCATTTTATTCAGCACACATCAGTGGGTAAAGAGAAAATCCCTGCCCTTATGGTTCTTTCATTCTCTTGGAAGAGACAGACAACAGTAACAAATACCCTGATGACAGTATGTTAGAAGGTGAAGAGTGCTAAAGTAGGGAAGGGGAAAGAGATAAGATTATAGTTTTGAATAGGAAAGCCAGAGGAGGCCTCACTGAAGTAAAATTTGAACAGACTTGGAAAGGGATGAGGCAGCAAACAGTGAGAACATGGAGGATGGATGGGCTGTCAGTATAGGGTGGGGGGGGGGGGGTCTTGTGTTGCAGGAATACAAGCACTAAAGCCATGAGGAAGGTGTGTGCCTGCCGCAGGGGCACATGTAGTGAGAGCACAGTGACAGCAGAGGAATGCAGAGAGGAAGGGACTGTATTGTTTAGAATTTATAGATATTTGTAAAAGCGTTGGCTTTAACTGAGTGAGATGGGAAGTATTACAGGGTTCCAGACAAAGGAATGAAATACGACATTTTAACCAGGATTACTATGCCTCCCATTGAGAATAGATTGAAGGGATATAAAGGTAGAAGCAGGGTGATGAGTTCTGAGGCCAGTGTAATAATAATTTATATGGGAGATGATGATGGACAGAATGAGGTGATAGCAGTGGCTATGATTAGAAGTGATGATCAGATCTGAGGTATATTTTGAAGATTGAGCTAATAGTTTTTGATAACAGATTGGCTATGAATTGTGAGAAAATGATAACTTCAAGGATTTTGCTCTAAGAACAAGAAAAATGGAGTCAATTTTTTTCTGATTTGGAGAAAACTATAAGAAGAGTAGTATTTTGGAGGCGGGGGTATTGAGAATTAAGTTTTGGAGATGTTTAAGAAGCATATCAGACATCCTACTGAAGCTATCAGAGCCCATTGGACATAGGAATCTGAAGTGAGGGTAGAGGTTTGCTTGTCCTGATGGTCATAGATGATATTTAAAGGCATGAGACTAAGACCTTGGCCAATTTTTCTCAGTGGTTAGAGCTTCACCCGCACACGTAAGGATTGAGGGTTCAGTCCCTGGCATGTATGGGAGGCAACCAATTGATGAGTCTTTCTCACATCGATGTTTCTCCTTCCCTCTTTCTTCCCTCTTTCCTCCCTCCATTCCACTCTCTGAAAATCAAAGGGAAAAATATCCTTGGGTAAGGATGAACAAAACAAAACTTTAAAAAAGCAAGCCATGAAACTAGGTTCATTCACCAAAGTGTAGATGTAAGTAGCGAAGAGGAAAGTTTTCAGTCTGAAGCCTGGGATGTCCCAGAGTTAGGAGTTGGGGAGATGAAACAGAGCCAGCTGAGAAGACTAAGGAGCAGCAGCTAGCAAGGAGGAAAGCTAAGAGTACTGACCATTGGGTTTTGTAAGGTGGTGGTCCTCAGTGAGCTTGATAAGCTGTTTTGGTTGATGAGGGGAGGCAAAGCCCCAGGGGAAGGAAATCAGGAGACTGAAGGAAAGGACTTGGGAACAGAAAGTATTAACAACTATTGCGCAGAGGTTTGTATGTGAATATGTTTATCAGTGGGATTGGGTCTAAACAGGCAGTCATACATCCCTCGAGGAGTCCCAGATTGAAGAGAGTGCAGACTGGGCTGAGGGACACACACACACACACACACACACACACACACACACACACATCGTGCACAAAATTCATGTACCAGGCCTCTAGTATGATAAATAATAGTGAATAATTTTGCACATGGTTATTAGAGTAGTGAGCACATTGTAAGATATAGAAATGTCAAATCAGTATGTTATACACTTGAAACTGATATAATAGTGTATGTCAACAATACTTTAATAAGAAAAATATTCAGGCTGTTCTTCTGTAGTTACATTTTTTTTCCTTTCCTATTCTTCAGTTAGGCATTTCCTCCCACGAGAATGCCACTCCTGTGAAGTTGATACACAATGCAGCAGGACATCTCAATGGGCCTGCAAGGACAATTGGGGCCACTCTGATTGGATACTTGGGTGAGTCAAATCATCTTTGCTTTTCCAATCTTCTTTATTTTTACCTTCACGTATACATTCACTTCCTCACATAAGGGGTGGTTCATCAGTTATAGAAGTAACCTGTAATGTTCTTGGAATGTTTAGAGACTAAAGTTATCATCTCAGATTCCTGATAACATTTAAAATTATAACCGCATTAAAATTTCATTAACTTTTCCTCTTTTGTCAGCACTGATGAGCTCTTAACTATTTACCCCTGTGTATTATAGTTTCAAGGTAAATGTCACAGTACATTTAGGGACAGATGTAAAGATTTGGGAAAACTGATGACTGTTACAGGGTTGGTGCAGCAGTGGTGGCACTCAAGCGCTCCTATTATTTGGAAATGAGCTAGAAATAAGAGTTTCAGAGTGTAAGCAGTGTAAGTCCAACTCTAATGAAAGTCAGAAGTAGTGGACATTCTGCAGAGCCTTGTACTTGATGTCTGCTTAAAAAGAGTTGCTTTTTGGTTAGTCTTGAGACATCCAACCAGACCACCCAAAATTTAGAGCCAGTAGTTATATATTTTAATTTGTAAATAAGTTAATAATATTGGTGGTTCCTTTTTAAATTAACAAGAATAGTTAACAAGTTAGTGTTTTTCTAGTCAGAATCCTATATGTTTATCAATCTTTGGCAATTTTTATTGTCCTGCTGATGTGTACATACCGTACCTGTTTTTCTGTTTTGATCGTGTATTGCTTTGATAAAACAGTTTTCTTTATGCTGAGGCACATGGTAGTTTTTCTTTATTCAGTTTAGCAAATCCTTGATGAGCACTGTGCTGTGTTTTGCAAAAATACAGCAGTGCTGTGGTATGATACAAAGAGCAGTGACTGAGGAGTTCAGATTGAACTAACCCTAACCCTGTAACCCCAACCCTAAACTTGAGGTCCCAGCCCCTGCTCTGTCAGGATGTGGCATTTTGCCAGATACTTGAGCTAAAATTACTCATCCTTAAACTAGTAATACTAGCCCTACTTACGTTAGAATTTAGTTTTCAAAATCCAGTGTCATAAAATATGAAAGTATTATGAATACTTTAAAGGACATAGAAATATAAAATGCATATGAGTTTTATTTTTAAAAATCTGAATCTTGATCAGTGGGCAAATGAAATTCAAAAAAAAATTTTTTTTTTAAATAAAGCTGAGAATTTTATTTAATTGACATAAAGTTTCCATATAATTATGCTCTTCTGGGGTCACAGATGTACTGTAACTCAGATTGCATAACTGGGAGAAGCTTGGAGTAATGAGCATTAATGTGCTCTGCATGGCTTACCTGTAGGGAATACGTCATCTTTCAACAGTGGCCTCTCCATCCCATTGCCTAGTTCCAGAGTTGAAGTGCTTTTGCTCCCCCCAAGTTTAACCCCCAGCAATTCCTGGTGAAGCATTCTCACTTGCCTCGAAATGCATTCCCAAAGCCTCTATGCTTTTGAGTCTTATGGTGCGCAAAGCCACACAAACATTTGTGTTTGTTCTCAAACCAAGCTCTTCTCTGATCGCTACTTTGTTTCCTCTCTCCTCCCACTGATCAAAATATGTTTATTGTCTTCTCCCAAATTCTACCTTCAAGGTTATTTTTAGAATTTTATTTTTCAGATTAAAGGGTTGTTTTGTTGTTTTTTTAAATAGCATGTATAATTAATTAGATCTTCTTAGGATGATTTATTCAGTTCTTGTTTACATGGGGACTTTAATTTTTTTCCACTGTCTTTTAATCAGGAGTAAGAACATTTGTTCCTAAGCCTGTTGCCACTACTTTGCAGTACATTGGGGGAGCTGCAGCCATCCTGGGCCTGGTGGCCATGGCTTCTGATGTGGAGGGGCTCTATGCAGCAGTCAAGGCCCTGGTTTGTGTGGTCAAGAGTAACCCACTAGCCAGCAAAGAGATGGAAAGAATCAGGGGCTACCAGGTTTGTAACCATAAAGCTTTGCTCTCGCTTTACTTTGCATAATAAGAAAAACTAATTTTTATTCTCATTTTTCTCAAACTCTGGAAGAATTATATTGACAAGTCACCTTTAAAAGTTAGTAGTTCTTATTAAAACTAACACATTTCAAGTGAGAATGAGTTGTTATCTTTATTTTGGTTTATCATTGTTCTCCTGTATCTCATCAAATATCACTCAACCTTTGAATTAGGCTGTTTTTTCAGTATAGCTTTGATATATTTGAACATATTTTCGGAACAGTGGTTTACTATTTTTTTTTTCGGAAACAAGAGTGAAATGAAATAGGGTTATGCTAATTGCTCTAGAGACTGACAGATCATTAATAGATGCAGAGCTCTCCCTATTTTCCTTATCTCTCCCCTCCACACCCAGTCATCTTTTATACCTCCTCTTGCTTACCTAGAGGAAGTGAGACCCACTGTACAGGAAGTGTGCCATTGCTAGTTCTGAAAACTCCTGTGGGATTAAAAATATGCAGCGTTCATATATTCATAATCTACTAGATTTAGGTAGAAAGTTACTTTTAAGAAAAGCAGGTATTTGTAGTAAGATAAAATTATTGCAGTATATGTGAAGTACCAAAGCCTTTTCTAGCTTTAGCCAATATTTGATTGGGCATGGATAAACTATTCACTACACTGTTCTCTAGACTTAATCACACTGCTTTGCAAAACTCTTACAATGATTCATAGCAGCGTTGTTGATCAAGAAAAAATAGGAGCAACCTAAATGTTCCAAGAACATGAGAATGACTAATATTACTGTAAACATTCCATAGATTATCATTCAACCTTTTACAATTCTAATTATCAAGACTATGTTGAAACAAGAGAAAAAAATCTTTTTAATAAATGTTATGTAGAGAAAAATGAATAGCAAATTGTATATGTATGATAGCAACAATTTAAAAATTTATATGTAAATTCAAAGTTTTTGTGAAAGAAGAAATTTTCATAAAGAATGGGATTACCCTGGTTTTTAGGTTTTCTCTAATGTTATGTTGTTATAATAAAAATGTGGAGATCAGCCTAGAAGTCTCAGGAAATATTTCACATAGGGTTCTCCATTGTGTGTGTGTTTGTGTACCTGTGTTTATATGTTTGTATGTGTAGTATGATTAATAATAAGCATTTGATGTGCTTTCTTTTAGTTGCTGGCAATGCTACTTAAGAAGAAACGTTCCCTTCTTAACAGCCATATTCTCCATCTAACTTTTTCCTTGGTGGGAACTGTTGACAGTGGACATGAGACCTCCATTATTCCCAATTCAACTGCTTTCCAGGATCTACTTTGTGATTTTGAAGTATGTACATGAATTCTGATTGGTAATATGTAATCAGTGAATCCATTTCTTACTCTGTATAACAATAGAGTTAACTATTAAACAATTTTGTTTCTTAGATATGTCCTTTAGTTAAATCATGCTTATGTTAATTTCATTCATAAATATGACTAATAGGGTAATGATGGAGTTCCTTCTCCCCAAGGGTATTCAATTTTATGAACGGTAGAGAAGTGAAATGGTACAATGCCTGTGCCTTAACTGTAGCTAATTTGCTGCTGCCTCTGGCATTAAGTGAGGCTTATGAACTTTTCATCAATAAATAGAAGCTAGATAGATGTGGAATTTTGGTTAAATAGTAGCTTCATAGTAAAATATCATTCATTTTGTCAGAATAACAAGTTTTCATTTCTACTGTCCTATTACGATAAACCACTTCTACTCTCCTCTCAAGGCAATGCTTAATCTTGTATATCCTTTGCCCATTAACTTCTTGTTCTCAGTATTCGGTGCACCCATCATTATATGTTTTATAAGTACAGGATGGGGCAAAATTAGCCTTTCAGTTGTAAGTATATGAAACACAGTTTATTCTTGTATTATTATTAGTTATTGTCTTATTTCCTATATGAACAACCATGAACCTACTTCAGCCTCACCCTGTATACTAGTATATATCTCCTCCTGTGAGACTGTAGGCTCTGTATGTGCAGAGATCATATCTAGTTTCCTTTTCTTTGTATTTCCACCTCCCAGAATGGAGCCAAGCTCTTAATATTGGCTAACTGTAATGCCTATGCCTTAACTCTTCTTCCTCATAGTTACTGTAAGCATTTTCTAAATCCTTGAAAAACAGGCTCTGTGTCCTAATTGCTTTACTAAAACTTTATTCTAACAGCTTATTAGCAGCCTGGTCTATATGCTCTATCTAATACTAGATACCTGGTGCACGAAATTTGAGCACTGAGGGTCGGTGGGGGGAGGGAAGGGGAGGTGCCTCAGCCTGGCCTGTGCCCTCTCACAGTCCGGGACCCCTCACTCCTTACTCCCTGCCTGCTCACTGCTCTTTAGTGCTGCCATGGAGGTGAGAGAGGCTCTTGCCACCACCACTGTGCTTGCTCGCCTTGAGCCCAGCTTCTGGCTGAGCAGCAACTCCCTCCGTGGGAGCGTACTGATCACCAGGGGGCAGCTCCTGCATTGAACATCTGCCCCCTGGGGGGTTCCATAGTATAATGGTTAGCACTCTGGACTCTGAACATCTGCCCCCTGGTGGTCAATGCACATCATAGTGACCGGTCATTCTGTTGTTCAGTCAATTTGCATATCAGGAGGATACCAATTCTCAGTACCCACAACTCTCAGTAGCATGTGATGCAGTCTTTTCCCCTCTTGCATTGCCTCATTCTTTTGCTACCTTTTGGGTAGCACTCCTAGTTCTTATATTTTTTCACTACTTTCCCCATAATTCTATGGCCTATCATTTTCATTATTTTAGACAACTGTGTCCACTTTCATTATCTTTTCCTTTGTTTGTTGCTTTCTTTCCTTTAGATCCGTGGTTGGCAAACTGCGGCACGCAAGCCACATGCGGCTGTTTGGCCCCTTGAGTGTGGCTCTTCCACAAAATATAATACCACGGCCTGGGCGAGTCTATTTTGAAGAAGTGGCATTAGAAGAAGTTTAAGTTTAAAAAATTTGGCTCTCAAAAGAAATTTCAATCGTTTTACTGTTGATATTTGGCTCAGTTGACTAATGAGTTTTCCGACTACCACTTTAGATTCTCACCCATTTCTTCAGCCTCGTTTCTACAGAGTTGATTCCCAAATCTAAATAATTGGCTTGACATCTGAATGCTAGACTTATTCCTAACTTATTGCTCAACATTTCCATTTTATGTTCCAGCAACACCTTAGCTCAACATTCTTCCCCAAATTAGTTCTTTCTTTTCATTTGGGTTTCTGTTATTAATAACACCATTCCTGCAGTCACGGAGGGTTGAAATTGAAAAAAATCAGTTTCTTCCTCCCTGTTTATAAACAGTTCGATGTTAAGTTCTGTAGATTCTAAGCCCTAATCAATTCTCCTTACCACTCACCTTAAGTATGTTCTGTAGCTATATCGTTCCTCAGGCTATCCTGTGTTTCTTATCTCATTCTTTCTAAAGCATAGTCATATCAGTTATAAAAAAAATAAAAATAAAAACTTGCATTGATTTCCCCTTCCTACCCTATCAAGTTCTAAAACACAAACCTCTCATTCTTGTAGCAAATGTCTATTGAGCATCTTTGAACCTGCCATTATATTAGGGCTAAGGCTGTGAAAGTAAAGACAAAGTTCATGCCTGAAGGCATTTCATCCATTAGAAGAGAAAAACAGATCAATAAACAATTAAAAACTTGTGAAAGCACAGAGATGAAGGTCTGCAGAAAGAATATGCGAGGACTAAGGAGACCTACTTAACCATCTTAGTTCTGTTTTCATCTAGTGGCTGACACATAAATCATGAATTATCTTTAGTTTTGGACTTGTGATTAAAATCTAATATACAGAATAAATAAGAGATGCTGCATTCCTATTGGCCTGTTTTGCCTCTTGAACTGGCGTGGAGTACTGTTCATGACCTGAAGACACAAGAGTTAATTAGTTGCCACTCCAAGTTCTTTAGACCTCAGTAACACCTGCTCTTCAAGCCTCAGCACCTTTTTTGCAGCGATAAAAAAAAAATCTAATATACAAATGTCAGAAATTAGGTGCTTTACCAATGTTGGCTTTGTTTATATTACCTTGCTCACTTTATGTAGCGCTTCTAATTATCCCAACCACGGTGATAAAAAATAACTACTTATTTCACTCTCTTTTTAGAACATCCACTTGATAAATATAAATGTAATAATTGTAATAGTACACAAGCATTTTCTCTTTTAGTGGTTCTAGAATTTATAACATAATATACATATACATGTAACAATGTTATCTATCTTTACCTGTAGTGTAAACCTTGTGAAGATATCCTTTCATTTCTCCCTCCTATTCTTAGTTCTATAATATTGTTATCAGACATTTACTTCTATTATGTTTAGAATCCTCACAATACTTACATTTTTTTAAAAAAAATGTTATAGTTTCCCACTTATGTAGCATGGCAGTCTTAATTCCTTTGCGTAGATCTAGATTCCCATCTTGTATAATTCTTCTGCCTAAAGAACTTCCTTTAACATTTCCTGCAGTGCCCATCTGCTAACTATAAATTTTCTGTCTGAAAAAGCCTTTATTTATTTTTAGAAGAATATTTTTGCATACACTACAATTGTCACTGATATTTTTTTTTTCCTACTTGAATGATTTTAGTCACCCAGTTGTCATTTTTAGTTTCTTCTTTGGGTGGGGGTGAAAGGGGTATGTTGGTTTTTTTTTTAGATCTGTGAGTTGGTCATTTTTATAGAATTGGGACATTTTTAGTTATTACTTCAGCTATTTTCCTGGTGCCCTTCCCCATCTTTCCTGGACTTCAGTTATACATATCTGAGGTTGCTTGATGTTGTCCCACAAGTCACTAATGCTCTGTCTAGTTTCAGTCTTTTCTCTCATGCTTCATTCTGATTAGTTTGTATTCTTATGTCTTCAAGTTCACTGAATTTTTTTCTGTAGTGTTTAATCTGCTATTAATTTCATATAGTATAGTTTTCATTTTAAATACTTTCTTTTTCATCAGAAGTTAATTTTGGATCTTTGGTTATCTTCTGTTTCATCATATATTTTTTGTTACATTCTTGAGCATATTGATCACATTTTTAATGAGCTTTTTTAAGGTACTGATAATTTCATTATCACTGTCATTTCTGGGTTATTTTAATTTATTTTTCTCCTATTTATGATTCATATTTTCCTTTTGTCTTTGCGTACTTGATAATTCCTGATTGCATGCTAAATTTTTGTTGTATTTCTTTTAAGAGTACTGAACTTTGTTCTGGCATTGCAGTTATCTTGATCCTCTTTAGATATACTTTTAAGCTTTGTGAGGGTGAGCATAGAAAAACCTTTAATCTAATGCTATTTTAGCCCCACACTGAGACTGCCAGTTCCCCATGTATTACAAATTCTCCACACTCTGGGAGGTGGGAGTGCAAATTGGTCCCAGCTTTGTGAGTTCCAGGAACTGTGTGATATACTACTTTACAGTGGTTAATTCGTTTTGGACCCCACACAAGATTCTAGTCATTCAGCCTTTGTATTCACTTATATAGTATTCAGTATTCATTATATTCTGTTTTTGTGTTTAGTATTCAGTCATTGATTCCAGAGAAACTTTCCCTAGATCTTGCCTTTTCAGTTGATCCCTCTAATAGTGTAATTTCCATAGCAATTATTCCTTTATAAACAGAATCAGAAATCATATGTACAAGCAGTTTTACAGGATTTCACCAAATAAAAGTTGTAATAAAGTGGTTATATTCAATTAATGAATGAAATAAGTTTCACATCTGCATTTCTGCTTGTGGGATTGGCATTTGGGGTATTTTTTACCCTATATATCACATTCTTTATTTTTATTGTAGGTATGGCTTCATGCACCATATGAACTTCATCTTTCCTTATTTGAACACTTCATTGAACTGCTCACAGAGTCCAGGTATTCATTAATATCTATATACTTAGTTGTTTAGTTATTGAAGAAATGATAGTACAATGCATAAAGTCTTCTTTCTCTTATAGTGAAGCTTCCAAGAATGCCAAATTAATGAGGGAATTCCAGCTAATCCCAAAGCTGCTACTGACTCTTCGAGATATGTCTTTATCCCTGCCTACCATTGCTGCTATTAGTAATGTGCTGAGCTTCCTACTGCAAGGTTTTCCTAGCAGCTATGATCTGCTCAGGTAGTGAAAACTTCTGTATTTGTCTGTTTATTAACTGAAAATATCACTGAGGTTAAAATGAATGAGATTATTGTAATTGGTTCTTATGCCTGTATAAAACCTGTAATGTTAATCCAGTTCAAGATTTTTGTAAGGCACTGACTACATGCATGTCTTGTATCTGACCTTGGTAAACAAAGCCAATTGTTGCCGCTAGTTAATAATAGAATATTGCTGAGCAAAGATATAGGAATGAGCCCAATGTAATTGATTTTCCTGAACATAACAGTGTAGGGATTCTCGATCCTTACTTCTCTGTGTGCATGCGTGCACACACACACACACACACACAGTGAACGTGCCTTCTCTTTTATATTTATTCTTTATCATTCAAAACAAATGATGCCATTTTATTTTTGCATATTTTAATCTTTTATACAATGTGAGTATTATTTTGCTGCCACTCTGAAATATGGTTTAACGCCTATTTATGGGCTTTAGAATATTCTAATGTTTATATGATAATTCACATCTTAACTGAAAATGGAAGGGTAAAAACAACCTAACCAAAGTATTTTCTAAATAGAAAATTACTGTCAAAACCGGTTTGGCTCAGTGGATAGAGCATTGGCCTGCAGACTGGGAGGTCCCAGATTCGATTCCAGTCAAGGGCATGTACCTTGGTTTCGGGCACATCCCCAGTGGGAGGTGTGCAGGGGGCAGCTGATCGATGATTCTCTCTCATTGGTATTTCTAACTCTCTGTCCCTTTCTTCCTCTCTGTAAAAAATCAATAATAAATAAATAAATAAATAAATAAATAAATAAATAAATAAATAAATAAATAGAAAATTACTTAAACTGGTCTTGATCAACACTTTTCATGTAATCTTCCAGACACAAGTTATTAGAGTATTCCCAGTAAACTAATCTCATCTGTATAACATGTAAATTATTCACATTTGTTTTCTCTACTTTACAAAATTAAGAAACTAAGGCTCAGGAATGTTAAGCTACTTGCCCAAGTAACAAGATTAAAAATGGGATACAGCCGACACCGGTTTGGCTTAATGGATAGAGCATCGGCTTGGGGACTGAAGGATCCCGGGTTTGATTCCGGTCAAGGGCATGTACCTTGGTTGCGGGCATATCCCAAGTAGGGGGTGTGCAAGAGGCAGCTGATCGATGACTCTCTCTCATCGATGTTTCTAGCTCTCTCTCTCCCTTCCTCTCTGTACAAAATCAATAAAATATATATATTTTTTAAATGGGATAGAGCTAGGATTTTAACTTTACTTGTGTTTCCAAAACCTAAGTTCTTAACTACAGTGGATACATATAGATGTTAGGACATTTTAATTATTTATTTTTTGAAATATATTTTTTAATTGATTTTCACAGAGAGGAAGGGAGAGGGATAGAGAGCTAGAAACATCGATGAGAGAGAAACATTGACCAGCTGCCTTCTGCACACCCCCTACTGGGGATGTGCCGGAAACCAATGTACATGCCCTTGACCAGAATCAAACCTGGGATCTTTCAGTCCACAGACCAATGCTCTATCCACTGAGCCAAACCGGTTTCTGCAGGACATTTTAATTAGGATCATGCTATTTGATTAGTGAAATCATTTAGGTTAGTGCATTATAATTCTGGAAAAGTATAAAGCATTGTAACATATATAGGGTGGGCAAAAGTAGGTTTACAGTTCGTATGGAAAATAATAGAATAATAAATAATGATACAAGAATAAACTGGCAAGCTCACAACTGTAATGCTACTTTTGCCCACCCTATATAGTGGCTATAGCGATGGTCCTAGGAAAGATAAACCAAATGCGAATACCTGAAGGTCTGTAAAAGATTACTTAACACTGTTTTTCATTTCTTTGTTTTTGGTTTTGTTTTTTTTTGTTTTTTTATATATTTTGTTACTTGTTTTGGGGAGGGGAAAAAAGAATAAAACTCATAAACCTTTTTTCCTTATACTTAAAGGTTTGGCCAGTTTATTTCTTCTACTTTACCAACCTTTGCAGTTTGTGAGAAATTTGTCGTTATGGAAATAAACCATGAAGAGAAGCTTGACACTGGTGAGTGATTCTGGGGCTTGAGAACTAATTCCTTTGCCCTCTTCTCTGGCACAGGTCAGGCCTGCCTTAGGTGGATGCTGCCCTATCACCTTTCTCCTTACATTAATCTATTGGTCTCGTGCAGATGTATTTGTCTTAAATCAGTCATGTATAATATGCAACAAGTTCAGAATTACACTGAACTTAATTGAATGTGAATTTTACTCTAATAACAAAAATTTTTCCCATGTTTAGAGGCTTTGTGACATTATTCCTTTAAATAGCAGATTCTTTCAGGGTGCTATTTTAACATTATTTGAAGTTTTTAAAATTTATGCACATCTCTTCAGAAACACAGTTACTTGCTACTGTGAATTATTTCTATATATTACTTTTATAACTTTCATTTTCATTTTCCTGTTAAATATTTAGTAGTCACTTAGGGAAATAACTTTTTACCAGAAAAAAATTTATGTACATATAAAATAAAAATAATTCCAGCTCAATTGGTTGGAGCAAAAGGTTGAGGATTCACCCTTGCCAGTGTTACTAAGTGGTTAGAGCATCTGACTGCACACGTAAGGGCCCTGGGTTCAATGCCCTGTCAAGAGCACACGTGCCTGACCCAGCAATAGTCAGGAGGAAAATAGGTAACCAATCAATGTCTAAGGTGGATGTCTCTCTCCCTCTCTATCTCCACCTCCCTTTCCCTCCCCCCTTCTCTCTCTCATTCTTCTTCTCCCCCTCCTTTTCTCCCTCTCTCAGACGTTTTCTCTCCTTCTCTTCCTAAGGATTTAAAAAAAATTTTTTTAAACAATCAAGTCAATAGGTAACTCTTATTGAGTCCTTTATTTCTCCAGGTACTATTTAAGATCTTTATAACAACCCTTTAAAATAGGTACTATTGTTATCTAAATTTTACAATGGAGGAAACTGGGGCCCAGAAAGATTGAGTAAAAGAAAGTTACCTGAAATCATATTTCTGCATTTGAACTCAGGTAGTCCAAATCAGTGATCTCCAACTGGTGGTCCACGGACCACTGGTGGCCCGTGAGGTCTGAAAGGCTGGCGACCGCTATAACACTATAAACTTTTTAATCACTATATTATACTATCATATGTCAGGATTATTTCTAAGTTTAGAAATAATATAAGCCAAGTAAATAGGAATTGAAGTTACTATTAAAATCTTTAGAAATACATAACACATTTATTTCAAGTAGTTAAAAAATGTGGGGGAAATATTTCTCTCGTCTCCATGTTGTATTCAATAATAATAACTAATATAAAAGTTTTTTCAAGAGAACAGTAGTAGAGATGTATAAAATTAGCAAGTTTTTCTGTTGATCTGTCAAGTTGATTAGTAATCTCATCACTTCATTGCCATTTCAAGTAATAGAGAATGTTGGAAGCACACCACTGGTCTTGTTCTTATATGACATTTATTGCTGTGGACTAAAGACTGTGTTAAATATAATATGAAGTTCCAAGAAGTTAAACCATACTTTTTTCTTTCAAGTAGTTTACACATTATTCAATAAAATGGCTTGAATAATGATTAATGGGGATATAATAATCATTGCAAAAGAAATAGCATGAAAGAACAGTACATTGGAATAAATAAAGCATCAGTTTGAATGGGAAGAGTTAGTGTGGAAATTCATAGTTCATCGTTTTTAAACTATATTTGAAAATTAGGGGAAGCATAACTGACAAGGAAAAGACTAGATGTAAAAATTAAGGAGAATCGTTAATTTCTGTGTGGATTATCATTTTATTGAAAAGAAATAATTGAAATGAAATAAATCCTGTTATCAATTTATGGTATGCTTTCAATAGGACAATTTGTAAATTACCAGTCCTGTGCCTCTGATGAGGAGGAGAGAACCTTGAGTTCTCCTAGGTAAGCTTGAAGTACTCTACCCAATGATTAAGCACCAAGTTAACATAAAAAGACAATGTTTAGCCGAAATTGGTTTGGCTCAGTGGTAGAGTGTCAGTCTGCGGATTGAAGGGTCCCGGGTTCGATTCTGGTCAAGGGCATATACCTTGGTTGCAGGCACATCTCTGGTAGGGGGTGTGCAAGAGGCAGCTGGTCGCTGTTTCTCTCTCATCAATTTTTCTAGCTCTTTCCCTTCCTCTCTGTAAAAAATCAATAAAATATTAAAAAAAAAAAAAAAAGACAATGTTTAAGGAGACAAATAGTCCCTTGCCCAAAGTAGTAAAAGCATACACCCATGGTAAATCTAGCCTGAGCTGCAAGTCTGGAATCAAGACAATCCTGTGGGTTATGACGTCCTAACCCACGCTCATTAGTGGCAGAGCTGCACCTGGAACACTGGCCACTGATGCCCAGTCCTGTGTGCCTCCAGCATCATCCATTGAGATGCACAAGCTTTCTGTTTTCTGCCTTTTTCTTTCCCAGTTTTTCTTGTGCTTTTGTATGCCTTTGCCTCTTTTCTATGATATTTACTTCTAACTTTTCTGGATATATTATGTTTATTAAAAAGAGTATGCTTCCTCTTGTCAAGTTTAAATCTCATAAACTTCACTATGTTCTTCAAAAAGAAACTGGAAATTAAGGATTTGGATTATTGTTTTTTACTTATTTATTTATTTATTTATTTAATCCTCATCCAAGGATATTTTTCCATTGATCCTTCAGAAAGAGTGGAAGAAAGAGGGGGAAAAACAGAGATAAACATCAATGTGAGAAAAACATTGATGTGAGGGCTTGGGCCGGGGAGGAGCCTGCAAGCAAGGTACATGCCTTGACCGGAATCTAATCTGGGGCCCTTTGGTCCACGGTCCAGTACTCTAAGCACTGAACCAAACTGGCTAGGGCTTGGATTGTTATTTTTATTCAATCCTTATTTGGTTACTTTGCTCTGTTAATAGGAGAGGGGAATATTAATGTAAAAAAGGGTTCACAGCCCAGCCTGTGTGGGTCAGTGGTTGAGTATCGACCTATGAACCAGGAGATTACGGTTCCATTGTGGTCAGGGCACAGGTCTGGTTGAGGGCTCCATCCCCAGTGTTAGGGGTAGTAGGATGGGGCGTGCAGGAGGTAGCCGATCAATTATTTTTTCTCAACATTCATGTTTCTGTCTCTCCCTCTTCCTTCCTCTCTGCAGTCAATAAAAATATATTTTTAAAAAAGGGTTCACAGCCCTTTTATCACTTATTTAGATAATGTAAATAAAAATTTTTTAGCATTCTAAAAAGAAATGTTTTAACAGAGCTTTTTTTGGTTCATTTTAGTGGAAAGTACTTCTAGAAAAAAAATGTTTTCTGACAGATACATTTTTCAGTGAATTTTCCTAGAACAGAGTTGGATATTTTATCTAACACTAGGCAATTTAATGTATTTATTTTCATTGTAGGAACTGAAGAAGAGTTTGGAGGCCTTGTGTCTGCTAATCTTATACTTTTAAGGAACAGACTTCTAGATATCTTGCTAAAACTAATTTACACATCTAAAGAAAAGACAAGCATTAATTTGCAGTAAGTAAAATCTTTTTAGAATTGATGGTACCAGTTAATTCATAATAGACAAAAGAATTTTTAATGACATATTGTTTAAGCCCTGAAATTTAGAATATCTTAAGAACAAAACCTAGTCTTATTCTTTTTTATAATTTGATTAATATGTTTCCTTCTTACCTATCTGTCTTTGAATAGAGCCTGTGAAGAACTGGTCAGGACACTGGGTTTTGACTGGATTATGATGTTTATGGAAGAGCATTTGCATCCCACCACAGTCACAGCAGCCATGAGGATTCTTGTTGTCCTGCTGAGTAATCAGTCTATTCTCATCAAGTTTAAAGAAGGACTCAGTGGTGGAGGGTGGCTGGAACAGACAGACTCGGTCTTAACAAATAAGATTGGAACTGTATTAGGTATGGGACTTTTGAAGTCAACTACTTTAAAATAAGCTATTGTGTTTTGTTTTGTTTTAAATCTTATGTAAGCTTATACTCTTCAGTTTATCTGACAACCTTTAAAAATCTAAATTTTAATTATTGATAGAATAAAAAGCTTAGAAAGTTTCAAATTTGGCTCTTTTTAATGGCAAATTAAAATGAAGTTATAGACAACGTTAAGATGTGGAAACCCAAGGGAATCCCTTATGATCTTTTTATTGCTTAATTCCCTTTATGATTAAGTACATAACTAGCAAATGATCAGAACTGAATTAATAATAATATTTTCAGTTCTTATTCTGTGCCAGTTCCTAAACACTTTATTTCGCAGTAACCCTATGAGTGTAAATGCTATCATATCCATTTTACAGATGAGAAAGCCAAGACAAAGGAGCAAAATCACATGTTCAATAAACAATAGACAACATTTTTTAGTCCAGGTCACTCAGAACCAAGCCCATGCTTTTAACAGTTATGTTACATTGCCAACCAAAGATTAAAGCTCGCCCTGGCTGGTTTTGCTCAGTGGATAGAGTGTCGGTCTGCGGACTGAGGGGTCCTGGGTTTGATTCCAGTCAAGGGCACATGCCTGGGTTATGTGCTTAATCCCCACTGTGAGGCGTGCAGGAGGCAGCTGATCTATGGTTCTCTCTCATCATTGATGTTTCTATCTCTCCTCCCTTCCTCTCTGAAATCAATTTAAAAATATATATATATACATATTTATAAAGATTTAAGCTCAAAGTTTCAGCCAAGGCTTCTTATTCTTTGCTTTCAGTTGTATGGTGTTTTTTAACATTGAAGTGAGCATTTAAGAAATATTAGAAAGTTATAGTTTGCTATATTAGAATAATTTGAACTGTTATATTTCTGTTTATATTAAAGATCTTTAGAAAATATATTTTAAGATAACATTTTTATTCACAATTGTAATCACTCAATTCCTAAACTTTAAAACAATATATTTGTTTTTATAACATTATATTTTAAAATCATTTGTATTCTGCAACAAGCATCAATTTACCCTTGTCCAATGGGAATTTAGGGATCAGAATTTATATGTTTATTTTCCATCACCAGAAAGGATTTATTCAAGAAGAAAAAATTGTTGCAACCCAGTGTGTGCAGACATAGCAAGCCATATCCACTCTCGGAATCAGAATTTAATATGTAATTTACCTGTTAAAAAATGTAAAAGTATAAATAGCTAGGTGCTATGCTACCTGTACTACTTTCTCAAATATTAAAGTAAATGACAGGAAGACAGCTTTCAATGTAGGATTATTTCATTGTTATTTTAGATATAGAAAATGAAGAAAGAAATTCACTGTAAAGTGGCTTCTTGAGAAAACTTTTGTTTACAATATGAATTTCAAATTATCATTGTAGATACTTTTATGATCTAAAAAATAATAACTATTTTTCACTGACTCTGGAGAAGGGATATAGCTTCAGATGTTAGGAATAGTTTAGTAGCAAGAAGTTTAGTTTATTGGCCTTAATAATAACTACTAAGAATAAATAATGAAAGGCACAAAATAAGTGAATGGGAGTTTTAAATGCTAATCAACAGCACTGCTTCTCATTGAAGGCCAATAACTGCAGTAGTGATAACAGCTAAGTTTCATATAGTACATTATGGTTTGAAGAATTCTTTAACATGTATCGTCTCATTTGGCCTTTATGTTTCTGGAGACAGGTATATAATTTATGATATCTGTTACAATTTATAGGAAATAAACCTGATAAATACGAATTAAGGATTAATTTCTCTACTTGGGGAAGACTATTAATTGCAGGAGGTTCCCGAGTAAAGTGTCTAAGTCTCTGATCCTGACTGTTAGTCCTGCCCTTCTTCCTGTCCTATATCAGTTCAGTAGTATCAGGAAAAGATGCTTATACCATATCTGACCTACCTGACTTTATGCGTTAGAATTTAGATGTCCTTCATTGATAACTATTTACACATCACATATGCTGCTCTGGTTCTAAAAAGGAAACTAGGTATTAAAATTTAAACTTGATTCAACTTAATATAATTTTCCCTGAATTTCTATCTGATACATACATATCAAATTTTCCTTCATGAAAATGCCGTCCATATAGCTGTAACTTGAACCTAAATGAAGCTTCATTATTAATAACATATTAAGTAGTCCTTAAGACTAATTATAGGGAAAAGCAGGGTGTGAGAATTAGAAAAAAAAAATGAATGCTAGTATTTTCATTTAGAACATGTAGTTTAATAAAAATTTATTTTCCTGCCCTGGCTGATTTGCTTAGTGGATAGAGAATCAGACTGGGCACTGAAGGGTCCCTGGTTCGATTCCAGCCAAGGGCACATGCCTGGGGTTGCCAGCTTTATCCCCAGCGGGGGGCGTGCAGAAGGCAGCCAATCAATGATTTTTTCTCATCATTGATGTTTCTAGCTTTCTTTCCCCTTTCCCATCCTCTCTGAAATCAATAAAAATATATATATTTTTAAATTTATTTTCCTATTGAATGTATAAAAATATCACTTTATGTCTTTTGGCTCCTTAAAGCTACAGACTTTTTTATACTCGTAATTTAATTTAGAATTTATGATAATCAAAATTTACCCAGTGTCCTAAGGCAGCCAATCTTTCAGAAATGTGGCAATATCATTAAGAAGGCCTAGAGAAACAGCATAACTTACAGGTTCTAAAATAGTGGCATCAGGCTCCCAGGTCCTAGTGCCACCACTCATTAACTTTGTCTTTGAGCACATGGCATATCTTCCATGTTATGAAAAGGATAATAGCTTATTCTAACTTACATGTTTATTGTGCTTAAGCAATGAAATGGTGTATTAAAGAAGTTGGTAAGTTGCTGTGCAATTTTTTCTTATTTAGAAAAGCATACTTCAGACGATTAATTCATATCACACTGAGCATCTATTTGGATGAGATATTTAAAAAGCCACCTAGACACAATTTTTATTTTTTTAATCTTAAATAGGAGCAGGTAATGTGCTTACTTATCCTAGGAAAACAAAGCTGGCTATTTATTTAAATGAGATTGCTTTAGAGTACAAATCAATCCTTCATCTCTTGGTTACTATTCACAAAAGTTGTTCATTGAACCTTTGGCCAACATTCATTCTGTGCTGATCACTATACTGTGTTAGGGGTGGCAAAAGAACCAAGTGCTTTGGTTGCAGCCTCAAATTAGTTATACAACAAAGGAAACAGGACTGATAGGAAGGCTGATGCTGTAAGCTACATTAATAAGCAATGACCATCTTCTGGTAGAGCTCTATTTCTATTATAGAAAGGGCTCTGGATGTTCAAATTGCCTTAGTCACAGCATGCTCAGATTTGCCGTCCCACTGCTGGTCAACTTTCCTCCAGACTTACAGAACCTGTTTTAAGGAAAGATTATTTTGCTTAGTCTTATCTTTAAATTCATAGATAATTTAAAATTAAGTTATGATGTTTTCATGATGAAATATATTAAATACTAGAGGCCTGGTGCACAAAATTTGTGCATTGGGGGTGTGTGTGTGTGTGTGTGTGTGTGTCCCTTAGCCCAGCCTGTGCCCTCTCTAATCTAGGACCCCTCAAGGGATTTCCAACTGCCTGTTTAGGCCCAACCTCACAATCCAGGACTGCTGGCTCCCAACCACTCGCCTGCCTGTCTGATTGCCCCTAACTGCTTCTGCCTGACAGCCGGATTGCCCCCTGACCACTCCCTTGCCAATCTGATTGACACCTAACTTCTCCCTGCAGGCCCAATTGCCCCTAACTGCCCTCCCCTGACTGCCCTCCCTTGCCAGCCTGGTCACCCCTAACTATCCTTTCTTGCCAGCCTGGTCACCCGCAACTGCCCTCCCCTGCAGACTATCTTGTGTCCACATGGAGACACAATCTTTGACTACATGGGGGCAGCCATCTTGTGTGTTGGAGTGATGGTCAGTTTGCATATTACTCTTTTATTAGATAGGATAGTATAGCAGTTATATTTAAGTTACATTTTTTGTAGCACCCTAAAGTTTTGGCTCTCTTGAATTTTACTTTGTTTTTAAGGAAATGTTAGAGCTCTTTCGAGGTCATTCTTTTAATGAGCACAATTTTTATTACCTCTTGTATCTGATTATCTTGGCTATGTTTCAAGACCTGTATCCTAACAGGCAGGCTTGCTCAAGTCAAAGAGATAGTAAAGTAAAACTTGCCTGAAAGTGAATTCAATAGTTGAACAGTTAATTGCCTATATTAATATGAATATTCTGGTGGAAGGTCACATATACTGAATTACTTTCTTTGTTATTACAGCACAGTAATTGACTACTAATTTTGTACTTATTGTTATATTTCCTCTTCTTTTAGGATTCAATGTGGGCAGGAGTGCTGGTGGAAGATCAACAGTCAGAGAGATTAACCGGGATGCTTGCCATTTTCCTGGTTTTCCAGTCCTCCAGTCATTTCTTCCTAAGCACACTAATGTCCCTGCCCTCTATTTCCTGCTCATGGCATTGTTCCTGCAGCAGCCAGTTAGTGAGCTGCCAGAGAACCTGCAGGTCAGTGTGCCTGTCTCCAGCAGCCGATGTAAGCAGGGTTGCCAGGTAGGAATTACCTAGTAAGGTGTAAGTGTAATTATTTATGCCCCTGAATCACCATAGGATAACGGGTGAACCAGAGTAAAACCACTGATTCCATCTCTTTCTCACATCTAGGGTTTGATTTGGGACAGAAAAATCAGAGAGTAGCACCAAAAATTTTTCCAAAAAGAAATCTTTATCTTAACTTGGTCTTTTATTCTTTATGATTACTCTAAAAAATTGTATATGCATAAAAACTTTGGATGATATTTGATTAGTGATCTAAAGAATTCTGTTGAGTTGCGTGATTTTATCTAGAAATACAATTTCTGTAGAATTAAAAATGAGGGGAGTGAATGGATGAAAAAGGGGGACATGTAATACTTTCAATAATAAGGATTTTTTAAAATAAAATAAAAATTAGGGGAATGTATGTGAATCAAAATTGGGTAGGAATGACAGGATTCTTAGTGCAAGTCAGTCTGATTATAAAAAAGTTTTCAATTTCTTAATGGTAAAAAAAAAAATCTATGTTAGGAAAATAGTAAGGCTTTTCCTAATTTCTAATTGAAGACTGTTGTGGATATCTATATATAGATTATGTTGATGGCACTGCAGAGACTTAGAGATTCAGTTTTAATCCCAGCTATGTGTGCATCATAAAGCCAAAGGCTATTCAAATAAATGTTAGTAGTTGACAAAACCTCTTAAATGAAACCACTGAGTCTATACCCTAACATTAAATCAAGATAAAGAGTCATGCTTAGCAGAATTTGGTTGGTTATGTAATTTTTCAAAATAAGCATGACACCATAAAGTGTTATATAAACTGCTAGGAATAAATTTCCTCTAACAGATTTTTTTTTGTCAAATCTTATCTGTATGTAATTTAAAAGTGAATTAGATCTTTTAAAAATCCTGCTTAAAATCATCAATTCTAAATTTCATCTCCTGCCTAATTCGCATGTATTTTATTTGTTTTCTTTAGAGAAAAAAAGAACAAAGCAATGTTTTTAACACAAGTACCTAAGAAAGGAAGATACATAAATTCACTCTTTCTTTATAAATGAGTTTTAAAATGTAGGAAGGAGGAGTTCAGGGTCTCTTCATCATTGCTCACTTTGAAAAAAACTAACTGGTTTCAAAGAAATTATAGAATATTAGAAGTTATGAGGGTCTCTCTATTCGAAAAAACTGCCAGTGACTCATCTTCACTTTCCCCTCTGCAGTTTGATTTAGATTCCATTTGGACATTTATCTTCGGAGTTCCTGCCTCCAGCGGAACTGTGGTCTCTTCCATTCATAACGTGTGCACTGAAGCTGCTTTCTTATTGCTGGGAATGCTCCGCAGCATGCTGAACTCAGTAAGTTCACCAGACACTAACTCCTGCAAATACTTCCTCTTCGTGATTCTTTTTTAAAATAGAGGGAACTTTTGAAAGCATACGTATGTACTTACAGCATGGAACCTCAGCCTCCTTGGCTTGTTATCTGTGGGACAAGGACGAACCATGCAATTATTAAGACCACAGACTCTGGGTTCAAATCCCATCTCTGGTACTTAAGACATACTAACCTCTATGTGCCTCCGTTTTCTTATGTATAAAATGCTGGTGTTAATGGGATATATCTCTTAGGGTTGTTGTGAGGATATAATGATTTAGTATATACACAAAGCTCTTACAAGAATACTTAGTATATAGTAATCGCTTCAATCAGTATAAATTTTAGTTTGTATTTGTTTTTCCTAATTATTTTTTAACTTAGATATGAAGAATGTAAAGAGGAAATGACAAAATATATGTTCCTATCTATCTTATATGAGTACTGTGAATAATAACTTAATTTCTTTACACAATTTAGGATTACATCATAAGAGGAATTATTAATGAGAATCTTTGGATTACAAGTACATGACAAATCTAATTGTGCTCAAACTATTCTTATGTCATTTTAGAAAAGAGCCGAAACCAGTTTGGCTCAATGGATAGAGCATCGGTTGGGGACTGAAAGGTCCCAGGTTCGATTCCAGTCAAGGGCATGTACCTTGGTTGTGGGCATATCCCCAGTAGGGGGTTTGCAAGAGGCAGCTGATCGATGACTCTCTCATCGATGTTCCGAACTCTCTATCTCTCTCCCTTCCTCTCTGTACAAAATCAATAAAATACATTTAAAAAAAAAAAAGAAAAGAATATTGCCCTTACATGTATTAATTTAGAATGCTTTATAATTTATATTTGGTTCCTACTCATAAACAAATACAAACATCTAAGTTTAAAAAAAAAAAACACTTGAGGAAGTATCAAAAGATAGGTATTGTTCAGGTGTATTCTGTGTTTGTCACTGTTTTATCATTATCATTGCTGCTGTTGTTATATTGTTGTTAAGAAAAACCACCCTATTGTATGTCTTCTGTACTATGAATATTCTACTATAGCACAGCTTCACTTCCGACACTAGTCACCGAATATGTGGGGGTGGGGGGTTTGCCACAGAAGCTTGCCATCCCACAATTCAGTTCAGGTCTGTCACTGTCCACCTGGAGAGAGCATTAGGCCCCACAGAGTAAGGACTCAGTCCCACAAGACGGCCCCTATTCTTCAGACACCAATCGCAAGTCCAATGTCACCTGCACTTCTGACTTACTGGCTGTAAATTGGAGGCTCCCATGACTTTAGAAAACATTTTCCTGACTAGATCACCAATTTATTATATAAGGCTATGACACAGAAACCACCAGATGGAAGAAGTGCATAGAGAGGTATGTGGGAAGGGGAAGTGGAGCTCCTGGTCTGTACTTGCCTGGCCCCTCTCCCAACACCTCCATATGTTTGTTCACCAACCCAAGACCAATTGGAACGCCATCCTTCTGGGTTTTCATGGAGGCTTTGTTACATAGAGCACGATTGGGTAAATGGGCCATCAGTGATTGAACTTTATCTCCAGCCTCTGTTCCCCAACTGGAAGTTGGGAGAGGGGGAGTGGGAGGGGCCTCTAGGACTGAAACTCAACCCTTTAATGCTGTGATTGGTCCCCTGGCAAGCCTCGGCCTTTCCCAAAGTCATCTCATTAACATGAATTCAGGGATGGTTGAAAAGGCCTTAGTATGATTAACAAAAGACACTTTTATGGCTCATCACTTTGGACATTCCAGGGGTTTTAGGAGTTCTGCCAAGAATAAAGACCAAATATATATAATTATAAATCACAGTTTCACATGCATAATAGTTAAAAGCATTGTTCTTGTCATTTTTACATTAGAAAGGTGAAGTAACTGAACTTCTCCATCTTTTTTCTCACCCCCAACTAGGGAACCATGGAGGATGGGGCAGCTTTGTTGGTAATTCAGCCACTGTGGGCACCAGCTGTAGTCATGTTCAGAATGTGGATTAATCAAAGCCACTGACTCATTACTGAGCTGTGAGCACTGATGAAGAGATAGGCATCCTGTCAGTTTCTAGGGGCATTGTTTTTGTTGTAGTTTATTTCTGGATTTGTTCTTTTGTGTGGTGTATGAGAGTTCTGGACTATCAGTATATCCGGTTTTAGAAGAGTAGTGAGTAGTGCATTTCTGTAAAGTACTTTATATCAGTGTCAGTTTTCCTAATATATTTTTTTCTTATCACTGTGACAGCCATGGCAGTCAGAAGAAGAGGGGTCTTGGCTCCGAGAATATCCTGTGACCCTAATGCAGTTCTTCAGATACTTGTATCACAACGTCCCGGACCTGGCCTCCATGTGGATGAGCCCCGACTTCCTGTGTGCACTCGCAGCCACCGTCTTCCCCTTCAACATCCGCCCTTACTCAGAGATGGTAGGAAAGGGGAGGCAGTGTCAAACTGGGATTAGTCTGCTCCAATGGGTAGCTGATTTTTTTTTTCTGCTGGCAATCTTAAGTTTCTCGCCATGATACAGTTTCATAGCTCTCTCTCTATCCTCTTACATCATTACCTGGTGTCTGGCTCCCCACTCTCCTTCTGTTTTCCCCTAAAATAACTGTGAGCTCAGCTTCCTGTTCTCATTTACCGTATTTTAGTAAGTTCCTTGTCAGTGACTTCCTCTCCAAGTCTTCGCGGATCCATTTCTTGTTATATGGGATTGATAACTGTGTAGTTAACTGTGAAGTGTTCTGTCCAGGCCACAGAACTCTAGTCACACCAGAGTCACCTCTACTTTATCTCAGGAGTTAGGCATTCTCTAGATTTAATCTTTACAAATTAATTATATAGCATTGGTTGTCGCTATTTAAAAATGAAATATGATTATCCTTTTTATTCAACTTTTCTTATTTCTTTCAACTTTTATTTTTATATTTTATATTAAGATTAATAGAAAAATATTAGATTATAAACATATATAGTATAGATACTTCTTTTGTACTTGAAAACAAACCCAAAAGACAGTTATTCCTCTATAGTACTTCTGACTATCATGATGTTTCTTCTTATTTCCACCTAAGTTCTTCATACTCATTTTTTTTTCACACATAAGGGTAAATGCTAATTCTAAAATTGTAAGGATTTTTTTAGGATAGACACAAGCATAGCACATGACCTTCAAACTGTGGTTTACTTATAATTCTAAAAACCTCATTTTTATCAAAAGTTGACCTTTACAATACTTCAGTGTCTTTTCTTTGTCAGCATTTTATACTCTGTTTTCTAGTCCTTTTTTTTTCTTTTTCTTTTGGCTTGAAATTGGCACTAGTTTTGTCTTATGTTTATATTTGGGTTGTTTTTTGTTTGTTTTTGCTAGGTCTTTATCTGAAACTGGCATTTGACTTCACAGGAGGTATATTTTAAATATGCAAATACAGTTATTCTCATTTTATCTCATTTAAGTGCAATTATACACAGTATTTTAGAGATAAAATTCAGCATACAACAGATACATGGTTTAATCTTAGAAAGAGCATGTGCTGAGTAACTGTGACAAACAGTACCTGATTACCTCCTTGAAAGGAGGGGCCAGAAAAAGCAAAGTGCAGTAATGCATTGAGTAGCTTAATAGGTAAGAGTTGAAGAAAAATACTGGTGCTACTACAATTTGGTTTTTAGGAAACAAAATAAAATAAAATTGAATGAAACTAGCTTCTCTTTCCACTTGGTTTTGCTAGGTGACAGACCTCGATGATGAAGTTGGGTCTCCAGCGGAAGAATTTAAAGCCTTTGCAGCCGACACGGGGATGAACAGGAGCCAGTCTGAGTACTGCAACGTGGGGGTCAAGACATATCTGACCAACCACCCCGCTAAAAAGTTTGTTTTTGACTTCATGCGGGTTTTAATAATAGATAACCTCTGTCTCACCCCTGCGAGCAAGCAGACGCCACTAGTTGATCTTTTGTTGGAGGTAAAGACAAATATATTCACATCTGTTTTGCATTGCTTTTATAATTAGAACGTTAATAACCAAGCACATTTTATGCCAAAAAACACTCATTTTTCTAATTCTTCTGGGTTGTATAGGCAAAAATATATCATGGGCTATGGGGATATTTTAGTTCAGATGTACTATACTATATATCCTATCAGTTTATTTCTCTCCTTTTCATTTCTGCAAGCATGTCCCTTTATCACCCTTATACATCCTTTCCCTAGAACAGGAACTGACAAACTTCTTTTAGGGTCATATTGGAAACATTTTAAGCTTTGCAGATTACACAGTCTCTGTCACAACTGTTTAAGTATGCCCTTAGAGCTAGAGAGAGCCCCAGACAGTACATAAACTGTGATTTAACAAAACTTTATCTGCAAAAACAGGCATCGGCTGGATTTGGCCCAATAGCTTTAGTGTATCCGGGCTCTGAAAATAGCACATTTTATTGAAGGTTCAATCAGTGCAGCAGACTGCTTTTCTCTTTGAGGGACTTCCTAAATGCTCTCAGCAGTATGGCAGCTAAAGCTGCGCTTTCTTTGCTCCCTCTAGTGGTTAACACAGTTAACCTTTTACTGGAACCTTAAAACCACAGTAGATGTTTTATCTTATTCATGGGAAACTATCTCAGTTTGGTCAGTTAAAAGAAATAAAAATGTAATTTAGGTTCCAGTCATGTTCAGCATTTTAACTAGGACCCCAGTGTTTAATATTGTCAGAAAAATAGCCAAGTTCATCAGTAACCCACATGGTAGAATTTAAAAGGATACCTGGTAGAGCTTGTCCTTGGAAACTTTAAAAATAAAAATAGAGATGGCCAGTGTCTCAGTGCATCTGGTAAGAATTTAAAGCATTCTGCACAAAATGAAAATAACAGAATAAAGTTCAGAAGAGGTATGTGTAAAAGTGTATATCAGAGCTACGAAATAAAATACACACATATGAGCTGAGTGTATGGAGCCAGTAATTACAGTTTCAGTCTTAGAGGAACCCTAATAGCCCTTTATCAACTATGCATAAATTATATCATTGTCTTTTTTTTAATATTTTTTAAAATATATATTGATTTTTTTACAGAGAGGAAGAGAGAGGGATAGTCAGAAACATTGATGAGAGAGAATCATCGATCAGCTGCTTTTTGCACACCCATACTGGAGATGTGCTCTCAACCAAGGTACATGCCCTTGACCGGAATCAAATCCTGGACCTTTCAGTCCCCAGGCCGACGCTCTATCCATTGAGCCAAACCGGTTTCGGCGATATCATTGTCTTTTGTTTTGACTTTTTGTAGTGGTTAGTAAGGAAAGTTTGAGACAACATGTATTAACCTTGAGGTTTCCTTCTCGTTGTTGTAAACACTAACTTGCCCCACTGATAAATTGTCTGATTGTTTTTAAGAAGTTGGGTGGTAGTTACATTTCAGGCAGAAGAAGACTGTCAAGATGGATACTTACCAGATAGGCTGTAAATTCCTTAAAGCTAGGGACCAACTTTCATGTGTCCTGTTTCTCACAAAATTCACATTGCCTTGGTATCTTCTTTATAAATTATTGATATTGAACTATAATAACATCCTTAGCAATTCCAAAACAGGAAGCTATGATACAGATAATAAATTTGCTTTTAAAATTTAAACTTAATACTTTGAGGAAATTTAAATCTAAAACACCCATATAGAATATATATACAAAAATATTTCGTGAAAATAGTATTCACTTTGAGTCTCTTATGGTATAAAAAAAATAAATTACAAGCTTATGATTTCAAAAGTTATGATTATAAAGTCTTTCTCGCTGAAGAAATTAAAGAAGAGAGCTCTCTTATTCTGTATGTACCATTTACCTGCATGAAGGAAGGGTTTTGAACTGACTGATTTTCAGTCTGATACACTTGAGCTAGGCCATCTTCAGTCTTATGTTTGTTGAAATTTTGTCATTAGAGTATTTACTTACTTGCTTACTAGTATATCTACAAAAAAGTATGTGAAATTTTCTTTATTAGTAGTCTATAAAAATAAGATTTCTCTAGTTGATTTGTCTCAAGGGTTAGAGCATCTGCCTGCGGACTGAAAGGTCCTGGGTTCAGTTCCAGTCAAGGGCACAAGCCTGGGTTGCAGCCTTGATCCAGGAGGCAGCATATCAATGATTCTCTCTCTTCATTGATGTTTCTATCTCTCTCTCTCCCTCTTCATTCCTCTCTGAAATCAATTGAAAATAAATAAATTAAAGATTTCCATTCATATACTGGCTTAAGTGTGGTATTGAGGCTAGATATAAGGGAAGCACTATGGTGTTCTGAAGTGAAAGATATCTGGTTTGAAATCTGACCTGAGTATTATGTATTTTCATCTCACTGAGCTAAATTCATTTTCTGGGGAATATTATATATTGTCTCTTCTACATGATTGTTATAAAAGTTAAGTATACATAAATCACCCAGGTCTGTTTGGCTCAGTAGATAGAACATAGGCCTGCAGACTGAAGGGTCCTGGGTTCAATTCCAGTCAAGGGCATGTATCTCAGTTGTAGGCTTGATCCCTGGTGTGTGCAGGAGGCAACCAGTTGATGTGTCTCACACATCAATGTTTCTCCCTTTCCCTTCCACTCTCTAAAAAATCAGTGGGAAAAATTCTCAAATAAATGAAGGAAAGGATGTAGGGAAAGGAAGAAAAGGAAGAGAGAAAGGAAGAAACATAAATCACCCAGTAAAAAACTATTTTGAGAACATAAATGTGTGCTCATTATAGCTGTGGACAAACCAGAACCTTGGCCAGCTTCAGTTCTGGTTTGTCCATCTTTAAAGTGGCATAAAAATTCACCCTGTCTCTGAGGGCTATTGGAAGAATTGAATTAAGATAATACATTTAATATTGATAACACAGAGCCTGGCATATGAGACTTACACACCAGGTGGCCTGAATTAGCTTGTACAAGGTGTCAGTGAGTCTTTTCCCAGCTTTTGTTCCTCATCGTGCTCTGCTGTCACCACCTGGTATCTTTAGGAGAGTCAAATGGACTTGCTGCACATCATATAAGCAGAAAGAAAGTGAATGAGAGCAGATCCCAAAATATTTGCATACAGTTTCCTGAAGGAATGACAAACTAAAAGGGTGCAGTTGGAGCGTGTGTCTGTCGGATACTATAAGCGATTTTCTATAGTCTGAAGAGCTTGCTACTCTCTTCCAGCTGTCTTCTCACCCCCACTCATAGGAGTGAAACCCACCCTGTCTGACTGTGGGGCAGGCAATAAACAAACCAAAAGAAAGTGGGGAGGTGGGCAGAGAGGGCACTAGAAAGTAACAGAAGAGAGCAGTCGGGGTGGGGGGGACACTGCAGTCAGAATGAAAAAGCTCCAAACCCTCTTCTTTAAAGGCTTCTCCCATCCCAGAGACAGCGGAACAGCAAAGAGCCTTCCTCCCAGCCACAGTGCTCTCACCCTGGGCAGAGGACATCCCCGGGCTGTGTGGCCTGTGCACAGGAGTTTCTTCGAAGTATCCCCAGGCCTCTCAAAGAAGGCTGTGATTCTTTGCAGATTGATGTTGTTGACTGGCTTCACTGTTTTCACAAGAAGACAGATCTGACTGTCAGAGGCGGGAGCAGATCACAGTGCTTACCATGTCTTCATTCTGCTCTGAACTCACCCTGTTGTCTATTGGGCTAGCCACATTCAGAATTGCTCTTGTGCGTTTGTTAACTTTACAAGGGAGATTTTTAGTAGAGGTAGAGAGTGTGGCACAGCAGGGGAGGTCATGAACAATTTTTTTGGAAACAAAAAATAGGTTTGCCCTGGCCAGTTGGTTGGTCATTGAACCAGGCACTGAAGCATTGCTGGTTTGTTTCTTAGTCAGGGCACATGCCTGGGCTGCAGGCTCATGCCTGGATGTGCAGGAGGCAGCTGTTCTATATTACGCTCTCACATCAATGTTTCTCCCTCTTCCTTCTCTCTTTCAAAATCAAATAAAAAATATTTCAAAAATAATAATAAATGAAGACTTGGATATGTGCCTTTTTTAAAAAAGAAAAGAAAAAAAAGAAAATATTTGTGACTTGACCACATGAGTTAACCTTTATAAACCTCAATTATATCTAAAATGGGGATGATAGTATCTACTTCAAAGAGATATTTTACAGTTTGAGATAAGGTACATAAAACAAAGCACTATGTTTGGTATATAATAATAGTCCAATGAATTATTTAAAAATGAACAGATGCCTTTGAGACAATTATGCATACATTCATAACATTTTAAGTCCTTTAAAAATTGGGCTGTTATAAATCTCAGCAAGAACATTTGAACTCAGCACTTAGAGCCAATAACAAGTGTAAATTCTGGTCACTATCACTCATGTAACAACTTCAGTGAGAGGAAAACAGATTAAATGCCCTTTGGTGTTTGAGTCCTCTGAAAATCCTGAAAAATATAAACAAATACTTTTAATCAAGTAAAAATAGACATTGTTGATTGATTAAGCTACTTCTCTATATTCTGTGATTCCTCTATTTTGCAGACTTCAAAATTTTGTCTAGTTAAGAATTGTTAAAACCTACTCGTTACTACTTACCTCTTGAGCTGATTATGATCTAGAGTAGATTTATAAGTTTTTATCTGTATCTCAAAATAAAATGCTAGAGCTCTTGTAAGTGAGGTATAGGAATAGATTATCAGACAGTTATTAAATATTTGTGCTGTTTAGGATACTATTTTTGGAGGAATTGATTCAAAAGAAGATGATGTTTCACCTTTGCCTCAATGTTTTAAAATTCTGTGGTCAGAAGTATAAGAATATATATAATCTCAAGTTATATTATTTACAAGCAAATTATTTGGTACATTTAGTAATATAATTATGGTTGAGCCCTTTGTTTAGTTGGTTCTGTTTCTATTTCTTCATTTTATTGACTAGGCTTCCCCTGAAAGATCTACAAGAACTCAGCAAAAAGAATTTCAAACTTACATTTTGGATAGCGTGATGGACCATTTGCTTGCAGCTGATGTGTTACTAGGTAATACTGTTTTATTTTCACTTTAAAGGTATCTATAATCACTTTAAAGGTATCTGTAATCACTCTTCTTCTCTCTATATACCCCAAGTATATCTCCTTTTTCAAATTCGTCTTTCCTCTTTTCTGTTCATTTCCCCCTCTTGTTGATATCCTATATAACACATCCCTAATATGCAGAATGACCAGTGGAAGGGAATTATTTATTGCCATGATGCACACTGACCACCAGGGGGTAGACAGTCAACTCAAGAGCTGCCCCCTAGTGGGCAGTGCACTCCGACAGGGGGAGCACCACTCTGCCAGAAGCACAGCAGTGGCAGGAGTCTCTCCTGCCTTCACTAAGGAACAGTGAGCCAAGTGGTAAGGAGCAGCAAGCAAGCAGGCAGTAAGGAATGAGGGGTCCTGGACTGCGAGAGGGACGTCCCAGGGGGAAGGCGGAATCAGGCCGAAGCTGGCAGGCAGACATCCCCAGAGGGGTCCTGGAATGCAAGAGGGCTCAGGCAGGGCTGAGGGACACCCTCCCCCTCCAGTGCACAAATTTCATACACTGGGCCTCTAGTTTTCCTATAATGAAGAAAAGGCCCTCAGCTCTTTCCTTTGAATCTGGGATAAAGATCAGCAGCAGGGAAGTACTTACAGTGGTTGTCCACATTTATGCACGTGGGGTAGCAGGAAGAGGACAAGGAAAGAGAAAAAAAAAATACATGAATTACTATATTTTTATGAATATCAATACTTTTACATTAACTTTTTCATTGTAATATTTATAAATGTGGAACTCCATGAATTTTCACCCAGACAATACGCTTCTATAAAACATCTCAGAAATGCATTGCCAGTACTCCAAAAACTCCCCTTCTACTGTGACCCAGATATGATTCAGTAAATCATTGTTTCAACTTCTAAAACAACAGATTCCTTTTCTCTGCTTTTGAACTCAATATAAATGGAATCATACAGTATGTATTATTTTTAGTCTAGTTTCTTACATTCAACAGTGTATTTGTGAGATTTATTCAGGTTGGATATAGCAGGAGTTCATTACTATGTAGGACTCTATCAGATGAATATCTAAACGTGTCCATTTGCTGTTATTGGGCATTTGTCGATTTTTAGTTTGAGACAATTAAAATAAAGCTGCTATAAACATTCTGGTTCATGTGGGTCACATATTCAGGGAGAGATAAAAGGTTTTCAGTTGTGAGTATGTGAAACAGTTTATTCTTGTATTATTTCTATACAAATAACTGTAAACCTACTTTTTGCTGCATGTACCCTCTATGTACAATATTTATGCATATCTGTTGAATATATACCTATGAGTGGAATTTTCAGGTGATGGGTATGCATATGTTATTCTTTAGGATGGCTTCTAGGACATAAATTCAAGACACATTAAAATGTTTTCTGTATGTCTATCCAATTACAATAAAAATACAAAATTTGTACATTTACAATGGAGCTAACATTTATATGTGAAACAGTGATCCAATTTAAAGGTGAAGGAAAAATAATGAGTTAGTATCTTTGCTACTTGTATTCCTGGTAATATTATTCATAGAATCTCCCTGTTCTTAAATTACCATAATTTTGCAAAGTAATTTGCCAAGAAATCTTTGATATTGACTTAACATGCAACTCTCAAAGCATGGTATGAAGTCAGACCTTTGTTTTTATCACTTGTGATACTATCTATGTTGTACTATCGTACTACATCAAGAAACAAAATTTAGAGTTTTGCATAATGGAGTAATTTAGAGTTGGGTGCAAATAATCACAATCAGCAGAGGCTCTAGAATTTCTAGAAAGTACAGGCTTCGGGGGCACTCTGATGAAGAGCAGCTGGGAGAATTGGTGTTGAAGCAGTATGCACATAGCAGACTGGGCAGCTTTTATAAGAGAGATGGTGCTTGTGGCAGTCATTAGGGGATGACACTACCACCCTGGTTGTACTTTATTTTTCACAATTCTTCTGAACCTCTCTTCTGCCTATATTGCTTTGTCACTATTAAAGATTTACTCCAATATTGAGAGTTTTGTTTAATAGTTTATTTTACCCTTTATTAGTTTACAGCTAAAAATCTGTTGACTTTTCTCTGAAGCAGAGATCATCTGTCACTGGCTGTTTAAGTTGAAGAACAATTTGCTTACCACAGACTGTCTTAAGGCAATAAGAGACTTCACAGTCTCAGTCTATTACGTTTTTATCCTGCAGATGTCGTTTCTTTCAACATTTATCATGATTTCTAGCCATGAACATCATTTTCTTAAAGTAGTGCCTAAGAGCTATTGGTCTTATTTCCATAGTTGTGCTCATATTGCCTTAGCCTGATCTGTGTGAGGATCTGGTCTTATGCTGGTAGATACCAATTTTCTTAGACATCTTTTTCCTGCTGGAATTTAGGGGAAGATGCATCTCTACCTATTACCAGTGGAGGAAGCTACCAGGTATTGGTGAACAATGTGTTTTATTTCACACAACGTGTGGTGGACAAACTTTGGCAAGGCATGTTCAACAAAGAATCTAAACTTCTTATAGATTTTATAATTCAACTAATTGCACAGGTAATCCATTGTCACTATTACTTGTAGAATACATGTTTTTCCAATTGAAAAGCTTTTCCTAAAGTGTCAAAATTGTTAGAAATAAGTGTAACTAATAAGATAATAAATGTTAACATTTAACATAAACGTCAGCTTATTAAAAGTGAATAAAAAATGTAGGCTTGTAACCCTTTTCACTTGTTACCCATATCCAGTGCCAATGTGTCCCTTGTGAGGTTATCTGGTTCTCTCAGGCGTGAGCTCTCGTCTCACCACGGGTATTGCCGTTTGCTGCACAGATAGCTAGTTTCCTTTTAATTTAAATAATTTAAGTTAATAAATTTGATACTTTTTTACAGTATGATTCATTGAGTGTAAAGGCTAACAGGGCATGAAGAGTTGATATCAAAAGATTATTCTCTTCTTGTAATTGAATCTTTACAAAGTCCACTGTAGTCTGTGTTCCTTTGAAGATGTTATTTTGGCGTATGTTGGTGGTGCCTTTGCCTAAGGAAAATTTGCCTGGCTTAGCATGAGTGATTATTATTTAACACATTATGTAGAAAGTAGGAAATACTGTTATCATATTTTATTAGCATAGGGTGCATGGGTTCTTTCTTGTCATCTAAGAATTACTTGAGAACTAAATTTGTATTTAAAACAGAGAGAGAAGTTCTCAAGTGAGGAAATGTTACTAGAATATTAAAAGTTTTTAACTAAAAATTTTAGATAATTTTCTTCTTTGTAGTTTGGAGTAGAGACCATTCACCCTAAGAGTTTGTGCAGTAGGAGACTACTCAGATGGCACTTCCTCATGTTCTTGGCAGATGTATTTTTATATAGCACTCATCTCATTCAATTCCATTATGTGTCTCTTGGATTCTGAACCCCATAATAGCAAGAGCTTTATATTTTTTAACTTAGCAATCCAATACTTAGCATGTCATCTGGTACATAATAAATGTGGTAAATGTTCATAATTGAATTATAAAAGCAGATCTTTTATTTTCGCCCATCTTACTAAATAAAGTATCTTTCATATCCTTAGTCAAAGAGAAGATCCCAGGGACTGTCCCTGGATGCGGTCTATCACTGCCTCAATAGGACGATCCTGTACCAGTTCTCACGGGCACACAAAACTGTTCCACAGCAAGTAGCTCTCCTTGATTCCCTCCGGGTCCTGACTGTGAACAGGAACTTGATCCTGGGACCTGGGAACCATGACCAGGAATTCATCAGCTGTCTGGCTCACTGCCTTATAAATCTGCATGTTGGAAGGTAACTCCTTTAGGTTCAGTTTGCCACCTTGAATTTGTCTTGGATGTTATTTCACCAAAACTTTTGGTTTTATTTTTATTGATAGTAATAATTATTTTTCCTTTAATCTCATTTTTATCTAAAACTTAATGCAAAACGTAAAAGCCAACTGTTTTTTTTTTCAATGACGTGTATTTTTTTAATTTTCTGTATCTCTAAACTTTTCACTAATCACCCTATGTATATAATTTTTAAAAGATTTATTTTAAAGTAAATAAAATACACATTGTTGGAAGTTGAGAGGAATAAAAAGAAAGGAATACAGTGAATAAATACAATGGTGTAAGGTAAATGGGTGAAATTAGTATTTTTCCATTGATTGCTTTGTCAGATATTTCTATAGGGACTGCTGGGTCCAGGCATTGAATTAAAGACTGGGATGTGAGCAAGAAAGACCCTGTTGCAGGGTCTTGGAGCATGCAATGTAGGAGGGAGGACAGGTAACTAAGCAAGACCAGTCAGGTGTACTGAGTGCTAGAAGCTAGAAGCAAGGTGCTTTGGAAACATGTCCTGGTGCCACTTACCTAGAAGAAACACCTGCTAAGTTTCATCTTGAACCTGGTTGAGGAAGAGGTTAACCCTTCAAAGGGGTGGAGGAAGAGAGATGTAGGAAGAACCATCTGTGTAATTGCCCAGAGGGGGGAAAAAAAAAACATATGACACATTTGGGAAACTGCAAGTACTTCACTGCTGCTGGAAGAAAGAGTGCTGTGATTAAGACTGGAGAGTTGATGGGGACATGGGCATATGAGGAAAATATTCTCAATGAACTTTTTGTAATTTTTAGGTAAAATGTTCATCAAAAAGTGTCTTAACTATTAAGATGTTCATCTCAATGCTGTAGTGTGGTGTAATTACATTTATTCAAGTAGATTTGTGAGACCACCCCTTAAAATGGCATTTTTATTATAAACTAGTCATTCTGTTTTGTGCATCTGCTGAGTGCGGTCTGTCAATCGTGGCGCTTTGGAATCACGTTAATAGGCCAACATTTACTTGTGTCTGCAGAAAATACTTAGTTATTAGAGTTTTTTAGCTGTAATCATTTCCTTCATATAATTTAAACTGACACATTTTTCAGCAATGTGGATGGATTTGGACTGGAAGCAGAAGCCCGCATGACTACCTGGCACATTATGATCCCCTCTGACATTGAGCCAGATGGTGGATACAGCCAAGATATTAGTGAAGGTGAGTACCTCAGTTTTCTTCCCTTTCCTTCCCACTCATTAATTGACACACCAGATTCCCAGTGGACATACCTGTAAATACACTGATATGCCCACCAACATACACTGACATGGTAGCTGCACATGTCCTTATGCCAAGATGGGAAAACCATAACCACTGATATTTCTAGACCTTAACATTTTGTAGTAACAATGAGTGTCTCAATGATATTTCAGTTTACAATTACTAGTACAAATACTAACTTGGCACTTACCAGAAAGAGGAGCTGCCTGTTGGTACGAGTTAGGCATACATATCACGATAGAGGCAAATATTGCCTGACATGGATTGTCAGTACTACCACTTTTCTCTTTCTGTTGTCTATTTTTAATTTAGTTTTCTTAGTTAATTGGTTAAGTATTATGCCTGAAGGGCTTTGGGTGGATTGATTTATTTCCACATTGTTTAGTAAAATTAATTAATTAATTAATTAATTAATTAATTAATTAAAAAATTAGATCATTATAGTAGTGTTTGTCTCCAGAGCAATATAGTGTGGTAGTTTTGCATATGATTTTATCCTTTGGAAGTCCAGCACTCACTCAGTCTTTCAATCATTTAAGCATTAACTTATTCTCTCTTTTTACCAAAAGTTCTTGAACCCCCAGAAACTGAGGGCCCAATGATTGTTTTCACACACCCCCCCTTCCCCTCAAGGACCTAACAGTTAAGAACATTGATTCTCAATGCAAGGTTCTCAGACTCGCAACATCCCCATCATTAGGGAACTTGTTAGAAAGCAGATTGTCCTCACTCAGATCTACTGAGTCAGAAACTCTGACCAGCAGTCAGCAGACCTCCAGGTGATTCTGGCACTTGCTAAGATTGACTGTTCTAGAGCAAGAGTTAGACAAATTATTAATGAATGCAGAGCAATAAGAAATTTAATAGTAAACACTTAAAAATATCTTTGTTTATTCATTTCTTCTGCAAAATATTTGAGAACAACTTAATTTTGGGCTTACCTAAAATATTGAGATCTCAAAATTTTCATGAGGGATATGATTTTTTCTTATTTAGAAGCTAGATAATGAAATATGTATATGATCTTCAATTTCATAAATAAAAAATGTAGTTTTTTACATGAACATAAAGTTGTGTGTTGTCTTTTGTGGGGTTTTGTTTTGTTTGTTTATGTTTTCCAAATAGCCAACCACATTTTTTGTTATCTGAATAATCCTTTTTTACTGATCTGGATAGGATATAAAGCTTTTTTTTTTTTTTTTTTTTTTTTTTTTTTTTTTTTTTTTTTTTACTATAAGGACTATAGTTGAAATTCTTAAATGTAATTCATAGAGAAAAATATTAATTTTATGTTGCTTTTTTCTGTTTCTTTTTTTCATTTCCTAGGGCGACAACTTCTCATAAAAGCTGTCAATAGAGTTTGGACTGAATTGATACATAGTAAGAAACAAGCCTTAGAGGAGCTTTTCAAAGTCACTCTCCCTGTGAATGAAAGGGGCCACGTGGACATAGCAGTAGCGAGGCCTCTCATTGAAGAAGCTGGTTTGAAGTGCTGGCAGAATCATTTGGGTAAGAAACTCTGCAGAGACCCTGTGACCAGATTTACACATGGGTGTTAATATGTGTACACTTTAGATACATAATTAAAATTTTCCCAAAAGGATATTATGACAACAGTAGAAATAAAAATCAATACAGTATCATTCTAGATTATGCTGAGATTTGGCTTTTCTTCTCAGATTAAAAAATCTAAGGTGTGTTATACATCAGGATTCTATGAGTTTGGAAAGTAATATATTGCTTATAGCTTTAGTATGGTCACCATAATGGCTATGAATCCACAATTCCTTTAATTCAGAAGTTCAAAAATTCCTGAAAACTCAAGGTTTTTTTTTTTATTAATTTGGTCCCAAAATTCACTTGGTAGCAAATCTAACCTATATTTATCCTTCTTGGAATGAATATTTATACATTTTACACAGAAATATTAATGTGTTAAAATATGGTTTATCACCATAGACCCTATGGTAGTGTTATATAATGAAATTTAGTTTATGTACTGTATTACCTTTTTAAAATTCAGAACATTTTAAATTCCAAAGTATACCCAGCATCAAAGATTTTAGATAGGGAATTGTAAATTGCTATTAACATAGAAACCAATTTCATTAAATTTGCATATTACTGCAGAGCGTGAAGTTTCAATGAAAGGTAAATTCAACCAGTGTAATAATTGTCAGGCACCTATCCTTATCCAAGATCACCAATCAAAAAGAGTGCATACCTAAGAGAATATGTCTGTAGTGTAAACTGCTTCTGATAACTACAGAATTGTGGTTTGTCACCATGATGCTAGAGTACTGAAAGTAAGACTGATAAATAGATGGAGAAATTGTAAGGTGACCTGAGTTTAATTTCCTAGCCCATGAAAAGAAATGCATCAGCCGCGGAGAGGCGTTAGTGCCCACCTCTCAGTCCAAGCTGTCCCGCGTGAGCAGCGGCTTCGGTCTCTCCAAGTTAACAGGATCAAGAAGGAATCGGAAGGAGAGTGGTCTCAGTAAACACAGCCTTTCTACCCAGGTACACTGTTTGGTTTAATTCATGATGTGATTAGAAATTTCTATTTCAGGGTTTAATTGTGGAGGCTTATATCACACACTTAACATGTACACGCACATGTCTTGAAATGGAACTTTTTCACATTTTTGTTTTAAAAGAGAGATAGAAATAACTCTAGCCTGGCCGGTTTTGCTCAGTGGATAGAGCATTGGCCTGTGGACTGGGGTCCCGGGTTCTATTCCGTTCATGGGCACATGCCCGGGTTGTGGGTTCAAACTTCAGTGGGGGATGTGTAGGAGGCAGCGAATCAATGATTCTCTCTCATCTTTGATGTTTCTATCTCTCTCCTCTCCTTTCCTCTTTGAAATCAATAAAAATATATGCAATAAAAAATAAACACATAGCAATCATTTGTTAAAAATGAAAGAAATAACTAGATTGCGGTAATGTCTCTTGTTTTATTATGATAGACTTGCATTATGAGTGCTGTGTGTTTACATCCATTTCATAATGACATAAGATGAGATTCAGATATTGATATATGATCAAACTATGGATGATTTTTATGAACTTTTGATAATTTTGTTACTGATATTTTAAAGTAATAGATCAAAATGGTTTTTTTAAATAAATCATATATATATATATATATATATATATATATATATATATATGCCTGTGACTTGTTTTTTTAAAAACTCATCTATTTCCAGTATTAATTTCTTCCTCATCATATTTTTTCTGTCATCCCCCAGTCTCAGTGGGAATGGATCTGAGAAGAACTGTGTGTATTTGTCATTCCAAGTGGCAGCTGGGGTTCCTAGGAAGCGCAGTCTGAGAAGCAGTTTCGTGTGTGTGATGTTGATTAGGGTTCCCTTGAGGTTTACTTATAAAAGAAGGAAGCAGGATTGGTCACAGGAAAATGCCAGGCTATAGTGCAGGTCCTGTGACATACTCAGCCACCCTAAGTAGACCTTCAGGGGCCAAAATAGCCTATCGGAGTTGACCGGTTCTGAGCTGAAATGGCTGACCCCTAAATCAATCATTCATTGGTATGGGGTGCACAGATGGCTCTCTGCAGCCGAAGTGATCCCTGAAGGTAGCAATAGCATTCCCAGAAGCTCAGCAGCAAGCCTTCCCTATTGGGGCATTGGGGTGGGGCAGGGAAGGGATTTTTTTGTGTTCAACACACATTCCTCCATTAATTTCATCACATAAGTCATCTTTCAGAGTTTGTTGAGACTATGTGTAGTGGTTACTTTAACTGAATTTTAACTAATTGTTCAGCATTACTTTCAAGGCTAGTTAACTTATTTTTTCCAGGAAATACATGAAATATTAAACTTCTTTTTCTGTCTATTGTCAGGAGATTTCTCAGTGGATGTTTACACATATCGCTGTTGTTCGTGACTTAGTAGACACACAATATAAGGAACATCAGGAGGTAAGAGTCCATAATTACAATCTTGGTATGTTTTGCATTTCTGTAGTGACCTTTGTTGTCTCTTATTATGGCCTTCATTTTGAAGTCTGTTTTGTCGGATATGAGTATTGCTACTCCAGCTATTTTTTCTTTTTCCATCACTTCACTCATCCTGTATGTGTCTCTTGTAGGCAGCATATAGTTGGGTCATGTTTTTGCATCCAGTCAGCTACCTTATGCCTTTTGATTAGAGCATTTAACCTATTTACATTTAGGGTTAGTATTATAGGTATTTATTTCTATTTTAATTCTGTAGCTTATGTTTCTCCCTGTTTCTTCTCATTATAGCAGTCCCTTTAGCATTTTGTGTAATGCTGGCTTGGTGGTGAGGAACTTCTTTAGCCATTTTTTTTTTTTTTTTTTTCAGGAAACTCTTCATTTGACCGTCTATTTTTAATGATAGCCTTGGTGGATATAGTAATCTTGGTTTCAGATCCTTGCTTTCCATTACCTTGAGTACTTCATGCCATTTCCTTCTGGCCTGTAAGGTTTCCGATAAGAAATCACTTGTCAGCCTTATGGGAATTGTTTTGTAGGTAACAGTTTGTTGCCTATAAGATTCTCTCTTTGTCTTTAATTTTTTGGCATTTTAATTATAATGTATCTGGGCGTGGGCCTGTTTGGGTTCTTCTTGCTTGGCGTTCTCTGTGCCTCTTGAACTTATGCGAGTTTTTCTTTTACCAGGTTAGGGAAGTTTTCTGTCATTATTTCTTCAGTTACATTCTCTATCCCATTCTTCCTTTATGATTCTCTGGCACACCTGTTATTCTAATACTGTTACATTTCATGTTGTCCCACAGCTCCCTTAAGCTGTCCTTCTGATTTTTTTCAGTCCTGTCTTCAAATTCACTGATTCAATCCTCAGTTTGATAGGCTATGTATTCCTTCCAATGTGTTCAAATTTGAAATCATCACACCTGAATCCTGTTAACATTCAATAATGGCATTCAACAGTCTTTGTTCCTAATAAAAATTAAAATATTTAGATACCTGTCATTCAGACTTATCTAAGAGATTGTGAAAAAATGCATCAAAGTTTCTGAGAAGTCTCTTGAAATTTTAAACACATAAAGACTAAAAATAAGGTTATTTATTACAGTTGCTTGGTGATTGACAGTAAAAAATAAACTCAATGAAAGCTTCTTTGTGAATTCATTATTACTCTACAGCTTATCCTAAATATTTTATTTCCCAAGCAACTGTTTTGAAGTCTATTAAAGATTGCTGAATGCTAAACTGCTAATATTTTGTGGTCATAACACTAGACTAGTTATTTTAGGGAATTCTGCTACTCCCTGAACACATAAGTGCTACTATGATTTCATGTAATTTTATGATTATTCATTCAGTAAGTTTTACTATTGGTTCTATAAAGAGATCTTTATTTTTAGACTTAGGTTGTATACATATATTCAATGAATCATTAAATAAGTTATTTATAACCATCTACTGTTAAAACATTTTATGTGAATGTAAAGTTCCCTCTCAGAGCTGCATATTTATATTCTTTCCTTAAAATCTTTGGAAATGTTACAAAGCTTATCAGTTTTCTAGTGTGATGTCAATATTTGTTTCCAGATATTAACTTGTTTTTAAGGTATTTGTAGATTTTTCATTGTTACTCTTACTTTTGCTCAAAAACGAACCTGACCTCCTTCCCCACAGCGCCAGCAAAATGCCCTGAAGTATGTGACTGAGGAGTGGTGCCAAATCGAGAATGAACTGCTGCGGGAGCGAGGGCTGTGGGGTCCCCCCATTGGCTCCCACCTAGATAAATGGATGCTGGAGATGACAGAAGGGCCCTGCAGAATGAGAAAGAAAATGGTGCGAAATGATATGTTTTATAACCATTACCCTTATGTGCCAGACACCGAACAAGAGGCAAGTGTGGCGGTGAGTATACAGAATTACATGTTTGTAATGGTGCCTTGAAGTTTTTTTTTCTTCTTTTTTTTAAGCATCTTTCCTTATTAGGTCAATTACCTAAAATGTCTGACTTTGAAAATTCAGTATGCTGCATTAAATTGGTAATAAAAGGTGGCAGTGGAATAAAAGGCTGCAGCAGTGAAGCAGGGAGACATTGTAGTGAAGTGGTTTCAACCACAGACTCGAGCCAGACTGCCTGGATTACGGCCTGCCTCTGCCCCTCTACTGCGGTGACTTAGTCCCCTTCATTAAACCTGCTTGAGTTTCTGTTTCCTTATGCCTAAAATGGAAAGAATAATGGTTTCACCCCGCACAGCTATTATAAAAATTAAGTTAGTTGAAATTAGTAATGTACCGAGAAAAGAGTCCAGCACAAAATAAGCCCTGTATGAGTGAGTGTTAAGTAAACAAAATGAGCACTGGCACTAAGCAATGCCCCTTGAAGAAACGTAAAAAGAACAAAGAACAATTGCGTGAACATGTAGATCTTTCCATTCATGTTAAGAAGCTTCATCATCAACTCCATGGGTTTAAACAAACATTTCCCCTTAACTTCCTTTTTATACAGACAAGTTACCCTCAAAGCCTTTGTTCAGGATTTTTCACAAGACTAAAGCAATTTTGTTTAAACTGATAATGATTGGGGAAGTGCGTACTTACATCTGGGAAAATAGAGTCTTTCCCAGTAAAGTCACTACCAATTTAAGAAAAAAACACAGGAATATAACATCCACTGCATTTAAGTCCGAAAGTGCTCATAGCATTTCTAAATAGTAATTTAGCTCTTCAGTGTCTAAAAATAATTCCTTGCCTACAAAATGAATAGTGATTTCCTCCTTAGAAATGCAATTTTGTCATGGAATCACAGCTTTGGGAATTGAAAGAGGTTTTCACAGATAATTTCATGCTGTTTCCTACTACTATTATGTCAATGTGTAATCAGCTATGAAAACATTATTTATGAAGTATTTTACTGTTTTGTACTTTGTCTTCGAAATACAATGTACATTTCATACTTAAAAGCACATCTCAGTCCAGACTAACCACTTTTCAAGGCTCAGGAGCCACATGTGCAGCTTAGGTACTATGAGGCATGGGCAGCCCTAGAAAATCCCTGACTTTTACATTATTGTTTCATGATTTTAAAAAACATCAGTATACCTTATTAATGAGTAAGATTTTCATGTCTTCCTTTGTTATCATTTAAATTTTCAGTGGAGTTATTTTGACTTTAAAAAGGTCATCTGAAAAAGCATATTTTAAAATTCTCTCCTTCCCCAAGAATCTGACCACCTTATGCTTAATTTATCACCAGATAGAAAGGTTATTAGGGGATGTATTTCATATTTTGTCACACCCTATATTTTAGCTGCCTCTAAAATGAAGTGCTCCAAATAAATCTATTGAAACTCATATCCAATTAGAAAGTCATATCACTACAAAGAATCATCCACTGACAAACATATTGGGTTTGTTCTTCTGAGATATTTGGTTAATAGGATTTTAAGACTTGAGAGCTTATAAAGTCCAACTGCTTGCCTAGTATAGAGGATTTATTGTATTTTATTAAAAACTTTACTTTAAAACTAAGATTTATAAAGGAGACTTGGAACATGGGTCTTCTAATAAATAGTTCAGATCATATATTGAGAGGCAACTTGTATTGTTCTAATCCTCCTTTTTTTTTTTTTTTTTTTTTTTTTCTTCTTGGAAAATCCCTGGTTTCATATACTTGTACTCATGGGTTCCACCTCTGTCCTGAAGCTACTTAGAATATAGGTTGTAGACCTGCTAATATATAGTTACTTAAAATTTATCAAGATAGCTCCCCAAGGTCTACTGTTTTCCGAGCTATTCAGTGCTATTAAGAACTCCATTTTTGGCACAGGTGTACCTTAAAATGCCATAATTTCTAATACAAGGGCATTGTGTAAGAAAGTTAATCTACCGTATTTTTGCAGCCTTTTACTAGCACCTACTTTTGTCAGAGCAAACCAGCAATACATTCTCTCATTCTTAATCTTACCCCCCAAATAAATAATTAAGAATTTAAACCTTTTTTGATAAAGTATTTTTTATTGAATCAATACTCATTTAAATGGAATCCATTTTAAAGTACTAAAATACAGAGTAGGTTTACAGTTGTGAGTATGGAAAATAGTTTATTTTTGTATCATTATTTATTAATTATTGTATTATTTTCTATATGAACCACTGTAAACATACTTTTGTTCCATCCTGTCTGTGTAAGGTAAATAAATTCCCTTGAATATGTGACTTACTATTTTTTATTTCACTGAGGCATATACTTTTTGAGTTATATAACCATAATATTTTGTTTTATCTTATTCCTTTCCTTCTTTATAATAGTGTCATTTATTTTACAGAAGTATATTTACTTCTCTATATCAGATAAAACAAAATAACCTATTTAGTGTTTATACTTACAACCTTAATATCATTAGCATTTTACCTAAACAAAGGAATTCACCTACCTGTGAAATCTAAACAGACACTCTCAGAAATAGGTATATACCATATGGAACTTAGTTTTTAATCAGATGGGGTACATGTTGCAAAATACAACTGAGTCAAGAAATTTGAAGATACATTTCAAAATAGGAGACACTCTAGATAGAGGAGATGATTATAGAATGCAGACCCATGCACAAGTCTAAGTTAATTTGCTATGATGAAATCTGAAAGAATATTTTGAGTTTGCTAGTTCACAATTTTCTGTAGATCTCAAATGCCATTGAATATCCACTTTTGTTCTATGGAATATGCAATCTGGCAGTGGTGACAGCAAAGAAATTCCAAAACCTAGAAGCAACTGCTATCCCACGACTTTTATTGTGAAACCAAAGGAGAGAAGAGTGAATACTTGTAAGCACTCTGCAGCCTTGACAAATGCAGTTTCATTTATATGTCTAGCAACCCTTGAAGTGTCAGTCTTATTATCCCAGTTTTACAGATGAGGACTAGAAACCTAGGAAAGTTGAGGAACTCTTTCTAGGTCACAGCTACCATGATAGAACCATGTGTAATGTTGACAGAAATTGAATCACTTTTGAAAAGGAAAAGATTCTGCTATTATTTGGTTTTGTGACATTATCTGTAAATAGTGAATTTCTTTCAGACAGAAACCATAGGTTTTGTCTTTCTAATGCTAACTACCTAGAAATTGATAGATTTTCATTGAATTGACAAACAGCATTCTCTTTTCCTAACTTACGGATTTTATCCATTGTTTCCTATATATTCTCTAGAATTTCCCTAATTCTGAAAATTTTCCACTAAAAAGGGCTAGAGCCAGATTTTATGGGGCCTGAGGTTTATACTACTTGGGGGGAGAGGGATGAGAAATAAGAAAAAGAGTACCAAATTATGTATACAAAATTACTAGGGCCAGCCCCTCTTCCAGTCTTTTGAAAGGAGCTCATGAGAAGTAAAGGCGGTTGCAGTTTAATCTTTCTTAACCTCATAGTAAATCCACCTCTGCCCTGAACTATATTAAATATCACCTACCAGAGGTTGAGCTCAATCTTTCTTCTCTTTCAGCTCTTATAAATGTGTTGCCTTCCTTGTGTGAGTCTTTATAATATATAGTCAGTCCTTTATGCAATAACAAGTATTTGCCAACCTAAAAATTGCTTTTCAAGCCTCTTGATAGGTTAGCAGGCTTTACCTGGAATGAAGGCATATGGTTTGGTTAATTGCCTTATTGATTAAGAATAATTATTGTTTCTAAGTAACACTGACTTCAGTAGTCCTGTTGCTTAAGCTGAAAAAGTAGTGATGATTAAAAAGTTGTTTTATTGTTTTAAAATTCTTGATGTGTTATAAATGAATCAAGTGATTTATCTTAGTCATTTAAGTTTTCTTAAACCTGGATAATATTACATATTGTATAAAATAACACCTATTCTAAGTTTTGAACTTTTATTTCTTGATTTTTAAATTGGAGGTTTATTTATAGAATATAGGATGTATTTTAGTGTTTTGCCATAGACTCAAAAGTTTTCAAAATTGCTTAACTAAAATTATTTTCATAAAAGCAATAATAATTATAATTACATCCTGAGGAAATTGGTATATGTGAAAAATTTTTGTATTCTTTCATGAAAATAATTATCTCTGCACAAGGACTTTCCTTGGGGGATAATTTTCATAACTTAAAAAAAGTTAAGCTAAATTGCAATATAATTCTATATTTTAAGTGGTAATATTAGTTATAGATAATATTAAAATGTTAGCTTAGAGTATGATAAAATATAAAATCTGTTTGTTTTTAAGAAATTTGTTTAATTACCTTGAATCCTATTAAAGGAAACAAGATTTCATATTTGCTATTTTAAAATATTTAACCATGAATTCCAGGTTTTAATTTTGTAATCCCTTATTTTAACAGAATAATAATCTCAAACAAAATATAACATTCTTTGCAAATATCGTTGGAGTAAAAACCTCAGTGTCTACCTATTAATGTTGGACTGCTCGGGGTAGAAGGGTAAATTTACTGATAGGATCCTTTTCCAATTAAGGGAGTCTCTCATAACTGCCTCCACATATATTATTATGTAATATATAGACCTCCCAGTACTCAGAAACTGAGCAACTCGTTCAGGAAATTCTATTGCCAGCATTATAGAAAAATTTAAAGTACGGACTAAAAAAATATTTTTTAGGAATTTTGACTTTGAGAAATTGAGATTTCCATATGAACATAATTACAATAATATATTAAAATTTTAAAGGAGAGCTGAGGTATTACTAAAAATATTGATATAATATATATCTTAGCTATTGAATTCTTTACTACATCTTAGTAAAATAAGAATACATATGATCAGTGAGCATATGTATTAAAACAGCAGCACTACATCATATGCTGCAGAGACAATATAAGAGTGTACCTGTCAGACCCTGCCCATAGTCCAGTTGAGGGGTCTGACAGGTGGATATCAGAGTTGGGTTTAACAGTAGTCATTGGTCCGTTTTGCTACATTGGTTTCTCACACATCCATCCAGCATTTACCTTGCTTTTCTAGGAATTTCAGTGATTGCAGAATCAGTGCCCTTCATCCCTGTGCACTTCCACATGCATGTCAATAGAGTTCAGTCCTTGTTCATATGTATGTCAATAGAGTACAGTACTTGTTCATAATTCTGTTTTTATTGACATAAATGTTACACACATTGAAACATACAAATCTTAATTGTACCATTCCATGAGTTTTTTAAAATGTGTAATATACAGCCGAAACCGGTTTGACTCAATGGATAGAGCGTTGGCTTGGGGACTGAAAGGTCCCGGGTTCGATTCCGGTCAAGGGCATGTACCTTGGTTGCGGGCACATCCCCAGTAGGGAGTTTGCAAGAGGCAGCTGATCGATGACTCTCTCTCGTCAATGTTTCTAGCTCTCCATCTCTCTCCCTTCCTCTCTGTACAAAATCAATAAAATATATTTTTAAAAATGTGTAATATACATATGTGTAACCCAAACTCTTATCAAGATAGAAAACATGCATGTATAATTTAAAGATTATTCTTAAATATAAGGTATGAGTTTAAAAGTTTGTTTTGAAAAACAAAGGTTTACTAAAACCACATGAAGTATTTGAAAGCATGTCCAGTAGCCCCGCACTTGTTTTGTCTAGGGAAGCAAACATCTATGAAAGCATTTTGCCTACTCATGCTTACCATAGGGAAAAATACTGGAAGTCATCTTCACATATCAGCCGGGAAAAGGAAGATTAATTGGAAGTAGTTCTTAAGTGCCTTATTGTCTGTCTGTAGGTATATGTGTGTTTACCTGCATAAGCCACACACTACAGCTTAACTAGAAATTTCCTTCTGTCGATCAGGATTTTATTCTGAGAATAAAATATAAAGCAGCCACTTAATTCATCTTTTTAAAATTGTTGACACTATTACAGATGTCCCAATGCCCTCCCTCCCCCTTAATCCTCCTCCACCCAGTCCTGGTCCCCTACCCCCTTCCATCTGTACCTAATTCTTTAAAAGTACTTTTTACAAAAACTTTTGGTGGAGGCTGACATCCAGTATGCCTTCTGCTCTCAGCCTTTATGGGTTTATAGCTGTAAGGTGGTGAAGGAAGAAAAGCCCTTGGACTTTTATGAGAGGATGTTTTTAAATAGCAAACACTTAGTGATTTCTTTGGTTCAGGGGTAGTGCAGATAATCATTTAAATCAGTTGCTCCTATTACAAAACAGATCTGGGGCATAGGGAGTGAGCCAGTGAAAGGTAGGTGAAAGACAAAAGCTAGCAAAAGTTCTATTTTCTAGTATTTTTCCTTTTGAAGCCATGAAGAGTTGCCTGTAAATCATTCATGCCAAAGCCAGCCTGTGTTGAAGTAGTGTTGGTGTGGTCTTTATGTATGTCCTGTTCAGTGAGGAGCCTTGAGAATTAATGTATTTTAATTTCATTATAAAACTACTGTTGATAATGGAGAAAATAATCACAAGATGCTCCGTGATTATTTCAAACAGCCTAGTTCCTATTCCACACAGTCCTCAAGAAAAAATCATTTTTATGTTATTCTTTATGTTGTTTTTTTTTTTTTCTGATGTGTTTATACTTAATACCCTGTTTTCAGTCTGAGATCCCAAGTAAACAGCCTGAGACTTCTGATGATATCATTCCTCAAAAGGTAAAACAAATTACCATAAAATAATGCAAACTACTTGCAGTTTTGGTTTTTTGTTTTGTTTTGTTTTTAGTGCATGGTAGACTAGACTAACTTAAAAGACTGAATTTCACTTTGCTCTTCCTGTAAGTTTCTGAGAGTTGAAAAGTGGGTTTCATTTATGCTGAGAATTGTTGTGGCCTTTCTTGGCTTGGCTCTCATTAGCTTCCTAGGGTGTGTGTGCGGCTCACTAACAGGCGGAGTATTCATTGCTCTCACTCTAAAATGCGTATGGCTTCATACTTAACTAACAAATTCTGACACATGTTAGTAATGGGCAGCCTGACACCTTCAACTCTTTTTTCAATTACTCATTTAATTTTTCTAGATACTAAACTGTATTTTGAGAATGCAAGGATATTCCTCTTTTAAAATTATTTTTTTCAATCAGAAGAGTATAACCAAAACTAAGAGTATATGATCACTTTTCAAAATACAATTTAAATTTATTTTAATTTGTTAAAAAAAATTATAATTTTCTCTGCAGAAAGATTATGTACATAATTCAATAAAAACTGTAGTTCTTTAGAGCACAGAAATATGCTTCAAAATATTTGCAGAAAATGCCTATGGTTCCAAGTTAAAATCTGTAAATGTTGTCCCACGTGTATTCATTCATTGTCTTGCCCATCACTAACTCTGCTTTCATCTTTTTAAAATGAACAATTTTGAGTTAAAGATAATAGTTATACATCAAGTAGAAGAACTGTTACAGTACAAAGTGTATTACCTTTCTTTCATTTCAAAAGTATTGCAATGTTCTTATTAGTTTGTTCATCTGGTTGAATAATATCCATAATTGTGATATTATTTTACATCATGGTAATACTTCCCTGTGTTATACAATATATTTCAGTTTGAATTTGCTGGATATTAGTCCTCGGTTGGCTTGCAGCTCTCTTTATTCTGATTCTGTGCCTGAAATTAAAAGAAGGCCGGTGTGGCTTAGTTAGGTATACTTTTATCTCAAATTGATTCGGTATTTTCATCTAAATATTCCAACTAATTGGACACAGTGTTCCACTTCAGTTTGAAATCATTTTTTTAATGTCTTGCTTAAAATAAGCATTATTGTAAACAATACATATTGACTACTTGAGCTTGAAGAGTAGGCCAATAGAATATTTTAAATTAGATACTCTTATTAATAGGAAAGACAAAGTAAATGTTTATAAAGAGAGCATTTAAAAACATGTTTTAAACCCTATCCTTTTCTAATTGTTAATCCAAAGTCTGGGTCTGATTGAGGACCTTTATATATGTAAACTTCTTACTCTGGTTTTACTTTTTTTGTAGGAACTTTTAGACCTTAATGTTTTCATTGTATTAGGTGTATGTGTGGCAGGGGAGGTTTAGGTCAATTGGAGAACATAATTTTAGGGTAAATATTAATTATTCTGAAAAATAAATGTTCTTGTTTCATGCCAAAAAAAAATTAAATATTTTCCAATGTTGCAGGTAATAAATTTCTTCTTCTAAATTGACTTATATAGTTCTTGATATACTCAGTAAGTTTGTGGATCATATTCTCCTATACAACAATGAGGATGTTTTAGCAAATTGGAGATACCAGCTTGAAGTGGCAGACCAGCCAGAGAGCACCATCTGGCCTTTATACATGTAAAGGTTGAGTCCATGTTAGTCAGGATTCTCTGAAGGTTTGGGCCATTTTCAGAGTTCTAGTGAGACTGGGAATATGCGAAAGACCAGGACAGTTCTGAGTCTCTACCTCTAAGTATCTAAATAAACTTGTGCAGATGACTCCAACTGAAGGGCTGGCTCTTTAGGCCTGACCTATGTACTTTACTTGCGGCGGAAGCAACATTCCAAGGTCCTTGTAACTTGATGCTCTCCAACACTGGGCATTCTCTTCACACTACTGTATAGGGAAGTTTTCTGATTCATCAGTGAGCCCATACTGTGCTAATATGAAAATGTTATTTGACTAGAGATGGTTCATTTCTATTTGGGGAAGAACAAAACTCCTACTATTATTTTACATATGTCTTTTAAAAATCAATGGAATTTAAAAATAAAGAAACTTAACCCCAGTAATCTATGGAATTACTGTGTATATATACAGTCCATTAAAAATCCCTAGGAAAAAGGTAACATGTAAAGAATTCTTGACACCATACTTTCCCTTGGGAAGCTTATATTTTAATTCTTGAAGACAATTACTTGAGTTCTTTTCTCTTGTTATTTCTTAGAAACCTGCTAGGTACAGAAGAGCCATAAGTTATGACAGCAAAGAATACTACATGCGACTAGCCTCTGGCAATCCCGCCATTGTCCAAGATGCCATTGTAGAGAGTTCAGAAGGTGAAGCTGCTCAGCAAGAGCCAGAGCATGGTGAAGACACTATTGCCAAAGTCAAAGGTCAGCCTCCCTCTGGGTTTCAATCTGAAATCATTAGAGCATTCCTCATATTTGATTGTATATGAAAATAGGAGCAACTATGAACAGTAGGTCTGGCCTTAAAGGTATCTATAAATATTATGCCATCTCATTCTTCTTAAAAATTAATTTTTCTGCATCTGAACTTTTACAGCAACTGGCTCTTTCTTATTGCCTGCAAATGAATACAATATGCCCGTTGACTTGATAGTTCTTTTTTTTTTTTTTTTTTTTTGTATTTTGCAGAATTCTCATGGCACCTGATATTGTCAGTTAACTAATAACTAACTAAGAATTTATAAGTTTAAAACCACTACTAACAGTGCATGTTAGCCAACAGTAAATAGTAATAGTCTTTTTTCCTATGATTATTCCAAATCTGTACTTTTTTTTTTAATATATTTTATTGATTTTGTACAGAGAAGAAGGGAGAGAGATAGAGAGTTAGAAACATCGATGAGAGAAAGTCATGGATCAGCTGCCTCTTGCACACCTCCTAATGGGGATATGCCCGCAACCAGGGTACATGCCCTTGACCGGAATCGAACCTGGGACCCTTCAGTCCCCAAGCCGACGCTCTATCCATTGAGCCAAACCGGTCTCGGCCAAATCTGTATTTTTAAGAACTTAGTAAAATATATGTATGGTGAATTGAACTAAAATGGCCATGGGCTTGTTGATTCTTTACTTTTACATAGGTTGCACACTCACTCCCTTCTACAGCTTCTCCATGATTTAGACCTTAACAGACCCTCCCCAGTCTTAAAGAGACCAGGGAATAATCCAGTCATTCTTCTCTGGAACTTTTTCAACTTTTCCTGTCCACCAGTAACTCTTTGCTCACCTCTCTCACAGCAGTTTCAGTGATTTTTCACTGTTTTATGTTTTTCTAAATTATCAGTTTCTCAGAGGCAAAGATTATTTTTCATCTCACTTTGTAGCTTTTAGCATGACTAGCACAACATGGGGATTCAGTCAATACTGAATAAATCAAGCCATTGTTTTAATGTCTTTAAGCTTCTGCTTCATCATAAATTCAAAATCTTGGCATATTTAATTAAGAAATATAAATTAAAAATCAGTTTCACATCCTATAGATAAAACCAAAAAGTATATGACCATCTTGACCAAAAACACTATAGAAAATTCTGAGTCATTTCTCCTATTATTATAATACTAAAGGCCTGGTGCATGAAATTTGTGTACTGAGGGGGAGTATCCCTCAGCCCAGCCTGCATCCCTCTCACAATCTGGGACGGCTGGTTCCTAACCACTCCCCTTCCTGCTTGCCTGATCGCCCCTAACCGCTTCTGCCTGTCAGCCTGATCACCCCCTAACCGCTCCTCTGCCAGCCTGATTGATGCCTAACTGCTCCCCTGCCAGCCCGATTGCCCCCAACCACCCTCCCCTGCTGGCCCAGTCCCCCCACTCCTTTCCCCTGCCAGTCCAGTCATCTCTAACTGCCCTCCCCCGGAGGCCCGGTTGCCCCTAACCGCCCTCCCTTACTAGCCAGGTCACCCCTAAATGCCTTCCCTTGCAGGACTGGTTGCCCCCAACTGCTCTTCCCTGCAGGCCTGGTTTCCCCCAACTGCCCTCCCCTGCCAGTCTGATCACCCACAGCTGCCCTCCCCTGCCAGCCATCTTGTGGTGGCCATCTTATGACTACATGGGGGCAGCCATCTTGTGTGTGAGTGAGTGATGGTCAATTTGCATATTACCTCTTTATTATATAGGTTACCTATTTTCTCATAATGATTCTCACTAAGCACTTCATAATTAATATAAATTTTTCATAGAATCCTTGAAACTTTCAGTAGTTGAACAGTTTACAACCTTCTAATTTTCTTGACAATGCACCAGCAAAATTAGAGATGCTCTAAAGCTGTATCAGTGGGTATAAGCCCCATGATATAACTCACACAGTGAGTCAGTCAACTTGTGTTTGGTTCATTGGCTCTTCACGTCTCTTGATTTCATTTTCCTAATCTCTAATAGAGCTAAAATCACAAACACAGTGCCTCTACTGTAATACGCAAGGTGTTATTCTAGACATAGAGTTGGAGTTTTTGATTCACCAAATTAAAAATAATGCAGCTGTAAGCTTTCCCCTTGTGGATGTTCCCAGCAGGACTTGATCTCTCATGCTTACTTATTATGTTCTTTTATATGTGAAAATAAGGTTCTTATTAAGGCAAAGCAGAGCCTCTAACAGGCTGACTTAATGCTTTTCAAAATTCTTAAAGCATCTATCACTGGTAGGTGCAACATAACTTTTCTTTGGTACAACTAAGACTATTAATTTAATTAAATGTGGGAGTTAGAGTTTATTTTTAGTGGTTCTCATATTTTAGGATCTCATTCACTGATTTTAATGTCATCTCCTGTGATTATTAATAAAGTTATCCAAATGTAGGCTGTAAAGTGTTTCCTTAATCTGCAAATTAAATGATTTATCCCTGTATTATAAAGAATTCTGTTCTTATTCTTCGTGGCCTGATAATAGGATGTATGAATGACCATACTGCCACTTATAACCTAAGTCTTAAAATAGTCTTCAAGGGCAGTCTAAGTAGGTGGGATCTGTTATAATCATGTTTATAAATTATTATCTTTACTTTTGTTTCTGGTAGGAATTAATCATTTATTCATGGTATTTCCTCAATGATACCAGTCCATAAGCAACACCATTCTTACCATTAATGATGCTAAACTCTCTGTTTATCATTGTCTGGTACTTATTTAGAATTTACTATTTATAACAATAATGTTCAGTGTTTTTATTACATGAGTTACCTCATTTTGTCCTCCCAACAGTTCTCTAAGATAGGCAGTATTCCTACTCCAGTTTTATAGGTAAGAAAACTGAGATACAGAGAGGGCAAATAATTCTCCAAGCTCACACAGCCATTTAACTCCACAGTCTATGTTGTTAACCGCTGAACTGTTTCCTCCTATATCTTCCTGAGTTACCTCAAATTGGAGATGTATTGGAAGGGCTGCATGAGACTAAAGTGCTTCCCAAATGGCAAGGACACATGGCCCTCTTGGTTATTATCCTGTAGGTCTGGTCAAGCCTCCTCTGAAACGGTCCCGATCTGCACCTGATGGAGGCGATGAGGAGAACCAGGAGCAGTTACAAGACCAGATTGCTGAGAGTGGCTCTGTAGAAGAGGAGGAGAAAACGGACAACGCCACCCTACTTCGCCTCCTAGAGGACGGAGAAAAGGTACTGTGCTTCTAAAAAGTAAGGATTGTCTGAAAGGAACTTGTTTCCAGTTTACAAGACTGGTTGACAGAAGATAAATATTTCAGCTTCTCTGATGGAACAGTATTAAACCACCTTTTGGGCTCAGTACTTGACTTTGCTCATCTTCAGGGTTTTCTGACCTAGCTGATTACATAAAACAGCATGAGGTTTCATCAGACACAGTATTAACAATTGACAAATCCATGTGCACAACCCATTCTGACTTAGAGCTTTTTCAACTCCATAACTCTTGTGATACCTACAAGAAGCTTCAGCCAATCTGTGCCATCTCTCCAGCCTTCTCACTCATAGAACATTACTTTGCCTTTCTATTTCATCCTCCTGCACCTTGCCCATCCCTCCAAGCTCATCTTACTGACCCTGCCTTGTAACCTGAGCCCCCTGCAGCATTGTGTGTCTTGCTGTTTACTACACCCATGATGTTATTTCTTCATTCTACACTTAACTCATTCTCTTCCCTGCCAAAATGCCTCTCTCCCCATCATTTGCATAACCTCTCTTTGTAACTCCCATTGATACAGTCTAATTTATTTGGATGTCTTTAATACTTAAATGTAGGAAGTGTTTCTTGATTGTCTTGCCAACTCAGGCTTGGTTAGATACCCTCTTCTATGCTTGTTTAGTGCCTTGTATCTATTACTCTATTTTTTCAAGTCCTGATTATTTGTTCCGGTGCCTGTCTCTCCCCCTAGCCAGGGAGACAGACACAGGATAGGCCGCAGTGCTTCTTATTCCCACCCTATTGCTGTACAGCTCCACTCACTTAGCAGACACCCTAAAACCTTTCAGTGAAGGATGTTTGATTGAGTAAATAGAGGGAAGGAGGAAGGGAGAGAGGGAGGATTAGTGACAGTCAACTGTTTAAAGGATGGTCTTTTGTCTATTATATTGATATTAGATCTTGAAATAACCCTTGAAATCTGGCCCACTCTGAAGTAACCAAGAATTAATATTTAATTTTTAAAATTGTGTCCAAATGTATGGCCTTATTAATGTGGAATGAGAATATTTTTTAAAACCATATAACTGCAAAAGTTCATTAAGTCTGAAGGAAACACAAGAGAGGCTCTGAAGTCTGGGAATGTTATATTTCTTCATTAGGATGCTGGTGGTGGCATATTTAGCATTTGAAAGTCCAAGCTGTGCATTTATGAAAAACATCTTTCTGTAGGTATGTTACACTACACTAAAGGTAGTTTAAAAGTGCATCAGTATTTTTCCTGTAACATTCTACCATTTTATTGTAGTAGTTCAAATGTGGCTATAAAAATTGACTTACATTTGCATATTTTAGAAAATTACTTTCTAATGCTGTCACTTGTTAAACTTTTAATCTCATGACTACAGTTTTTGCTGTTTTAAGATTTAGTAGTACAGGAAGTATATTCAAACTGACATTTATTTGACATTTGTTTGCCTTTGGTTTAGTTGTTGATCTTTTTCCTTGACTCATGTTGACTGAGTTTAAACAAGAAAGAACTTTTAATAAGAACAGATCCTGCTCATTGGAAAGAAAACAATACTTAACATTGAGAGATTCAGTAATTCCTTCCTTCTATGAGGAAAATATAACTTATGCCAATTTGGGCTTTTTACAATGGCACAACAGTTGGCCAGGCAGACAGGATCCAGGTGGGAGCAGACAGGGACCAATTCCCAGTTCTAGTTCCAGGAGTTGTTATGGAAAAGGGAAAAGTGAGCTGTATGGAAGAGAAAACAGCCAACAATGGCAAACATGATTATGTAAATTATCTTGCTCTGACAACAAGCCAGTGTGCATTTGAAATTTACAAACAGGACTCAGAGGCCCAGAGGAATTAGGGAACTCGGCTAGATCTACAATCAGTAACAAAACCAGGAATTCACTCAGGATTGTTAGGCTCCCCAGGCCTTTTTCGCTTTGTGTCATCTTAGCTCACACAGGGCTCAGTCCTAATCTGTTTACATGTATGCCTCAGTTCCCTTTCTTCCCAAGTTTTCTGTCTGTATCCCTCATCATTAAACTTGTTCATCACCTGTGGAACCTGGTACATATGTGCTTGGCACATATTGAGAGAAATGGATGATGCATGAAGAAGGGGGGATGGATATGACTAAATGGTTGTTTCTTTTTACTGAGATCAACTACAAATCAGACTACTATCTAAGCAGATTCCCTTTAATATGCTTACACTCATTTACTATGCTTGGCTCAGGGGATGCCTTCACAGAGGGACCTCGGTAAAATCCTATTCTCCCATTAAATCCATGTTTTAGAACATTTTGTTTCAGTTATATAAAAAAAATTTTTTTTAAATCAACGTTAATGAATGTTATGTTTTTTCTTTATAGATCCAACACATGTACCGTTGTGCTAGAGTCCAGGGCCTGGATACCAGTGAGGGGATGCTTCTCTTTGGTAAAGAGCATTTTTATGTGATTGATGGATTTACAATGACAGCAACAAGGGAAATAAGAGACATTGAAACTTTACCTCCAAAGTAAGTAGATGAATACAGAGACATACAGTACAGCTCTCTATAGAAAACAGTATTATTCACATTGTGTTTTTTAATCCAGAAATTGTGTTTCAAATAATGTTACCTCTCAGTTTGTGTGCATCCATGTTAAATATCCACAAGGGTAATAGTTATTTAAAAATAATAAAGAAATAAATGGCTTTATATTTCAAAATGAAAACTAAAATTTTGACTAGGAATTCATAATATCAGACACCAAATTTCTTATAATCTATAGGTTTATAAACTTATTCTGAATTTCCAAGTTGTTCTTTTTAAAAATGTTTAGTACAAGCACAGTTACAGGGAAGATGCAGGCCACTGCCAACCCTCTAGCGGGCTGAGTGTCCATGCCCTGGGTTTCCTGGAAGCGGTGTGACCAAGGCTCAGGCAGCAGTGAGCTGAGTCCTCCCCATCTTCCTTTCTTCTGCCAGTTCTGTGATGGAAGTGATAATGGGTAGCGGAAAACCCAAAGGCAGACAAGTTAGAAGGAAGATGAAAAGCTAGAGGCTTAGAAATTCAACACATTTTTCTCTTCCTTTGCCATTTTTAACACGTAACACTGTTGAATGTAGACTTGATCTCTGCAATTCATTCCTAGGAGATATTTCATATAGTTACTTTCAGCAACAATTAGGGCCACATTATGACTTTTATGGGCCCCTTTCTCCATATAAAAACATTAAAATTTATATGTTAGGATTCTTGGTTTAAAGATGAATATATCCATATTATATCTTAAAACATTTTCTTCTGCCTAAAAGTTTAATTTTGTTCTTCTGGTTTTAAAAGAAATTAAAACATTTTCTTGGCTCCTGAAAGTATTTAGATCTAGGCACTGTGTTTGATGGATAAGTTGGCCCTGATAGCAATAATGGGATTTTAAAATTAACTTCATCAGAAGAGTTTGCTTGTGTGCTGAGTAACTGACAAATTAGTTTCTTAAATATATTTTTAAGTGAATATTCTCCCTTCTATTCATATGTTGAGAATAACAGCTTTTGTTGAACTCTGAATTTATCTCTCACTGTGTTTTTGTTCATCTCTTTTTCCCTTGGCTGCCTATAGTATGCATGAGCCAATTATTCCTAGAGGAGCCAGGCAAGGCCCCAGCCAGCTCAAGAGAACGTGCAGCATTTTTGCGTATGAAGATATCAGGGAGGTACATAAAAGGAGGTATCTTCTGCAGGTGGGTTCACTTAGTAGTACCTAGTGTTTAGTCATGTTCCTTTATTCAGAGGATGTATTATTTTAAAACTGATGCATGCCACAAAAACCCTCTGCAGGCTATGCATTATCCCTAAGAGTATTTTATAGATTATTCCTTAAATTTGGTTACTCGTATGTGACAGACAAACTGATGTCACACGGTGCATAACTCTGTATAATGCATCTTTTTTAAAAATAAAAATACCACCTAAAAACTTAGTGATATCTTGGTCATCCATCCTTATCTGTAGCTATCCAAATCAACATTATAATTGCCTTTTAATATAAAAATTACATCTTCGTTATAATTTTATAAAATTATAACTTTTATTTTACCATTCTATTATGAAATATTTTTTTAAAACGTTGAGAACACATTTGAAACAAAGTGGCTCTGTTTACTTTGTAATTGAATCTGCTGGGAATTTATGACTCAGTGTTCTTGAATGGGTTAACTTTTTCAAATTCGTAGAAATTGATAGTGGAAAAGTTAATATATAACCTTATTTGTGTTTTCTTTATGTCTTTTTTTCTCTGATCATTTCAGCCTATTGCTGTGGAAGTTTTCTCTGGAGATGGACGGAATTACCTCCTTGCTTTTCAGAAAGGAATTAGAAATAAAGTCTATCAAAGGTATTGCTTATTAGGAATACTTGATAATGCTATCATGGGAAGAGATGAAAGGGAAACTACCAGTTTAGCTAGTTTTTAAAAATCTAGAATTTAGTGAGTTAATTTCTTTGAAGAAAATATTTGTCTCATTTTTTGTCAACCTCTATAAAAATGGTTCTTCTAACTAGCTTTTGTAAGGATGCTATTTTATTTTGAAATGCCATTTTTTCTTCTAGCAACTTAAAGTTACTATCCAAAGCTACTTTCATCACTAAGTCCTGCATCTCTAAATGTAAAAGGATGGTGAAGTATAGCTTCAAAAATAATACTTCAGCCCTAACTGGTTTGACTCAGTGACTAGAACCTCGGCCTGCGGACTGAAAGGTCCCGGATTCGATTCCGGTCAAGGGCATGTACCTTGGTTGCGGGCACATCCCCAGTGGGGGGGTGTGCAGGAGGCAGCAGATCGATGTTTCTAACTCTCTGTAAAAAATCCCATCCTCTCCCATCCTCTCTGTAAAAAATCAATAAAATATATTAAATAATAAAAATAATAATAATATTTCAAGTTCCAAATAGACTTTCTTCATATTGAACAGAGAGACCAAGTTTCCTTAGAAATTACACTCATATGAGACTTTCTCTGGCCTTGGAAGGGACGTTGGATATCTTCACCATTGGAAAAGTAGTACAAATAAAGCACTTACTATTATATAACCCTATTTTATTTTGGATAAAAATATATTTCAAATTTACTTTACAAGCTTCACAGTACATATTCATGGCATTTGAAGATATTTCTGTTGGATGTATGAATAATAAGGCTTTATGCACTGATCATAGGTAGGAGAGACCTTCTCTTACCCTTTGAAGGGTGGTGTAGATCCTGCAGGCCTTCTAGGAAAAGAAGTTTTCTGTTTCAAGTCATTCCATGAGGAACAACGATTGCCAAGCAGCATTGCTAATCGCTGCGGTACAGTAACATTAGTTAGCAGTGAGCATGAGGGTGGGTCTTCAGGTGCAGTGGTTGTGAGTATTGATTGGCAAATCAGAACCTCCTTCACGTATGGGAAGAGCTAAGTAAAGTGACTGAAATTTCAGTTACCTACCTTGTTAATCTCTAAGAGTGCTATTATTTTCAGCACCAGGAAATTATTTTCTCTTCATAACTGGAAACCATTGCAAGGAGATGAGTTTTTATTTCTGTGAGACATTTCTATATCTGTGCTACATTCAAGGTCTATATTCATTCCAAGAATTTCTACACAATTCTCTTTGCCTTTAAAAAATGTGTGTTGACATTATAAGCAACTCTGACAAAAATTATAAGATGATCACATAAAGTTCCTTACCTTGTGTGGGTCTTCATTTATGTAGTGATGTGTCTGTTCTATCGTTTTAGTTGTCAGGATTACTTGCTGTCATGTGCATAGTTAGCTGTTAATCACTCTCTAGGACTTCATTAAGTTGGCTCAATTCCTGTGAATCCATGCTGCAAGGCCTTTGCTTTCTGCAACATGATAGCATATGTAAAAGGCCAAACGATTGATGTTGCTGTGGGCTTTTATTATTTGGCTGCAGAAGCGACCACCTTATTCTAACAGAGTGTTCTAACTATTATGTGTTCCCGCTGCCTGCCATTTGTTGGGGAGTGGAGGGGTAAATGAAACAAGATATAAATGAATCATCCATTCTTTCTCAGGCTCTCATTAGACCCTGACTGAAACTTCACTTTCACTTTTATGCTATTTTTAAATTTTCCAGGTTTTTGGCTGTAGTTCCATCTCTAACTGACAGTTCCGAGTCTGTGTCTGGGCAAAGACCAAACACAAGTGTGGAGCAAGGGTATGTGTTTGCTTCTTGCATTATAATTTAATAGTGAAATTATGATGTTTGTAACTGGACAGCATTATTTAATATTTCAGATGAGTGTTTTCTCTTCCTGATGTTGCACAAAATTGTTTGATTACTGAAAACTAGAAGGAAAAAAGAAAATGGTGCATGACCACTCAGGTCAAATCAGTGCTCCCATTTTAATCAGTTTTCTTGGAGTCTTTTAAGCATGCATATATTCCTATATGCATAATTAAGTTCATACTATACATATTTCTATTTTGCTTCTTCCATTCAGTGTTATATATAATGGTTTCCCCTGCTTTAAAAAAAATTCTTCAGAAACATTACTTTTATTTGCTACCTATTCAACTTATATGTAAAACATTATTTTATTTGTGCATATTTCATTTTTATCATGTTCCCCTCTAATGATAATGCAAATGTGATTCCTGATTATTTTTTTAGGGTAAAGTCTTCTCAGTAAAATAAGGGGAATGAATTTGAAGGCATTTAATACACAAACCAACTTAATTTCCATAAAAATATTCACATTTGTATTCCATCATTTGTAGATAAGTTTAATTGTCTACATAAGATGCTTCTCAACTCTTTATATTTTTTAAATTTTTTACCGATTTTATAAAGTGTTTTTTTTTTCATATTTTAAATGAACATGCCTCTTATTATTAGTGCTAACGATAGAACTCAGTAAATGTTTGTTAGCCACTTAAAATCATCATTTGGGGATTATCTATAACTTTTGCCCATTTTTTCTTCTGAGGTGGTTGTTGGTGGTGGTTTGATATTTTTCTTTAAATTGAAATATAATTGACATATAACATATTATTTTCAGAGGTACAATATAATGATTTGATATTTATATATAATGTGAAATGATCATCATAGTAGTTTAAACAATTAACCTCTCCTCTCTAGTTCTTATCAATTTGTATGGGGTTTTTCAATAATAATAAATTATTACTCCTATGCTTGTCATATTTTTCACAAATAGCCCAGGTTTCCTCTTGGTTTTGTTTTTTCACATTTAAAATAAAACTTTTGTTTTTATAAGTTCACACCTACCAGTGCTTCCTTGTGCTCTTTCAGCTGCTTTTACTCTTAGAAGTCCTTCTGGATGATGTAGATACTTTAAGAATCCACACAGCCAGCTCCATTCACAGTCACTGAGAACTGTGGTCCTTTATAATCCACTGGAAGAGAAGCAGGACTATAAATTAATTATTACAACCTGCAAAAAAAATGACTTAAAACTACTGGAGATTATGTAATTTGTAAATAAAATTTGAATCCAGTATGTGTATATCTAAATATATTAAATTCATGTATTTCTCTTTAGGCTGCTGCTTCTATTTTTCTTTAGCCGAGATTTAGCAAATACAAATGCTAACTACATGCTTTTATTAGCCTCAGAAGCATGTTTTGCTCCTAATCACGTATGTTGTTAATATAAAAAAAGGTAGTGAAAGGTAGTGAGAGCACATCCAGCCTTTTTCTACTTATAATCAAATTGCTAGTATTTTCATCTGCCCTGATCATCTTCAACTTCCTATTTTCATTGTTCTTGCTACTTTTTGTGCTGAGTTGGCAGTTCTTAAAGAACTTCTAAAAGCTCAAATGCAAGAAGCAGATATTCATTTCCAACTTTAATCTTCTTTCCAATTGTTCCCTTCTTATAAGGTTGAGGGGTGATCATAGCTCTTTTTTCCAGGGAGAGCATCCTATACATTCAGTTTTCCTATTGGAAAGAAGAATTTATCTGTAAGTGGAAAGTGGTATCTATGCCATTGAGCTGAATCTATTAATTTCATAATTAATAAAATGCAATAAAATATGTAGTTAAGTGTTTGCTTACTGGTTTGACAGCCACTTTGCAATCTTCAAAATATAATTATCAGCCGAAACCAGCTTAGCTCAGTGGATAGAGCATTGGCCTGTGGACTGAAAGGTCCCAAGTTTGATTCTGGTCAAGGGCATGTACCTTGGTTGCAGGCACATCCCCAGTAGAGGGTGTGCAAGAGGCAGCTGATCAATGTTTCTCATTGATGTTTCTAACTTTCTATCCCTCTCTCTTCCTCCCTGTAAAAACTCAATATAATCAAATTGCTAGTATTTTCATCTGCCCTGAATAAAATATATTAAAATATGTATATAATTACCAATGTTATAAAGTTGGTAAACCTAAAGAAGGATTTTAGCCCAGCCTGTGTGGCTCCTTGGTTGAGCATCAACCTATGAACCAGGAGGTCACAGTTCGATTCCTGGTCAAAGCACATGCCCAGTTGCCCCCAAGCTCAATTCCCAGCCGGGAGGAGAGGGGGTCAGTGATTCTCTATCATTACTGATGTTTCTGTCTTCTCTCTCCCTTTCCCTTACTCTGAAATCAATAAAAATATTTTTTTTAATTAATAATTTATTTATTTTACATATTTTACGTGGGAGGGAAGGAGGGGGGCAAAAAAAAAAAATATTTTTTAAATAAGGATTTTACAGCATTCTAGAAAAGGCTGCTATCAAAAAATGTCCACAATTTTAAATAACCTAACAGCAATGACTTTCCTGTCAAAATAATTTATATTCTCATTCACTTTCAACATCTCTTTTAGAAAATATGCTGTGTATCTACTGTGTACAAAATATTATATATTAATTGTTATTCCAACATAATGTCTTTAAATCTTTTTCCGTAATGATTAGTGGGAAAGGCAGAAGGTTGTACTAGATAATAGTTTTTAAAACTGTTTTGCTGTAACCCACAGTAAAATATATATTCTACATTGTATCCCACAACATACAAACTGAGATAGCTAAGATTGAATTCACTTATACTTTCATTACTATATGTGATGCCTTCCAATATTCTGTGTTCTTCCGTTCACTTCCATGTTACTTCATATTTAAGAAGATGAAATTGATTTTATGACCCACTAATAGGTCCTCCGAAGTCTAAAAAATTCCTGGACCAGGTGACTTAAAATTGTCAACTCTAAATTAGTCATTTAAAATTCTTCTGTCTACAATGTAATTATTTATTGTTTTCAGGTCTGGGTTGCTTAGTACTTTGGTTGGAGAGAAGTCTGTCACTCAGAGATGGGAGGTAAGTTCAATGAAAATGGAAGCTTCCTTTGTAATTTATAGTTAGACTAGAGGCCCAGTGCACAAAGATTTGTGCAAGTATGGGCCTTCCTTACCCTGGCTGCCAGCACCGCCTTCGCTGTGGCTGGGGTGGAGCAAAATGCCACTTGGTGTCTGCATATGCAAATTAACCCACCATGTTTGTTGGGTTAATTTGCATACACACTCCTGATTGACTGGTGGTCATTGTGAAGGTACGGTCAATTTGCGTATTACTCTTTTACTAGTATAGATGGTGCAAGTCATACAGTTAAAAAGGCACTTTAATAACCCATAAAAAATATGTACCATAGATAAAATGTCTTGTTTTTGTTCTTTTTAGAAAAAGTTTTGATGTTCTGAAATCTGTATGAAAGAAATTGTTCATTACATTTTAAAATTGTCATTTTGCATATACATTTTAAAAAGTGAACATAAAGGTTGTAATCGATTGCTCTAAAATGAACCCTTATCTCTGTTTCCCAAGAGAGGTGAAATCAGCAACTTCCAGTATTTGATGCACTTGAACACTTTGGCCGGCAGATCGTACAATGACCTCATGCAATATCCTGTGTTTCCTTGGATCCTTGCAGATTACGACTCAGAGGTAAATCTCGAGTCATTTGGTATAAGTGGAACTCATTTTCAAAAGTAATTAAGAGATACTGCATTGGCTTAGATGTTTTATAGTTTAAAGTTCTCAGCAGGCACTTATTCCAAGAAGATGAGAAGAGCTTTAGATTGGACTTGTACAGAATGTGGATAATTGACCAAATTCTTGGGTATTAATTCATAACCTCTATTTGGTTTCCATAAGTGGTGATTAATTTGTATCCACTGATGGATGTCTCTCTGCTCTCTGCACTGTGGTCAGTGTCAGAAACACAAATCTACTTGAGTCATCCCTCTTTAAAATGATTCAGTGAATCATTATCACGATTTGGAGAGAATTTAAAAGCCTCAGTACTGTGCCCTTTACAAAGTAGCTCCTAGGAATCTGTCCTATGTGTGCTCCCAGGTTTGCTATTTGGGCCACCTGTCCATCTCCTTGACATCTTTCAGTTGCTCTGCATGTGCTACACTCCTAGTGTGGCATTCTCCCAGTGCTCATGCACACCTTCTCTCTCATTACACATTCACCTGACTAGCTCCATTCCACCCTGCAGGACACACGCGGGTATCACTGTCCTGAGGCTGTGTCATGTTATCATCATGATTTGTGTTTGACCCTACCTGATTGTGAGGTCCTTGAGCGCAAAGACTATTTTATGTGTCTCTCAATTCCCAACCTGTACAGTAATGCCTGGCACTTAGCATACACTTTAATTGTTGTTGAATTAACCAAAAAAATATTAATGAGGTATTTTGCATATAAATTTTGAGGGGACAAATGTACTAATTTGACTTATATTTATAAATGTGTATCAATTTCTCCTGCCCAAGACTTTTAAAGTACAAGTTGGCAAAATTGATTGGTTATAATGCCCTATTAAAAGAATACAAATTAAATATCCCACAGGAGCATATTTCAAATTTCTATTTTTAAAACCTTCAGGAGGTAAATTCAGATTTCCTTTCAAATATATGAGTTAGGTTAACTAGAGATGATCTTTTAAAAATACTCTGTGCCAGACTGAAAGATTCCGTCTCGGTGACAGTCACTTGGCCTAGTCTAATGCCTTTTAGAGGAGAATGAATTTCCGAGTGTTCTATTTTATGTCACTTCCCAATCGCCTCTATGAAGGAAATGCTCTGAAGTAAGGTCAGCGTGAAACAGGGGAGATGGGGAAGAGAACAGAGAGGGGATTTGATCCTCTAGGAATGTGGGTGATGGAGGATAAAGATGAATTGAAGCTTTTGTGTCCACAGTCTTCTGCTGTGTCCTTGCCAAAACTGGAAAGGATTATCCTCCTCCTTCCTCTTCATCTCCAGATATGGATCCTGAGTACCCTTCTCTGTCAACACTTAATTTCCAAAGCAGTTGTCTTCAAACCGAGCCACTTAACAAACTGTCTTGTGCCCCTCTATAAAGTGTGAATGACCAGCAGCTGCATGGAGTCCAGTTCTTCCATGAGACCCAAAAAATATTAGCACGTTTTTACAAATCACCATTGTCAACTGTAGCCACCATATCTGCATCCGTGGGCATAGAGGGTGTTTGGCAATGTGGAACTAGGTTTATTTTGTATTTTAGGAGGTCGATCTTACTAATCCCAAGACATTTAGAAACCTGGCGAAGCCAATGGGAGCACAGACAGATGAACGATTAGCTCAATATAAGAAGCGATATAAAGACTGGGAAGACCCTAATGGTAAGTAACTTTTCTTGTCATTAAACTTTTACCTAATTTCAAAAGTAAGCCATTAATTTAGTGGTCTGACCTCTTTGCATCTTTCCGCCAGTTGCTTATATGTCATTATCTCTGTCTGTTACATATGCACACATCTATACAACTATCAGAGTACAAAATCTGGTTTTGCATGCCAACTGATGGCCATGCATAGAAGGGATTCTTTTAGGTGGCCTGTCAGGTACTGGCAGAAAACTAAGTAAGGTATGCTGTTTGGCACAGGGCAGAAATTTCCCATCATAATATTCCTTTACCTTGACTCATATGTAGGTCCGGAATTACTCTTTCATTTATTGACTCATTTTTAGAACCCTTTTGCATTTAAAAAATAAAAATTGACTACCTTATGAAACACGTCAGTTTACTTATTTATTATTATGTTTAATGTTTATTATGTATTCCCTGAAAATACGCAAAACAAAAGGGGGGGTTCTAAGCCTAACAGTATTCCCTATGTGAACTCTTATTTTTCCATTGATTTTTAGAAAGAGTGAAAGGGAGGGAGATAGAGAAACATTGATGTGAGAGAGACACATTGGTTGGTTGCTTCCCACACAGCCTTGACCACAGCCAGGGATCGAACCTGCAACCCAGGTACATGCCCTTGACTGGGAATTGAACCCACGACCCTTCGGTGCATGGGCTGACACTCTAGCCACTGAGCAAACCTGCCAGGGCTGGACTCTTTTCCCCCCTGCCAATAAGAATAGTAAAAATTGCATAATATTCATAAACAATTTAGGGAAATATGATGGTGCAGATACTTTAACTAATGAAAAGTATCTGCAAGTCAATAAATACCCTGCTTTAGTGGAGATGTTTTGCTCTTCATTGTTATCCATTACAATTAGCCTCAAATCAGGAATTACTAAGTTTGAATGGAAAGGCATCAGATAATACTGACATTTTATTACTGCCCAAAATGTAAATGAGGGGAGCATTGTCACCACAGTTTTCATGCTACAAACGCCAGCACTAGCTGTATTTAGTATCATCAGCATTTTTAAGCCTATTAATAGCAGTTTTATTTTTTACGTTTACTCTTTTGTTTTCAATTTTGCTGTAATTTTTTGAGCAGGAGAAACTCCAGCCTATCACTATGGGACCCACTATTCATCTGCCATGATTGTGGCTTCATATCTAGTGAGGATGGAGCCTTTCACACAGATATTCTTACGGCTGCAGGTAAAACTCTAAATTCAGTATTGTCCCATTCTGCACAGGCCTTCTTTCTATTGAAAATTGTTGCTTTAAAAAAAAAAATACTATTATCTTGCCTTATAAGAGGAACCCATAATCAAAACGTAATTAAAGTGAAATTTTGCTATATCAAAATTGATGAATAAACTAGAAGTTGTTTATAATAAACAAGTGCCAAGGTCCTTTAGTCAAATAAGCAAGTAGCATATGCTTTCTGGCCAGGCATATGGAATTCAGCTTTAACTGGTTAAATTCAACAAACATTTAAAAAAAAAAAAAAAAAAAGTAATTAGTCTATCTCATTTGCTTTTTTTTAAATTATAACTGTATTTCTCCATATTCTCTTTCATTCATTCAGACAGTATTCTGCTGCTTGCAGTACTTTAATGAATAAAGGCAAAAGCCTTGCCATGTGGAGCTTATATACCATTTTGGTTGAGGGAGCCAGTCAAACAAAATGAATGTATTGTAAAGTGTCTTAGAATGTGATAAATGCTGTCAGAAAAATAAAGATCAGGGAAAGGAGAATGGAGGCAGGGGAGGTGTTAAGGCAGATTTTTTAAAAATATATTTTTATTGATTTCAGAGAGGAAGGGAGGGGGAGAGAAATAGAATCATCAGTGATGAGAGAGAATCATTGATCTGCTGCCCCCTGCATGCCCCACGCTGGGGATTGAGCCTGCAACCTGGGTATGTGCCCTGACCAGGAATTGAACCATGACCTCCTGGTTTATAGGCTGATGTTCAATCACTGTTCCATATTGGCCGGGCACAATGCAGTTTTAAGGAAGGATCAGAGTGAGTCTTCTTTAAAAGGTAACATATGAACAAAAACTCTGAGGAAAGGAGTTAATCATTCCAGTGCCTGGTGAAAGTGTGTTTTAGGCAAAGGGCACAGCCCAGGCAAGGCCCTAAGTCAAGTGTATGCTTGAGATGCTTCAGGAACAGCAAGGAGACCAATGTGTCTGGGGAGTCCTAGAGGCCAGATTAGGGAAGCCCTTGATGGCCACAGTGAATTTCATCATGGAGACTGTTCCTCTGTGTTCACTTAAAACATAGCATAAAGAGCTTGATTGAGGAAGGGGGTGGTGGACAAAAGAAATCCCATTTCTATTTGAATTTATTTTATCAACCTATATATTTTTTATCACCTTCCTAGTTCTCCACTTAGTTCTCCTTGGGGTGAGAACTTCAGTATAATATTATTTGTGAATTTAGTCAAGCACATATATACCTGGAGCATCTCCATCTGTAAATGACTACAGTCTTTAAGAGAGCATCATCAAAGTAAGGAAGAATTGATATTCCCTATTGTCTTGCCTCGCTATAAAAACTAGTGTTTTTTTAAATGGCTTTTTAAAGTCTTTACATTTGAGTTTTACTGATTACAAAACATATACATTGAACACCCTTTGTAAAGAATACCCCAGAAATAATTAATTAGATTAATTTGGGGGGTGATCATTTAAAATGTAGTGTATTTGACATAAGATGATGGGAAATGGGAAGGTCACCAAACTTCTACTTAGGGTTTTCAAGCCCTTGAGCCTGACCGAAGCTGGGAGGTGGGAATGCTTCTCTAATAGGGTGGTGCCTTCTCGTTCTGCCCGCAGGGAGGCCACTTTGACCTGGCTGACCGGATGTTCCACAGTGTGCGGGAGGCCTGGTATTCAGCATCCAAGCACAACATGGCAGACGTAAAAGAGCTGATCCCAGAGTTTTTTTACTTACCAGAATTCCTGTTCAATTCCAACAACTTTGATCTGGGTACGTAGAGTGGTGGCACGGTCTCAGAAATGTCATCCAGGAAGACATTGGTAGAAATAAGTCACTTTTCTAAAGATTGCAGTACCCACTGAGGAGATGGCCTTGTGGTTTCCAATACCACTGTTTACTATAATTGGGTGTCTGCAATTAAGAGAAAAAGAAAAATGGCTGCTTCAAGCCCAGAGTATGGGAAACGTTTATAAATTGACCCAGATTATATCTACTGGTCAGAACATTGTTATGTCAATGAAAATGAACATGAGATAAAAATTTATTTGAAAATTATCACAATTGAAACCCATTAATAGCCAAGAGTGGCATATCCAAATTTTCATGTATTGTTTTAATCTTATGTATTGCTTGAGGCATTCTTAGCTTACATGCAATATATTTTAAAACTAGAATTTCATAATAACTGTAAGTAAATTCCTTTTCTTATCCTGCTAGGGTTTCTAGAAAAACAGAACCAAATCAACATTTATAAAAAGGAGAGAAATTTCATCAGTTCTCTGCTCCCAGTGTGTTATCTAGCAGCTACAGGAAATTGATTTGACTTTGGTTACAGTTTCTTGGAACACAGTTTGCTGATCTATGTTTTTGGTTATTTCTTTTAAAACATATAATAATTCCATTGTTTCCACTGTAAGATATTTCTGCCAGATATTATTCTGTTTTGTTTTTTAAACCTTGTACTTTATGCTGTATTTAAGAGTTCAACATATAAATCATTACTATACTACCTCAAAATGTTTCATTAACAGAAAATTTAGAAAACTATTCATATCTAATTATTTGAGTGATTTTTTTTAAAGACAATTTTAACTTAATTTATCCATCAGCAGTCCTAACTTTATAAAATTACAGCTCCAGGTCCACTAGAAAGGATAATAAGGTTCTTTGAGTAGCCCCAGCAGAAGTCCTGAAGTTGAGTCTCATTACTTCTGATCCTCACCCAAGAGTAATTAAAGATACCAAGTTCTAGGACTCGGAGTTGGAGTGATGGTTACTGAAGGAATAGAACGGATAATAAATAAGGAAAAACAGCTGATACGTACACAGCATTTGCATATGGCTACACATTAGTGTTATATAAGGTTTACTTAGTTCTCCTTTAGAGAAGAACTCTCTTCCCCAAGGACATCACTTTCCAAGACACAAATATGGAAAGGTAAAGAAAGAGATACCCTCGATCTTTCAGAAACACTGGGTTCATTATAATAGTCAGTGTTGCAAAAATGTTTTAGCCAGACTACTTACAAACCCAGCCAAATTATCCACTTTCACATGAGTAATAAAAAAAAAGGACTGTGTGTCTCTGTCACACTCACCTTCATAAAAAACCATCTTTCTTCCATGAAATCACAGACTATATAAAACACTATTTGCTTGTAAGACCTAAAGCCATAAAACTGTAAGAGAAAAGCATAGGATTAAATCTTCACGATTTTGTATTAAGCAATGGATTCTTAGATAGAATATCAAAAGCACAAGTAACAACAACAAAAGAGAATTGAAATTGATCAAAATTTTAAACTTTCTGCATTGGAAGACATTATGCAGACAGTGAAAAGAAAACCTTCATAAAAGAAACCCTTGTGTCTTATAAGGGCCTATTGTCCAAAATATGGAAAACTTACTGTTCGACAACAAAAAGATGAGCAATTTAACTTAAAAATAGGCAAAAGGACCTGAATAGAAGTTAGCCAAATGCCCAATAAGCACATGAAAGATGTTCAGTATCAGTAGTCCCTAGGGAAATGCAAATCAAAACCATAGTGAGGTGCCACCGTACATCTAAATATGGCTTATAAAGTAAAAAGAACAAAAATGTGCACTCACAGAAAACATCAAGGACTGTGGAGAAATTAGAACCTTGTTCGTTGCTTATGGGAATGTAAAATAGTTCAGCTTCTGTGGAAAGCAGTGCGGAAGTTGCTCAAAAAGTTAAACATAGATATCATATGACCCAGCAATTCCACTCCTGGATATATGTCCCAGAGAACTGGAAAAGGGCATCAAGTGCATGTACACTCATGTTCAAAGAGGCACTGTCTATAGTATCCAAATGGTAGAAGCAGCCCACGTGTCTATCAGTGAACAAATTGTGGAATCTATGTATAGAAGTTTAAGCAACCATTGGAATGTCTGACAGGTAATTATGATGCACAATGACCACCAGGGGGAAGACACTCATCACAGGAGCTGCTGAGCTGCTGCGATGACTTGGCAGCTTTGTTTCTCAGGTAATGCACCTGGAACCAGAGAGGCGGGAGCCTGGTTCCAGGTGCGTCACCCGAGAACTGCCCTCTGGAAATCCGGGACCCCGCCGGGGATGCCGGAGAGCCAGTTTGGCCCAATCCCCACAGGCCAGGCCAAGGGACCCCACCGATGCTCAAATCCGTGCCCCGGGCCTCTGGTATACATATAATAGGATATTATTCAGTCATAAAGTATGACGTATCAATAAATGCAACATGGATGAATCTCAGAACATTAGGCTAAGTGAGAGAAGCTAGATATAGAAGGTCACAAAATGCTTGATTCCATATATGTGGAATATCCTGAGGAGGTGGTTTCCAGGGACAGGAGGTGGTTTTCCAGGGTGAGAAAAACGGGAGCAACTGCTTAATGGGCACAAAGTTTCTTTTTGGGGTGATGAAAATCTTTTGGGACTAGAGAGGTTACGATTGCACAACATTGTAAACATACTAAATACCACTGAGTTGTTCACCTTAAAATAGTTAATTTTATGCTATGTGAATTTCACTTCCATAAAAAGAAAGCAATAGAATACAGTTTACTCTTTGCCCAGAAAAGATGGTAAATGGTTTAAAAGCAAAAACACTGGAGTTTTTCCCTACTTCTGCAATGAGTGACACGCACCCCTGGTCTTCTTGTCCTCACACCCTGGGAGTACTTGGAGGGGCGCTTCAGAGGCAGGATTAGATACACGGAGCATTTTCTTTACTAGTAGACTTATTTCCTTTAAGTATGTTTTAAAACTGCAGATAGTGCTGATTAAGTAACATTACATAACATAATTATTTAGGGATTATGAGAAAAAAAATTAAAAAGCAGATTATACTTGAAATAGCCTGAGAATTGTTACTTTTTATTATTAAAAAATTAGGCTTGGAGGGTGTGAAAGGGGGGGTTGTAATAAGTTGATTCTTATATTTTTTTCTTAAGTCTTATGGCAGTTAGTCAAGACATTCTTTTAAACAATAAACTGATTTGTGTATCTTTCACTTAATATCACATTGTAAACAAGCCCATCCAATAACAATGATGAAAACAAGATTGCTTCTAAGGAAAATGTTTTTGTTGGCCACTACTTGGAACTGTCTTTGTGTTCTAAAATTTGAACAATTGACTTTCTCTGTGAAAATTTCTAATGCAGCTATTTAACCAACTGCTGTGAAGCTAGTGAGCAACATTTTTGTTTATCGAGTCATTTTTTATAATGATCATCTGATTTGTACCTAGCAAAACTCTAAGCTCAAGTTAACTTTTTGGTGTTATTTTTAAAAAGGAAAAAAAAAAAAGAACCTGTTTCCTTAGATACCAGTTTCATTTAATGTATTTTGTTGTGGATAGATTTCATAGTAAATGATTTCTTTAATACCTTAGAGATTATCTGACTATCACTTAAATTAACAGAATGCATTATTTTAACAATACATTAAAATACAAGAACATGTGGAATAAGTATCACTAGGTGTGCATTATCACAACATGATGCTTCTGTTTCTGCCAGGTCACTGGTAATCTTTCCAAATGTGGGTTTTGTTTCTTGGTATTTTTGTTTTTTCTGTTAAATGATACACTAACCGCAAAAGGTTGCGTTTCAGATTTTATTTCTTTAATAAGAATCTTTATAGTAAAATACATATCAGGTCTTTAGAGCTCTCTGAAGAAGTAATGAATCAGAAATATGAGAAGCCCCATGTATTCCAAATATCTCAAGGAGACAGTGGCACTTTCATTTCCTCTTCCTCTTCCTCCTTTTCCTCCTCTTCTTTCTCTTCCTCCTCCTCCTCCTCTTCCTCCTCTGCCCCCCCCCAAAGAGATTTTTCCATTGATTTTTAGAGAGACATAAAATAAAGGGAAAGACAGAGAAAAACATCGATGTGAAAGAAACACATGGATTGGTTGCCTCCTGCCTGCTCCCCGACCAGAGCCCAGGCTAGAGAGGATCCTGCAACTCATTTCTTCTTAAGCGAAGAGCAGAATGAAAGTATCGATAACTGAGGAGTTGGGAGTTCTTTCAATAGTCGTCATGCGAATGGCAAAATTTTGTCAGAGCATTAAGATAAGAATTTCAGTACTAGCTAACTACTGATAACTCACTAAGCATGAAGCATTCTGGAAAAGCCTAAAAAAGGCAGAGTTTAGAGCAGCAGTAGCCAACCTTTCAGACCTCACAGAACAGTGGTCCATGGACCACTAGTTGGCAACCGCTTGTTTAGAGAAATGTTAATGGTCTTCCAAATGAACCATCCATCCTAAGGGGATTAAATTTGAGGGGTTTTTCCGAACTCAAAACAGTAGCCCCATAAAATGTTTCATTAAGGACTCTTGTGGTCAGTTAAGTTTCAGACATGTTGTAATATCCCTCCTAGAGAAATGCCATGTGTCTGAGGAGTCCTGCAGAAAAGAAACACCCAACTTTGCATAGCTCAGCATTTCCTGAAGTCACTTGACTGTGAGCACCCCTCCGTTTTGCTAACACTTACCAAACCTCTCTGAGGAAGTACACTAAGGATCAGACTTAAGAAAATAGCAGAGTAGATGATCTCTGAGGGTCCTGGTGCTAAGATTTCATGGTTCTGATAATGAATCTAAACCCCCTGTTTCTCTGGTATGTTAACCTGAAGTTATTATTTATCATAGTTTTCTCATTTTTATTTTAATGTATCCCACTGCACAGGCTGTAAACAAAATGGCACCAAGCTTGGAGATGTTATCCTCCCACCCTGGGCCAAAGGGGACCCCCGAGAATTCATCAGAGTCCACCGAGAGGTAATGGGGGTGCACTTGGCAGTTGAACTTGGATCTCACTGGGTCATTGGCCACAGTATGAAGAGAGGACCTTGAGCAATGTATCACCCATTTGATCAAGTTACTAAGATTGTTTTTATAATTTTTAGTTATTTTAATTCCTATTGCTCACTGGCCAATTTTTTTTTCTCCTTTCTGAGCAATTAATAAATGTCAGCCGGTGACTGAACCTTTGCTTTGAATTACAGGCTTTGGAATGTGATTATGTGAGTGCCCATCTGCATGAATGGATTGACTTAATCTTTGGCTACAAACAGCAAGGCCCTGCCGCAGTAGAAGCTGTAAATGTCTTCCACCATCTGTTTTATGAGGGTCAAGTGGATATCTACAACATAAACGACCCACTGAAAGAGACAGCCACAATAGGGTTCATCAACAACTTCGGTCAGATTCCTAAACAGGTATGGATGGTTTATCATCCGTGTTCTCAGGTTCAGTTTTAAAGGGCTGTAACATTTCTTTAGATGATCAATGACCATAGACTAAAGTTTTCAATAAAGGACCATAAATATCACCCAGTAGGTTCCAAAAGTATTGCTTTCTCCTCCCTTTTACATACAAATAAATAGAAATGTTGTTGTTCATAGAGAGTTTTCCTCGCAGGCCAGTGCAGAGTGTGCTTTCCTGTACCTGCACATGACCTGGCAAGAAGTCAGGAGAGCCTGGTCAGGATAGCAGGTGGGATCTGGGGCACAGTATACGCAGAGAGGGGGTTGTGTCCGGAGGCCAGTGATGAGCCAGTGCTGAGTCTAAGTAGAGACATAACATGGTCATATCTAGATTTTAAGGATCATTCTAGATTTTAAGGTCATATCTAGATTTAAAGGCCGCAGTCATGGACACATGTGTGCGTACACACATACACACACACACACACACATTGTAGCAGAGCCAAATTAGGAGCAGAGGGCCACCTATGGAGCTCTTGTAGTATATAATAAGTAGTTCAGGAATAGGTAGTATGAATTAAAGGAGTATGATAAGTGATGTGATACTACCTGCCATGGGAGTGCCTGGGGCCCAACCTGCACCAACTGCTCTAATCCCCTCAGTAAGGAGCAAAACTCCTTAAGAGACTCCCTCCCTTATTTCCTCCCCATTGTCCAGGACACACCTGGAGGGCAGGTGCACCAGCAATTACCAGCACTGGGCCGGTCAGACCATCCATTTTCCCCAAGTGCCCACACTTTGACCTCAACTATCCTTCTCTGTTCCCGCTTCCGCTATCTCCTGGACTCCCTTTTTGTAGGTTAACCAACCTGGTGGTCCCCAGGGCTGACAGCTGGGAACACAGAACAATGGCTTGTCTTTGTACACGGACAAGCTGTGAGGAGCAGAGAGCAGGACAGCCTCTAACCACTCGTCCTGGCGCACTCTGATCCCGCAGTGAAGGGACCAAGCTTACTATAGAGTGAAACGCTTGTTGATAAAACACTAATCACAGCTGAAGACTCTTAGCTAAGCCATTTTTTTTTCTTTTTCTGCAGAGGGTTTTAACCACAGAAACAATGCTTCATACCCTCTGGGAAAAAATATTCTGAACAAAATTAATTAAGATAGTTCTTGCTGATGAGGCTCAGTTAATTGAGTGTCGTCCCAAGTACTCAGGGGTCCACAGGAAGGGCACATGCCCAGGTTTCAGGCTCAATCCCCAATAGAGGGTGTGCAGGAGGTAGCCCATCAATGATTTTCTCTCTCTCCCTCTAAAATTAATAAAAACATTTTTAAAAAATAAGATACATAAAATGTAGTGTAAATATTTCTCTCTTTTCCATGTCCAGCGCGGCTAGAGAGAGGTCCAGTTTCTGAGTAGGGGCATCTGAAATGAAAGAAAGAAAGAGACAGACACAGAGATAAAAAAGACACAGAGAAAAATGAAAGAAAGAGACAGACACAGAGATAGACGGAAAAGGCTGGGGCCAGGTGGGACAGCTGTCCTCTGATGGAGAGACAGTTTTCCAGAGCTGATAACTGTGTTTATTTTATACAGCAAAATACCAGGAAGTTTTACTAAAGCCCTAGACAAAGGAGATTATATGCATTCTTGTAGCTTCTTTGTAATTGTCATTTCTGGGTGGTCCCAAATAATCGTGTTTGTTGCTGGTGCTTGGCTAGATTTAGATAATGAAACCCATGTCCTGGCACCTGAGCTGAAGGTCAGGCTGACAACACACCTGCCGCTGACAAGGTATGTTTCCAGAGCGTGGCTCTGCAGGTCACCACTGGACTTAGCTGACCATCAGCTCAGGGGTCTTTCCCAGGCGCTCTCTACAATATAGCGTATTTCTTCTACTTTTGAGTATAAGAGGTAAGCAGTCTAGAAGATAGAGTCCAGATAATAATGTATTTCTAGGATATTCTAGTGATGGATATAGAGTACTATCAAGTGTAGCAGTCCTAAAGAAATCTAAACTTCCTGGTCATCGTATCCATGTCTCTTTCTATACCCTTGCCTGATGCTGTCCTGAGATCTTCATATAAAAGTTCTTAGTAAATGTTCATTCATAAACATGCTTCCAAGTATGTGGGTCTTTTTATACAATTTCAGAGGCTTGGGTCATTATTAATTTCTGTCTACACTTATAAAAGAGAAACATGCAAATTAACCATCATTCCGCTACACCCCACAAGCCATGCCCATAAGCCAATCAGGAGTGAGTATGCAAATTAACCCAACTAAGATGGTGGCCAGCGATGGAGGATGCCAAGCTTCCCACCCACCCTGGCTAGCCCTGGCCTCTGCTCAAGGCTACAAAGTTTTAATTATAGAAGATAAATAAATCCTAGGTACTTGCTTCCAGCTGGCCCTAGCCTCCGCTCAGGCAGGTGGTGAAAAAAAAAAAAAAAGAAGGGGCTGGGACCTTGGGTCACCGGGATGTGATCAGGCCAGGATGGGATGGCAGGGGCCATTGGGGGTAAGCAGCCCAGCAGGGGGGCCAGTTGGGGGTGAGCAGGCCATCAGTGGGGGTCAGTTGGAGGTCAGGACAGCCAAAGGGGTAGGACAGCTTGGAGTGAGCAGACCAGTGGGGAGGAGAGATAGGCTAACAAGCGGAGTGGTTAGGGGCAGTCAGGCAGGCAGGCAGGTGAGTGGCTAGAGCCAGCAGTCCCAGATTGTGAGAGGGATGTCTGACTCCTGGTTCAGGCCTGATCCCTGTAAATTGGCAGTAGGACATCCTTCGAGGGGTCCCAGATTGGAGAGGGTACAGGCCAGGCTGAGAACCGCTAGCAGGGTCACCTAAGACCATCGGAAAACACAGATATTTACATTACAATTCATAACAGTAGCAAAATTACAGTTATGAAGTAGCAACGAAAATAATTTTATGGTTGGGGGTCATCACAACATGAGGAACTGTATTAAAGGGTCACGGCATTAGAAAGGTTGAGAACCACTGCACTAAGTTTTCCCTAATATCTTCCTCAGATAGCAGTTTTCTGATGGAAAGAGCTCAATGCTTATTTTGAAAATGAACACTATTTGAAAAATAGTCATTTCAAATGTACATTAATATTTTTTTAATAAAGATTTTTTTTCTTTCTTCCTTTACAACATGGCAAAGTAAAAAGAAGGCAACAATGTTCACATTTTCAGCAAATTAGCAACGCCTAAGAGACCAAAATGATGTTGCACAGAGAAAAACCACCTGAAGCCAGAAATAGCCCAATAAACAGAGTGTCTGCTTGCCCTCAGTGGCAGAGTGGTGTTGATATATAAAGAATTAGTTAACCTTTAGACACCATTGGAAAATAATTGTCAGTTGTCTATATAATAGTTTGAATAAATTGATTGACTTTGGAAAACTTAGGAAATCATTGTACCACGATGGTGACACAAACTATACTGTCATAGCCCTGTCCCTGATTCCTAAGCTGGGAGAGCTCTGGCAGCCTCTGAGCCTCTTATCATTTCTTTCCTCAGAATTTGATAATGCAGTACCTGCTGGTTGTTCTGAGGCTTAAGTGAAATAACATCATACCTGGCGTGTAATAGGGCTCATTGTAAAATGTATCATATTCTCTCATACCAGCTTTTTAAGAAACCTCATCCACCAAAGCGAGTGAGGAGTCGGCTCAATGGAGACAACGCTGGAATCTCTGTCCCTCCAGGCTGTACAGGTGACAAGATCTTTTTCCATCATCTAGACAACTTGCGGCCTTCTCTGACACCTGTCAAAGGTAAGATGATGGGAATAATCCTCTAATTCATGATTCTGTGGGATTATTTAAGAACCCTAGTTGAGCAATAACAACTTTGCTTTATGACAAGAGTGTAATTTGTAATGAGTGCTGTATTTTTGTGTTAAATCACCAAAATATCCATTAGATTTTCTCCTTCTATGTTTCTGTTTTGGCCTGTTGGGTTTCCTACCAAAAAAAATAAAATGGTTTCTTCCTCCTGCTAAGATACTGTAAATTCCAAAGTACCAACTCTGTAGCTCACCTTTTATATTGTACATGTAGAAAAACTTCTGCCACCTTCATTTATACATATTCTGCCAATTTAGAAATAATGGTCAGAAGACCGCATTTTTAATATGCCAATTAAAAGCATTTTGAGATAGCTACAAATACTTTTGCAAGTGGATCCCCCTTCCCCTTAGAATAAAAAAATAAAAAATGATTTTGCAAAGTCTTGAAGTTATCATCTAAAAAAATCCAAATATTGGCACTTCAAAGTCTGGTTAATTGGATTGGCCGCCAGCTCCAGGCCATCTGCCTCATTACACTTTGCCCTGCGCCAGCTCCAGCCTCTGCTCAGCCAGGGTTCTGGAGCGCTGGTGTGGTCAGCAGCATTTGGGGCAGAGCAAGGAACCTGGGCCTCTCGGGGAGCACCATGCCTTTTCAGGGAGTACGGGGTAGCTATGACGTGAGAGGTGCCAAAGATCTAGATTGGTTCAGTCTATGTGTGGCATGCTGGGAGCATCCCAGATCCCCCTGCACAGCCCTAGAGATGAGGAATGCAGGCTTGGCTGCTGGGAGCACAGACAGCAAGGCTGGAGGGGAAGCCTGGAGAGCACTGGTCAAGGCCAGCATCATCCAGCTGAGCTTGGGGGACTGACAGACCACGCTCCTCCTCTCAGGGCCTGTTGTCAAGATGCTTGTGTGAATATTTGGGATTACTTTATCATCCCCTATAAAGTAATGAAGTTCATTTTCCCTGCCCCTGTTGTAATGTTTTGATTCGCTTTGCATAGAACTCAAGGAGCCTGTGGGACAAATAGTGTGCACAGACAAAGGCATTCTGGCAGTAGAACAGAACAAGGTGCTTATCCCACCTACCTGGAACAAAACCTTCGCCTGGGGCTACTCAGACCTCAGCTGCAGGCTGGGAACCTATGAGTCAGACAAGGTTTGCATCGTTTCTTTCTCATTCATTATTCCATCTTGCTCTTTCATGGCTGGGTATCCTGCTTCATTGGGGTGGAGAAAGCCCAGGCCAAGGGCTTGTCAGCTGGTCCTCCAAGGCCCAGAGGAAGGGAGAGCTCTCTGCCTTAGAGCAGGAAAAGGAGCGAGTGGACTAACTAATCATGCTTCTTACAGAACAAACTTCTAGGGGCAAATTGTATTCTGGGGACTAGCAGTTTCCCTCCCACTCAAAGAATTCCTCTAAGACAGTGTTTCCCAAACTTTTGACATATGTGTACCCCTTCTATAATTTTCGTAATGCTGAGTACCCCTTGTACTCATGAGAACATAGAATTAGGCGCAGCTAAGCACGGAGCAGTGCATATCCCCTTCAAACTCCGGTGCAACACATACCCCCACCAAACTCTTCCCGTACCCCTGGGGGTACACGTACCACACTTTGGGAAACACTGCTATAAGAGGTCCTAGCCAGCCAGGCAGTAAACATTTCTTACAGCCAGAGAGCCTCCTTTGGCAGCAACTATAGTTAGGAGGCCCTAGAGAGTAGCTCAGAATAGAGCTTCCACAGAAAGGATGCTAAATTGAAACCAGAATGTCCTGTCGTTTGCCTATGTGGACCTGCTAGAGACCTTTGTCCTTCGGACCTGCTAGAGACCTTTGTCCTTCACGTGGTATGCTCATTGTGTTTCCAACACTCATGGTAGTTGATGGCCTGTGTCTCACATCTGCTTTATTTTACAGGCAGTGACTGTCTATGAATGTTTGTCTGAGTGGGGCCAGATTCTGTGCGCCATCTGCCCCAACCCCAGGCTGGTCATCACAGGTGGAACAAGCACCGTTGTGTGTGTGTGGGAGATGGGCACCTCAAAAGAAAAGGCCAAGACCCTCACTCTCAAACAGGTAACAGAAAAAGTGAAAAAGACACCCCATCTCAGCTGCCTACACTCTAGAGCAAGCATGTCAAACTCGCGGCCCCCAGGCCGCATGCGGCCCAGCCAATGTAACAGCATGCGAGAAACGTTTTAATAAAAACTTCGTGGCTTAATCTTTATAACATCCTGTTATACGAAATTATTAATACTGAATACAACTTTTACTAATGACTGATTACTATAACCATGTTATATTCATTTCCTTACACGCCTTACACACAGGCACACCATTTCTCTCCACGAATACTAACAGGGAATATGTTAGCAGCTGATTGCCACATCATTAGTCTTGGACTGACTTGTTTGGTGTGCACAATAGGAAATATTTTGCTTTTGGAGAACAAGAAAAATAGGTTTATTTGTGTTACGCTTATTAATTTGTGCAGTTATTCAGTGTCTGGTAAGTTAATGTTCAAGAAAAAATATTAATTTTTATTAAAATGTTCTATTTTATGTTGACAATTACTCATTTATTTCAGCCCTTTGTATTCAGCATGTCTCTATCAAAATGAACCTATGTTTATATGGAAATTGAAGCTTTTGTTTTTTTGTAGCCCACATAAACTTAAATCTTCTTTATTTGGCCCATGTTAGCCTTTGAATTTGACATGCTTGCTCTAGAAAAACTAAAACTTCCTTAATTTAATAATGGACAAAACCAAAAATATGTATGTTCTTTTGCTAGAAATGGATCTAAGAAATAAAGAAAGTGAAATTAGAAATACTATTTCTAAAAATTATCTATGAGAGTCTTTTTTTAAAAAATCTGAGGCATGCTGTCTTTAGGTAGTATATTTTAAAATAAACTTAAGTATCATAAGTATTTCTCAAATTTTATATGTAAATTGAAATTTTACAAACCAGATTATATTAGTGCTATTGATTCAATATTATTGTCCTTTCTGGGCGATTTTCGTTCAATTGGACCATTAAATCTTTGATTCCTTTGTCTTTCTCTTTCCTCATTTATCATATCCCTAAAGATATAACAAACTCCTGAACATATTCAGTAGAACTATTGATGATGGTATTAACAAGTATTTTTTATAACTTCTTAAGTACTGACTATCCTAAATTTTCACTTAAAGCAAGAATCCTTTTATGATTAAGCAATCATCTTCTAGCATTTGATTTGTGAGTTATTTTATCACACAGTTGTTGGTTTTTAGTGTAGTATACATCTAAGTATTTTTATTATACAAATTTGAAAATCAGTGTAACAATATTTTCCATTTATTGAGCACCTACTATGTTTAGGGGAGTGTGCTGAATGTTTGAAAAATGTACATCAGTTGTCACCGTTCTACAAGGTAGTCATTAGTTCTCATTACACCAGAGAAATCACGGCTTAGAGACACATAGTTAAGTCACTCCCAATGGTAAAGCCAGGATATAAAGTTCTCTGTGGCTCCAAAGCTTATTTTAAAGCCAAACTCAAACAAAATACCTGTGGGAAGAATTGAACCCCTTGTACTTATATTCCAACAACCATCTATATGGCCAGAACTTCCTTGGCTGCCGAGTCTGAAGGTAAGCCATGTAAGGGGTGCAATCCTGACATAAGTAGACAGACAGGTTGACAGTGTAGTTTGCTGCTTCAGATTCCTGCTTACAATTTTTCCCATTTAGAAAGTGGGCTTTGGAACTATTAAGCCAGCAACCTTCAGTAAAAAGTGCTTCCTATCTAAAATAGCCTCCTGTGGTTTAATAAGAATATAATAAAGATGTTTACATGACCAAAATTTTAAGCCATTTCATTACTTAAATAGTAAACTCAGATTTCTGGTAGGAACTCCTAACTGTATTTTCTTCAAAATACTTACTTGCCTGCATTGCCATTTCCATGGCTCCTGCTTCTCTTCCTGTTCCAGCAAAAGAGAGAAGTTTCTGCTCTGTATCTAGTTTGCAAAAGGAGTCCCTGTGGGGCACAGATGTCTGTTTCTCCTGTTTAGTGACAGCTCAACAAGCACACAAAAGCCACATTTTCACTTAATCTTTTGTGACCATGTGCCACAACCATGCAATTCTCACAGTTCGTACATTTTTTTTTTAATTAATGCAATTGCAGTTCCTCACAATGAACTTAACAGGAATTGATGGCATGGGAGAATAGATTCAGAGCTGAAATTCTGTATTCTGGGGCCATAATCAGTACATCTCCACATAGAAATGGTAGGGAGAAACTAAGCTGGGTTGTAGTACCATTCTCCCTTCCAAGGTACTGGCCCAAGTCCAGGAAAGAAGTAACATAAAAATAGAGACTGCAGCCTCCAGAGCCCTCCAGGTTGCTCCCTGCCCCACCCATGGGACAAGGCGAGGACAGTCGGCAGGAGCAGAATGAAGACTTTCCTAGACGTTGCGCCCAGTGCTCATCCCAGCACATGTGCTGCCATTTCCTGGTGCTTCCAGGGTCTGCTTTCCCCTCAACTGCACAGTCGCAGTGATCAGCCTGGGCTTTCTGTTCTCCTTTGTAGGCCTTGCTTGGCCACACCGACACCGTCACATGTGCCACAGCTTCATTTGCCTATCACATCATCGTCAGCGGGTCCCGTGACCGAACCTGCATCATCTGGGATCTGAACAAACTGTCATTCCTAACCCAGCTCCGAGGCCACCGAGCTCCGGTTTCTGCTCTTTGTATCAATGAATTAACAGTAAGTAGTAAATTGTCCTCTTGGTTTATGTTTATGAAAACAAGAAGGTCTAGCCAGCATAAATAAAAGATGACTCTGAGTGTTCTCTTGGTTGTTAAGGGCTCATTTTCTTGATTTATTTGTTGTTTGTAAAAGCAAATGGATATTAAAGTTTGTACTTTAGCAGTTCTGTCTTAAAATTCATTCAGTACTGCATACTTTAAAGAGCACGACTTGATTCAAAACAAAACATTCTAGAATAGGTGGTTTTTAAAAACAAGGAAAATGTAGAATTTGTTGAGAATGTTACAATTGTGTTGAAATTTTTATGAAATATATTCAAATTATTTATTATGTAAAGTGAAAAAAATAACATTTGGGTACTCAAACAAAAAAAAATTGTTATAGAACTTCTAGAGATCTGATGCACTAAATTCATGCAAGAGCAGGCCTTCCTTCCCCCAGCTGCCAGCACCTGCTTTCCTCGCAGCCCCAATTTATTCCGGAAGGTCATCTGGTCTAATTAGCATATTAGGCTTTTATTACTATAGATTCTTAAAACAGATCTCAAAGTTTTCCAAGGATATTATACAGACAAATGAAATGAGTTGGGATAAATAAATGCAATGGCCTGGGAGCCCCGATGCAGACCAGGCCTGCCTGAGTGGGGAAAGGGAAGGTAGTCATTATCACTAAGGTGTGTTGATAAGTAGGGGAGTTAGGAGTAAGTTTACAAAGGCTGAGGTCTCTGTGTCCAAGGGACAGGTTACCACACCCGTATGCCCACACATGCACTACAGTCTTGCAAAGCAACCAGAGCTCCCCCAGCCTCCTCACTTCTTAGCTGCATCTGCCCATTCTCACCTCTCCCCTTAGATCCCCTCCCCGCAGAGTCATCCTGTGTGACAGAGCCCTAGCCACATCATACCATCGCCTGCGCAGACAGCTTTCCTTCTGAGGGCTACATCTTTAGTTTCTACCAGAAGATACTAAGTATGATGCTTTTAGTCACATATCTTGTAGTCATTCAAAGGAAAAGGAAAAAAGATACAAATTCAGTTCTGGTGAATGGAACTTAGAACGGAGCAAGAGTAACCAGGGTTGGCGGTGGGTGGAGTGTGTGCAGGAGTAAGAGTTAAATTTGTGTTTTGGTGTATTGGAAAGGTTTAAGATATTTGCAGAAGAGCACCTAGGGCTGGTCCTGTAAACATCTGTGCCTAAGTGTTACTGATATGCCAGTGCACCAGAAATCCTCTGGTCCAGCAGTGCTGCTCTGAGCCAAACACTGTTCCAAGCAACTTGCTTTGGGGTTCTTGACTTAAATACTGAGAATTTTGCTTATAGTCAGTAGTTATTTGAGCCATTGGATTACAATATATACCCACTGGATTGCAATAGTTGCTGCAAACACTGTGGAAAGTGTTTGGTTTTATCCTTGTGAGATGCTTCTAGAACCTCTTAATAATTCATGGGGGGAAAAATCTCATTAAAAGATTTCTATTAGTATTATATTTTTGCACCAGTTTAAGTCTGCTTTACTTCAGTCTACATTTTGGGCCTACACTACCTTGCTGCTGCCCTTGGATTCCTCCTCTTATGTTCACCCCATAACCACAGGGCTAGTCTAATGCTCTGATGGAGGTGCCCTGGGGTCATTGACAAAGCCTTGCTCAGTACAGGAAGGAGAGGCTGGCTTTCGTTGTCAGTGACGATTCAGTATTCAGTGGCCGATACAGAGGCAGACAGCAGTGCTTTGCTGACAATCATTTTTGTTTGGGTTTTTGCCATTTTGGTGGAAGAGCAGGAAGAACAGTAGTAGGTTCTAAACTCAGTCTGAGCATCGTGACAATCAGGCTGCCAGGGAAGAGAGGCAGCGTGGTGAGGTGTCCAGGCTTTAGGGCCAGAGAGCTGAGTTCACATCTTCACTCTGTGACAGTAAGCAGTCCCTTCAGCTTTTACACTTTCTTCGTCCTCTCTAAAGCAGGGCTGGTACTGGCTAAACGCACAGCTCGCGATGGACCGTCTGAAGGTCCACCCCAGTAACTAGTAATGGAAGCAAGAGATGCTTCGGGAACCATCTTAATTCCCTTAGCAGTCGTGAGCTGTCTTCTCACCACGTTGGGTGGACCCCTGCCTGGTAAAATTTGAGGGGAAAACTTTTTTGTCTTTGGAACTCATGAAAACCTAAATTATCAGCACTAGGAGTCAGGGTTTATTCCGTTTGCCAAGTACTTGTATACCAGTTTTCATCTCTTTATTTCTCATTTCCCCCACCCTACTGTGAATACAAATTTTTAAATTTATTACACTGTTACCAAGATGTGATCTTATTGAAGAGAGAGGCAGCTGTATCCAGGCTGCAGAACTTCCCTTTGACCCTGTGGTTTTCATTGGACGCACTTTGTAAGATTAAGTGGGGGTGGGTTCTCGCCCCTAAAAGAAAGGAATGAATCGGTTTTGTAAACAACGGGAGGGAGAGGAGTTGTTCACCTCTCAGATGGCTTTGGCATGGAGTAAAGCCTTACTCAGCACTGTGCTGGGCACAGACGGCACAGAAGTCCTCCTGTACTTTCCATGAGGTTCCCTTGGCTGCAGCCACTTAGCCTTGAATTCTTAAAAAGGCCTCTGTGTGGAGTATTTTTTTAAGTCAGCCAGCACTGAATTCCAGGCTTCCTCAGAAATTACCCAGTCACTGGTCACAGGACTGAAAGGGGTTTTGAGAGTCTGGCCAGGGATTTCATTTGCTTCTGGAACCAGGACTCAAGTATGTCGTGCTTGAGAGTCTCCTTGCCTTCCAGGGGGACATTGTGTCCTGTGCGGGCACCTACATCCACGTGTGGAGCATCAACGGGAACCCCGTCGTGAGTGTGAACACCTTCACGGGGAGGAGCCAGCAGATCGTCTGCTGCTGCGTGTCCGAGATGAACGAGTGGGACACCCAGAACGTCATAGTCACGGGACACTCGGACGGGGTGGTCCGGGTAAGTCAGCTGTGAGAAAAGCGTGTCGGCATACCCACTGCCCTCGTGCAGCTGCCACCGTGGAGAGCCGTCACGGAAGGGCACCTGCACAGGCTGTGACGTGGTCCGGAGGCTCTCACTCCGACTCAGACAGGCCTGAGCCACTGTCTCAGACATGGGCAAGTCAGTGACGCTGCTCTTCCCATCAAGGAGGCAGTGCTTCTGACACACCTAGGCCGCTAAGCACAGTTTCCATGGCACCTTGCGTTGGTACACGTACAAACTGCCAGTACTGGCTATTGGGTCTACGAATGACTTCTTAGGGAAGACAGGGATTGTCTCTGTTCAACAGAGAATCCGAGGCCCGAGGTCACCCACTCTGTGGCTGCAGTCCTGCATGATCCCCTGATTCTGAGGTAGTCTACCTTCTCTTAGCTGTCTCTGTTGGGCCTCTACAGAAAATGGGATCCAGAGTTTTCCTTTGTGGTCTGTTCTAAATATTGTTTTTTTCTCTTGGGAGGTTTGTCTTTGTGCTTCTTTTCTTTAATTGCACGCTGTGAAATCATAGGACAGCTGATTGCTGCCCTGTTAGTCACAGTCGGCTGAGCCTGCCACAATGAGGCTGCTGTCAGCCACTCACCTGCCACAGCCTGCACCTTAGACAGCAGCTCTGTCTGGGGCATGAGGCATCGTGCCAAGCTCCGGTGCCGAGTACGTGAGGGGACCGCTCTTGCAGAATGCCTTCTTAGAGATCCAGCGTATATATTAGTGTAAAACAGAGTACTTAGTTGAACCATGTTTCTCAAACTTTACTGACCACAGTCCTTTTCCTGACCATGAAACACCCTTTAGCATCTCCTCAAACACAGCATGGGAAGCATTGTGTATGTGAGGCTTTAAAATACAAGGAAATTTAATTATACGCAGTAACAGAAATTAGGTTACCTGTTTAACCCCGAGGCCCCATCTTCACCCGGTAACATGCATGTTGTTTGAATTCAGTTTTGGAGGATGGAGTTTTTGCAAGTTCCTGAAACACCAGCTCCAGAGCCCACAGAAGCCCTGGAAATGCAGGAAGACTGTCCAGAAGCACAAATAGGTACTTATGTTTCCTAAAACGTTATGTAAGCGTTTTCCTGTTCTTTTGAAGTCATTGTGTATAAACTTCATCAAACAGCATAGACCAGAGCCTGAGTGGGCCGGGCATCGCCATAGCCACACAGCACTGGCTGCTGTGAAGTGGCCGGGCGCACGCTGGGCTTCCTCTGGCTCCTTGGGCAGCGCTCAGTGGTGAGGGCCTTGGAGATGGCTCCGCCTCCCAGTGTAAAAAGTTACCAGCTGCTTTGAGCACCGCAGGCTTGGGCTTCCCGTTCTAAGCTACGAAGGAGGACCTAGAGGTCGAGGAACTGGACAAGTAAGACGACCCGCACCTCAACCCATGTCCGTTCCGCCCGACTCTTGGCGGGCTCAGTAGGAATGTCAGGGTGGCATGGGGTTTGTAAACTGAACAGAGGTGAGCAGTGTCCCTGTCCTGGGCCTGCTCAGGAAGGGTATTTGTTCAGACAGAAGCCTTTCGTCTGTTATTTGTGAAGTACTTTAACGTTTTCCAGTGAACTATAGAGATAGCTGATTCCTATGTAGCAGGGGTGGGGAACCCTTTTCTGCCAAGCTCCATTTGGGTATTTATAACATCATTCTTGGGCCATACAAGATTACCATAGCCTGCTATATCTGGTCACACGTTTAACCAATTCACCCCTAATGCTTGGGATTCCGTGGGCCTTTCACGTCCTGCAGGCCGGGCATCCCCCACCCCCGCTATGCAGAATGATTGGCTGTAAAACCAAGCTGAGATCTGGGTTGGGTCGCTCATGTCCAGAGAACTCACCCCCCTTTTATTTAGAACAATTTTTTCAAGAGTCTTCCCAGAAAGTGTTTCAGGTTTGACCTTTTGATTGTTTTTCTGTGGTTAATTTTTTGGGCACTGGGAGTTCAGTGTGAGTTTGACAACATGAGGGAGTTACTAAGGAAAAAAGGCTTATTATCAGAAAGGCCCAAATCACTTCTCTTTGTAAGTTGAAATTAATTTTTACTTTGTTTGCCAGAAAATAAATGATCTGAGGGACAGGGCTGTTTAATGCTTGTATTAATTTAATGCATGTAAATTTCTACGTAGTCAACTGCGGCTCCACGGAAAAGGCCATCTGAGTGTCTGAGACATAAGAGTTCAGTTTTGTGTCAGATGTTGGATTAAGTCCAGTGAGAAGTGGTCACATTCCCTTTAATAACACTTTTCAGTGAAGAACAGTGGAAGATGAGATGGATCGTGGGATGGAGAAAGGGGTCAAACTCAGGAGGAGAGACATGGTGTAGGCAGGGTTTGGCAGAGAGCGGAGAGCAGCCCATGGGATGGGTTGACTTTGGACGGTGCAGAAGTTGGGAGTTGAGGGTAGTTTCCTGGGTGAAAGTAAAGATAAGACAGTGGTTCCTTGGAAATCAAAGCTGTTTCCAAGACTGCTTGTTTGGAGACTGAAAGTTCATAATCCCAAGCCATTAGGGTGAAAAAAATCCACTTAAATTAGCCAGCTAGACTACTGCTGTTAAGAGCAGAGGGAGGCTGATGAAGTATTTGTCTTGCTAAAAAATATGTGTGTGTAATGAGTTAGTGCTTGCATACTTATTCCTGCTCTCACTCCTCTTTTCTAGTTACATATGTTGGTTTTTTGTAAATTTTCCTTCCAGTAGACTTTATTGCGAGGAAGTTGAGGTGAGGAAATGGAAATGGAAAAGAACCAGAAAGCTTACTAAATGAAAGCTTGCTTCAGTAATTCGTCTGTGTGGTCATTTATGTTGACTGCATGTGGAAGGCACTGTGTTTGGGGCCCCTCCTGTTGAGCTGACCGCTGTCTTATAGAAAGACTGTCCAAAGGTAACAAGGAGTTCACTGGAGAGAGAATTACTTGCTGCTACAGGAACCGGGTAGATTTCAGAGAACAAAGTGTGTAAGCCATGCCTTGAAATATATATATATATAACATGGAAACACACAGAGATTGGGAAGATGGCTCTAGGTCCAGCCAATGGCATGTGCATAATAAGCCACAAGGAGCCAGGCTGCGTGGATGAAACCATTAGAGAGTGTGAGGCAGATAGTGAGAAATTCACAAAGGCTTTGGCCAGATTGTGAGAGAATGAATGTTTTGGCCAAAGCGTTCTGAGAACTCAGAAATTCTGCCAGGGGTTTTTTTCCTGTATGTAATCCAGTTGAAAATTCTGGCAATTTTTTATTGTTATGTTAAAATACTATGTCTACTGTGTCTCAGCTGATAGAGGAATGACACCAGTGGGACACAGCTGGGTCTAACTCTTAACATACATGTGTTTTCTAATCCTCCCAATGACAGGACAGGAAGCCCAGGATGAGGACAGTAGCGACTCAGATGCCGATGAGCAGAGCGTCAGCCAGGATCCCAAGGATGTGCCCAGCCAGCCCCCCAGCACCAGCCACAGGCCCCGGGCAGCCTCCTGCAGAGCCACGGCCGCCTGGTGCACCGACAGCGGCTCCGATGACTCCAGGCGCTGGTCTGACCAGCTCAGTCTGGATGAGAAAGATGGCTTCATATTTGTGAACTATTCAGAGGGCCAGACCCGAGTCCACTTGCAAGGTCCCCTTAACCACCCTCACCCTCACCCCGCTCCCATGGAAGTTCGGAATTACAGCAGATTGAAACCTGGTAATTGGAAGTCAGGGGTCGGTGTCTGGCTCTTTGTGGGTGGTCTGCGTGCTAATGGATAGGGCAACTGCATCTGAGCCCTGTCCCTATGACCTGGGCCACCCACAGAGGCCTCTGAAATGTCTTCTTATGGAAAGTGGATATAGAGATTATATCCCAAATGGTGTTACAGTATGTTTGGCATTTTTGAAAGAAAAGTTCAAGACAAAAACCTCATTCATTCACAAATCATGAGAGTTTTTGAATAGGCAAATTATTGGTTACAGATAAATAAAACTGTATTCACAGATACCTTTGCCTTGACTGAGATAGAGGCAACATCCTCAGTTGGAGAAGTTGTTATCTTCTTGCATGGAAGATTTCCCCTTCTCTGTATTTGTCTTTGTAAATGAGGCGTTCTCCAACCTGGCCCAGGGTCGGTGTTAAGCTAGATTGCTCTACCTTCAGCCGAGGCAGCAGCTGCTGAGAGCTGGAAAAGCTGCTGTAACTGTACGTTGTAGCACCCTATCTTTTGAGGGCACCATGTCAGGGCACACCTAGCACACGTTGGTTCCCTTGCTTCAGTCTGTCCTGCCTTCCGCTGCAGGGTACCGGTGGGAGCGGCAGCTGGTGTTCAGGAGTAAGCTGACGATGCACACGGCCTTCGATCGGAAGGACAACGCGCACCCCGCAGAGATCACGGCCCTGGGCGTCTCCAAGTGAGTGTCAGGCCCTTTCCAGCTGCTCGCCCAGCTGAGTCCGCTGCGGAGCCGGGGCCCTCAGTCTTCACGGAAAACAGATTTCAGTTCATACTGTGGCTCAAAAAGACAAATCAGAAGTCTGTAGATTTCAATGCTGAATTAAACAAACAAAAAACAGCTTTGCCTTCTCTGTACTTCCAAGATACAGCAAGATTTGATCCAAAGAGAGTTATGATGGAAGTATAAATTCAGGCCCAGTTCTCTTTTTTTTTTTTTAATATATTTTATTGATTTTTTTATAGAGAGGAAGAGAGGGATAGAGAGTTAGAAACATAGATGAGAGAGAATCATCTATTAGCTGCCTCTTGCATACCTCCTACTAGGGGTGTGCCCGCAACCAAGGTACATGCCCTTGACCAGAATTGAATCTGAGACCTTTCGGTCTGCAGGCCAATGCTCTATCCATTGAGCCAAACCGGTTTTGGCCCAGTTCTCTTTTTGTATCTTCCTACACACGACCCCCACCCCAACACACACACCCACCACCACACTCCTTCCCCCCCGCCCCCCGAAAACCAGAGAGCCGCAGAGTAACAGAAAGACCTTCAGCCCTGTGGCTGTGCTGGAGCCGTCCCTGAGGGGCTCTGTGCTGTGTCTCCTGCAGGGATCACAGTAGGATCCTCGTGGGTGACAGTCGAGGCCGAGTGTTCAGCTGGTCTGTGAGTGACCAGCCCGGCCGCTCTGCTGCTGACCACTGGGTGAAGGATGAAGGCGGGGACAGCTGCTCGGGCTGCTCAGTGCGGTTTTCTCTCACAGAAAGACGGCACCATTGCAGGAACTGCGGCCAGCTCTTCTGCCAAAAGTAAGATGCGATGCACCCTTTTTGAGTTCCTGGGGGTTATGTTCTCAGAATGTCCATTATGCCCAGCACATACATTCTGATTGCTCCTGGGCCTCACTGCCGTGTGCTGTCAGTCTAACCCTGACTTCACTTTCTTTCTGTTCTTTATTGTTACAGTTGTGAGATATTTCTGTCATACCGGGTCACCCAGGACTCAGATTGGGAAGTTGTTAATATTTCACTGTATTTCTATATAAAACATTTAAGTCTTCTTTTCACCCTCACCAATTTTTTCCTCTTCTCCATATTGTCTCCAAAACAGTACCATAGTATGCTTTGTGCATTTGCAGTTTTACTTAAATATAGCACCTTCTGTAGCCGGCTACAGAGATGCTTTCACAGAGAACACGAATTGCATCGTTGTTTTTGAGCCAGTTGTTGAGGCTTTTGTGGGTGCTGGCTTACGGAAGAGGCGTGGTCTTTCGGTTGTACTGACCAAACGCTCACAGGACTGCTATCCGTGTGTCGTCCCAGGCGAGTTACCCTCTGAGCTTCAGTGCCTTCATCTGTAAAATGTGGATGGTCACCCCTTTCTTCATAGAGGTGTTGAGAGGATTAAATGAAATCATTGTATGAGGTTTATAAACTGCCATGTGCAGAGTCTGGCTGTATAGATATTCAACAGAAGGCATTTGTAATTGTTGATGTTTTTTTTTTCTCACCTTAATGTATTTAAGCTTTTTTTGGGGGAAGTCTGATTCGAGATGAGGTGCCCAAATGTCACTGCAGCCGTTCCTTATGGGACTTCCCAGGAGGATGGGAGAGGGTTCTGGACTGTGGCCCTGTGCTCTGAGGAGCCCACTCTGTAAAACCCAGTAACAGTGAACACCCCTGCGTGTACACTGGCACACATCTGTTCTTTGTAGTTTAATTTTCAAAATATTGTTTAAATGTAAGTAATTATTCAAAGTTATCTATTGCTATCAAGTGTTGGATGGAGCCCGTATGTGAAAAACTGACCAAATAGTGATTGATGATGACAGAGCAGGCGCAGAAGGCAGAGCTGTGCCGGAGGGCGTGGCCCGCCCTGAAGCCCATGCCCTTCGGTCGCTGAGAGAGCTTGTCAGCACTCCTGAGGTTCTTCTCAGAGTCCGGTAACTGCTTTAAACCCTTGCTGTTGGCAGCCCATTTATTCCCCGGACATTGTACTGTTAGATTAATAGAGGAAATAGAATTCGTGCTTTAATATTGTGAGAAGCCAAGCTTGAAGTGAGTAAATGCCAGGTCCAAGGTCATGCACTGCTTTATTCCAGGAACAGGAATACTTTTAAAAGAACTTGAACATTTCCTAAGTATAATCTACTTTAGGGAATTCTATCAAAATAAACAGAAAATGAAAACAGTTGCACCAAACAAAAAAGCCAAACTATTTATTTAAAAAACAAGTAAGGCGTGGATCAAACCAAGTGTTTAAATGCCCAGAGGAACTTGATAATGACCAAAAAATATATGTTTTTATTGATTTTAAAGAGAAGAATGGGGGGAGGGAAGAAGGAACATCAATTGGCTGCCTTCTGCACGCCCCCTACTGGGGATCAAGCTCACAATCCTGGCATATGCCCTGACTGGATATTGAACAGTGATCTTTTAGTGCATGGAGTGATGTTCAACCAACTGAGCCACACCGGGTAGGGCCAAAGTGTCTTTTAAAAAGGGTAGTTGGTCTTCTGCCAAGAGAAAAGCCAAGCTCCAGGTAAAGATATTGGCATACTTCTGAGTTCACAGGGCATGGGGAGCGGTCCTGCCCAGGAAGTGTGGCCACACAGCTGCCCAGACCCCTTGGCTTCATCCTGTAGGAGAATCTTAGTTTTTTTGTAATTCTCCTCAGTCAAATAAATAGCTCACTTTGATTTAATATTTCTTTTCTTCATAAACTGACACAAACAATACAGCATTTCTTTTGGTCCCTTGTCAAGCACATGACACAAACCGGTCCTTGGCATTCACCTGGCATTATGTGGTTTTTGGCATTATGCCGCAAGATTTCCTTCTGATTTTCAAATGAGTGTTTCTCAGCCCAGTGATCAAACATGGAGAGGAAATATAACTACTGGATTTTGCCTTTCCTTCAGGTGCAGTCGGTTTCAATCAGAAATCAAACGCTTGAAAATCTCATCCCCAGTGCGAGTTTGTCAGAACTGTTACTACAACTTACAGCATGAGAGGGGTTCAGAAGATGGGCCTCGGAACTGTTGAAGATTCCAAGCTGACTGGAGACCACGGCTGTAGACCCTCCCAGCTCCCTGCCCCACTCGGAAAGGCATCAGACCGTCTCCGTTTACACATCGCTCACACCTTGTTCGGAGTACTGAATTCAAAGGGATCATTGGATAAACGGGTGAAGAATACGGTAACGGGACAGACACTGTTCAGGTGACCAGCACAAGAAGAATAGGAGGTGGTTCCTAGGAACAACATTGTCAATATCCGCTTCTCCCTGTTAACATCACTGTCTCCAAGGGGAAATCCTCACTTAGTCACTGTTTGTTTGGTTTTGTTTGTTTGTTTGTTTGTTTGTTTTGTGTGTGTGTATCATTTTTATAGAGCTGCTCATCCTTATTTGGAAAAAACAATAACAAAAAAAAAAAAAGGCTTTTAGCAAATGGTTGTAAATCTGACTTCTTTGCAAGTAACTCTGTATATTGTAAATAGGTATAAAGGCCTTTTTTCTAAATAAGGACTTCACTGCCTGTAACATGAGACTTCAAACTAAACCACTAACGCAATGAACTTCTTATGGTTTGTCTGACCTCTCTCACCCATTAATTATAAACATGTTTTTTTTTTAATTCTCAAAGGCGTTATCTGTGGTCTCCCCCGCCCCTTTCAAATCCAGCCTGTGTGCCCAATGTTTTTTGGTTTAGTTGTGTGTTTTTTTCAAGTTGGCCCAGAGAACCTTCACTTAAACTAGGCTAGTAACCAAAATAACGTGGGCCTTCCCTAGGAAACAGTGAGGGAGAGGAGGAGTCCGGCCCTAAGATACCTGGGAATAGCGGAGCATCTTGCACCGGGCTCACACCATCTCAGTGTTGGTCTGATGTCACAAGGCCCCTGGGGAGCTTCTGTTTGGACTGCCATTTGGTCATCGCAAACCTTAGCATTGCACAGAGGTGGTCAGGGGATCGGTGCGATGCGGAAACAGCCCTGCCTCAGCTAATGGCAATATAATTGCATGTAACCCAAATTAACTTCTCTTGCATAGTACATAGTAAGTATGTGTCTTTGGTGACACTAAAAGTTCTACTATAGCTTATTTTCAAAAAAGGGTGAAAAAAAAAAAAGGTGTACAGAATTAACATATAAACCTTGTTGTAAAACTGGATCATGTCAGAACTGCTTATAATTAACCTTTACCATTTAATGCCATCTACCTGAAAACAGTGAGATTTATACTGTATCAATGTCTATTTTTTTGTTTTTTGCTATGAATATAATTACAGTATTTTAATATTTAGTTATTTAATTTGTTCTACTAGTTGGTAACAGAACACACAAATCCAGGGAGACTAAAGCTGGTAGGGGCTAAGAGATAAGCTTAGTTTACAGAAGAATGGCTTTGGTGGTGGGATTTTTTAAAAATGTGTGTTATGTACATAAATATGTATATATATAAAACAAATGAAACAATTAATCTAGATTTTAACATTTTCAGATATTTAGTGATAATATTATGAGCAATTCTAAAAGCCCAGTGATTTGAAAAATGTAGAATTCTTTATGGCCCAAGGAAGGAAGGACAGGCCTTCACACCCCATGGAGGTAGCGTGCACAGGACAGTGGCTTCGGCTTTCGAGTCTTCATCTTCAGGCCCTGGTGACAGGCACACTTATGCACTAAAATGCACACATATGCACACGCATTCAAAAATAGGCATTGGTACAACAGCAATCTTGTACCGAACGGGCTGAAACCAGCTTAAGAACAAATTTGTTCTTCCTGATAACTAGGTCTCCAAGAGAAAATATAAAGGCTGCTTTAGTGCCTTATGCTTACTAAATTTACACCTTTATTTACCCAGGTTTGAGCCTACAGTCTATTTATGATTACATATCAGAATTGATTAAAAACACTTCCATTTCTAAAAGTTCAAATATAGCAGTTAATAAAAAGGATTATTGGCATTAATACCTTAACTTGAAGAAGAGTTGTGTTCTGTTTTCCTTTCTGTGTCTTACTCCTCCCATGCCCCCCCTCCACCCCATCTTACTTTAGTTCTCACGAATAATACTGGATGTTCACCACTTGCAGGAAATCATACTGTGGCATACCCGTGGGCTCCGCCCCTGCCCAGCCCCATAGATGAGTTGTAGCAGAGTTATTCTACACTTTTTCAAAGAAGCGTCCTCCTTGTGTACAGGAACTATGTTTACCCCCAACCCAATGGCAGAGGTGTTCTTTGAAGACTTGAATATATGAATGTGTGTATGTAGTTACTTAAAGGTTATTCCTCTTTGTAATATGAAATTATATGGGATGAACACTTTTAAACTTTCCGACACAACTTCCTTGACCAGAAGATGGAAACCAAAACTCTTGTTGATAGTATTTCCTCTGGCAGCTGGTGCTGTGGGCAACTGTTCTGTTCAGTGGGGTTTGGTGTGTGTGTTTGTGTCCAATGCAGAAATCACAGATCACTCACATATACAAGTACACTCACATGCATAAACTCGTTTCTCTGAATGTCTTCCTGCGTTCCATGTAAATTTGTCCGCCAACCTCTGTTCTCAGCCTGCGCATCCACATCCATGTGGTCTGATTCTCTGTCTGAGAGCGCCTCACAGGGCTCCTGCTTGACCTCCATCGTTCCGTTGTTCATCCATCCGCCCATCTAGCCATGTATCTGTCCATGTGTCCTAACGCGTGTGTGGTGTGCTACTATGATGTCATGCTTTGGAAGAGAATAGCTGCCCATAGCGGCCATCCGTCTGGGTAATAGCAAAACACTCTAGATAAGTTATTTTGCACTTTCTTATGTATAAAGTTGGTAGAAACTTATTTTGGCTTTGTATCATTTAAATACATTTTGTTTTGGTAAATGACCTGTGTATAAAATATTTATGCTGTTACAACTGTTTTTAGAAAGTATTTTTAATTTCAGCAAGTTTGGTTACTTGTTGCATGACTATTAACATGGCTGACTTTTTGTGTCAGTGCAATGTATATTTTTTTGTCCTGTTATTAACTTGTAAGCCCTAGAAATGGCCAATTATTTGTACAGCAACAGAAGTAAATTGAAGATACTGGCTAAGACTGGATTGATTGTGGACTTTTGTACTATATTGCAGAATTCAATACCTGTTTGGTGGTTATGTAATAGGCCTGAAGAATTACTTCTAGTGTGCAATGTGTGATAACTGAATGTTCATTGTATATCTGTCTCTGATGCAAAAAGGTAGAGTAACACAATTACAATACATGATTAAATGCAATAGTCCAGGTACTTTTTTTTTTTTTTCAGATAAATACCTACTATTCACCATCCATGAGGGGAAAAAATTGTTTTTAAGCCAGTTCTTTAGGGGAGGAAAAAGAAAGCAGAACTGAGGTCTAATAATCCCCAAACTTTGTAAAAACTGAGGTCTCGTAGTTCCCTAAACTTTGTGTAGTTTTTTAATAGTTGCGAATGTATCTTTCAGAAGCACCTGCTAGAGATCTCAGCTTGCAGAAGTTTGGCTATTAAGTTTGGCTCAAGTGCTAGTTTGATCCATCTCTAAATTCCAGCCTCTCTGCATTCTGAGCTTCCCGGATGTGTGTGGGCAGCCGCAGAGAGAGGAAAGGGACTTCTGGGAGACATGACCCTCCCACTTGAGTGGACCTATGTCCCAAGACCACATTGCATGGTTGTGGCTCTTTTTCCCTTGTTCCCTATCCATCGTGTTGGGAAAAGTAAGCAACAGTGAAGTAGCTACCTCCTACTCCTTCCAAAGTCACATGAGGACTCTTCCGGGGTCCTGTCCCTCTTCTGCAAGCACACATACACACGCACACGCGCGCGCGCGCACACACACACACACACACACACACACACACACACCGGCGTCAGTCTTTTCTTCACAGACTTCCATCTGAGAGGTTGGAACTCAGATCTGTTCTTAACTGTTGCTAGCTTATTTGGTTGTAAACAGCCTCCCCAGCACTTCAGTGACTTGCTTTTTCCACTTCCTAAAGGTATTAATAAAAATCCCAGTTTGTGTTCAGCTTGAACACAGAGTCCCAAATTTGAGGGTATTGTGCTTGTTACAGATTCCACTTTGCAGGCAGAAAGTATAGGAATGCCAAAACTTCTAAGACAATAGGTGTTTTTTAAAAAATAAAATTAAGAGAAAGCCAAGGGCAGTTCCCATTCCTTTGATGTAACACTGCCCATCGTTCTAACGGCCTCAAAAAGAGTTGCAGTCAAGGATGAGCACTGCAGGAATCAGTTTAAAGGACAGCCATTCAAGTAAGTGCCTTTCTGCCATGTGCTTATCTGCAATAAGATTTCCTCTCCACCCCTCTTTGGGACCCATTTGGAGCTTCGGAGAGGAAGCAGTCCGATGGAATTAGGCCAGTGTCACATCAGTTGTCTTCACTTTATCAACATGTTCCACACCCACTGTAAAGCTCGCTCTTACCTACTGTCCCTTTGGACTTTCGTAGATATGGCTCCAAGCCAAGCTGCCACGCTGAGATAGCGTGATGGTGGGAGAGTCCCAGCATAGAAATGAAGAGTGAGGCTGCTGCTGTCGCCTGCCAGGAATTCCTGAGGCTCCTGTGAGCACCCTGTGCACGAGGTTCTCCATGCCAGGGCCACCGTGAGGGCGCGGCAGGGGACTAAGATGGCGATTCTTCTGTTGTGGCAGCAATTCTTCAAATGGCCCAGGAGAACGATCCACCAGCACTCGGGGGAATCGGGAAGGAAAACCTTTATTACACAGCGCTGCTAGTCCAGGGGATGCTGATCTGCCAGTGTGGGAGGTTTTGATATTGAGATGGCGAACCTCTGGGGTGGGCTTTGTAGCTCCACCCAAGTCAGTCAGAATGGGCCTTGTAAGATTACTGTTTAACTAGATCCTGAACAAGGCTGTAAGCCCCCCAGAGTTGCCCCCTATTTTCCTTCTCGTTCCCCACCTCTTGTTAGCCTCTGGGATTACAGAAGACTCAGGTATTGGGGATAAGGTCACCAAGCGCTCTAGCTATTTCCTACTGAAAGGGGG